AAAGGAAGAAGAAACATGATCTCAGCTGGAAACAGAATTATAGGAAGGAGCTAACAACAACAGAAAGGATAAGTATATGGGTAATATAAATTTTGACAGTAATACTAATAGTAATATATTGTAGTGTTTTGACTATATGTAGAATTAAAATGGCAACAACAGTAACACAGAAAGAGGAGAGTAAATGGAGTTAAAGTGTTCTAATGTCTCACTGTTTTCAGGAAATGGTAAAAGGAAATATTTGTATTCTCTAAAAGCAAACAACTTAAAAATGTACATTATAATCTCTAGGGAAACCACTAAAAAGTAAAAGAATGTATAAATCTGATTAAGCCCAAAGAAATCAAGATAGGAATCAATGAAGTATAAAACAAACATACATATACAATAAATTTTATATACAATGTAGAAAGTAAACAAATCCAATTGCTGGTTCTTTGAAAAGAAATTGATAAATTTCAGCAAGATTCTTCAAGAAGAATCCAAAGTTGGTTTGACATTTAAAACTTTGTTAATATAATTAATTCACCACATTATTAAACTTAAAAAGGAAAATCATGTAATCATTTCAGCGGGTTCACAAAAAATGATTAAATTCTACATTAATATATTTAAAAAATACCTTTGGCAGCCTATGAATATATTGATAAAGAGTATGACCCCCTCCTAAAGAAATCTACAATTATTCTTAATCCATATCATTCTTAATTCTTAGAAATTAAAAGCATTTCCTTTATAATATGGACCAAAACAGTATCTTCTTTGGTCATTTCTAATCATTACTTAAACTGGTGAGCCCATCTAGCATGGTTGGAACCCCATGAATAATGATAAAATAAAATTTTAGGATTGAATGAAAGAAACTAAACTGTCATTATTTGTAGATAATATGTTTGGATAATAGAAAACTAAAAGAAACTACAAACATATTATTAGAGTAAGAAAGTTTAGTAAAGTTGTGGGGTATGTTCAAAATATAAAAGTCGATTTTATTTTTTAAATTCATTTTACAATTGAAAAAAATAAATATTAAAGTACCAAAAAAAAATACAACTAACAAAATATGTGAAGACTTTTAGAGAAGAAAATTATAAAGTTTTGTTGAAAGAAATTAAAGAGGACCTAAATAAATGAAGAGATATGTTATATTCATGGATTGGGTGACCTTTAGTTATGATATCAAAATCAAAAATCTCCCAATTGATTTACAAACTTCAGTGTAGAAAAGCTCTACAGGTTTTTGATGGAAATTAAGCTGTTTCTAAAATTTATACAGAAGAGTAAAAGCCAGTAATAGCCAAGACACCCCTGAGGAACAAGGTAGAGAAACTTGGAATATCATATATCAAGATGTAAATAATGTAGTAATTAAGGCATTGGTTATTAGCATAGACACAAATGGTACATTAGAGATTCCTGGAATAGTCCCATACATATATGGAATGTGGTAGCATGTAGATCATTTGGAAGAGGATGTTCAATGAAAGGTATTTGGTGAGTAGATGATCCATATAAGAAAAAAAATTAGATTGAGATTGGTTTCACATCATGCACCAAAAAAATCAATTTCAGGTAAAGACCTAAGTACAAAAGGCAAAACCTTAAAACTTTAGGGGGGAGAAAAGGTGGAAGAATATCTTTTGACTTCAGGGTAGGGAAAGACTTTCTCATAAAGATACAAAGTGCAAACTATATGTAAAGGAAACATTTAAGTTAACATCTGTTGATCAAAAGACGTTGGAAAGAAAGTGAAAAGAGAAGCTCAGAGGATTTGTAATTTTCTAGAATGTGTAAAGAAAACTTTAAAAATCAGTAAGAAAAAGACATTCCAAGAGAAAAATCAAAATACGTATTTCCCAAAAGAAGGAAAAGTGAATGGCCAATTTTAGGTATGAAAAGGTGGTCAACTTAAATAGTAAGCAGAACAATGCAAGTTTCAACCATGAGATAATATTTGTATGCTCTGAGATTTGCAAAAATAAAATCTGACAGTCTGCATGTTGGCATGAATCTAAAGCAGTGAGAGCCAAGGTTGGCTTGATTGGAGTGTAAATTTAGTTACAAGTACTTTGTAATACAATATATCATCTAGTGAAGTTGAATGTGTGCGTTCATGCGTTTATTTAACCTAGCAATTCCATTTTTAGCAGTATACTCCAGAGAAATTCTTACACCCATGTACCAGGAGACAAGATACTCATACTAGCATTGTTCATAATAATAAAAAGCGAGAAACAGTCCAGATATTTATAAACAGGAGGATGATGAATTGCATGTACATAATGTTGGGTAATACAGCAGGCAGATACATTTAACAATATTCTGTCTATATACATTTTAAAGCATACAGATTTTAAAAGTTATGTAGAATTACATATATTCATGTGGAAAAACTATAAAGGAAATCAAGGAAATGATAAAATTCAGGATAGCAGTTACTGCTGGAAGTATAAAAGAAAATATGTGATTAAGGAGGCACATTGTGTTAGTTAAGATACAGGTTTTTGACAGAAAACCCACATAGTGACATAAACAAGATACAAGTTTATTTGTCTTGTAACAGGTTGAAAATATCCCAGGCATGACAGTTACGTTCTACATGGTTATCTAGGAGCCAGGCTCCTCTTTTTGGAGCTCCTCATCCACATGGTTATGATGGCTCATCACCAGAGCTACATTTCAAGTGTAATGTGGAAGAATGGAGGAGTAAGTGACCTTAAAAAGGAAGTTGTACATGAAGACTTCTCTTCATGGTCTTCTGGCTAGACCGTATCCATTGTATGGTAATTTTTAGATCCAAGGAGGCTTGAGAAATGTGCCTAGCTGAAAATCAGGAGTTCTAGAACAGAGAGAAAGAAAGAGAGCACAGGTATTGGGAGGAAAGTAGCAATTTCTGCCACAGGCTCATGTGGCTAGGGTAGGAGGGGAAAGCATAAAGGTATTGGTATTGTTCTGTTTCTTGAAATAGGATGGTGAGTATAGTTGTCTTTTTAAAATTTTATGCGTTCCCTATAAATTATATGCTTTTGTATATATGGAATGTTTCACTATTAGAGCTAAAAAGTTTAGTGGATATTTTTTAGCTTTATTTTGCTTGAATCTTATGCAGCATATGGTACTGTTGTTCACACCCTCTAGACATACGAATTTTTATTGGCAAGAATCTCCTGGTCTTTCTCTTATTTTTCCATCCATTCCTTTTCAGCCTCCTAGGCTTCATTTTCTCTGCAGGGAACAAAAAGGCCTTTCCTAGATGCCCCTCACTTGTCTCCATAATTATTTAGGATAGTTTCAAATTGGCTCATGGGTTTCCTGGATTTGGAAAAATTGCAAGAGAAAACTAATTATATGGTAAATATTCAGATTTTATCACCTTTTATTCATTATGCTCTATCCATATATGGAAAAGGGAGGTTAGCACATTTTTTTCTTTGTAATTTTAAATATTTTTTATACCTTTCTGAAGTACATAATAAAAGGGCAAATAATTCTAGGGTGAGTCCAGAGAACCCAGTGTATCTTGTAAAGGTAAGAAACAGCAACTGTTCTCATAAGTATATACATAAAACATCATTAGAATAAATCTTGGAAATGACTCATTATTATAATCATGTATAAACATGTGATATCTTTTTATAAAAACTCAGCAATTTACTTGATCTCTCAGAATGACTGCATTTCCTAACCCTCCTTGCAGCTATCTTGACCTAGGGCTTGGCTAATGGAATGTAAACAAAAGTCACTAAATGATAAATTTTAGCATATGTTAACAAGAACTATTTTTTCCCCAATGAAATAGTCTCAGGCATACATGCATTTGAGAATTTGTATTCACTTAAATTTTTATTAAAGTAAATAAGATAAAATTCAGTTAGCATTCAAGTTTCAACCATACGTCAGGGACTATGTCAGGTTGTGGGAATACAGGATTGAGCAAATTCTAGTCCCAACCTTCAGGGAACTAATAGTCCAGAGGAAATCTAGGTGAATGCTATGTTATAGATAGATAATGCCTAAGGTGCTGTGGAAACACAGAAAATGCCGAGGTTAGCTGGGAAACTCAAACTCAAGACAGTTGACAAAACCTAATGTAAGTTTATAAAATAAAAGCATTTAAAAATAGCATCTAAAGATCTCAGTTGTTATAAGCATTTTAAATAGTTACATTAAAAAAAATGAGTCCAAATGTTATTATAGGAGGTAGAGGTTGGGGGGAGGGAAGGAGTACAAATGAGCTCTATTAATTTTTAAAATATTTTATCTATTGTATAGATCTTTTCTTTGTATACTAATTTTATAACCAGAGAAAATAATTTAAAATCCAGTTTTTAAACAGAATATGTATTTCTTAATGTAGCAATGTAACTTTTTTTTGATTTAGCAACATGGTTTTCTTAAGATTCCTGGACTCTTTATTTTCAGAAACACAAACTCATGTAACATAGTATGTGTTTTATACATATCTTTTTTAATGTATTAAGTTAAATCTTACTTAGTGTAAACATGTACAATGCTCATAGTACTTCACAGTAATTCCAATGTAGATATCATCTGACATTGGAATTTAAGGCAGAGATTCAAGTTTCATTCACTGACTAACAGATTGCAAGGAGGAGAACAGTATGCACAATTCTTAATCTTAACATAGCACCTGCTCTTACAGTTCTCACCATTATGGGATGTTGTAGCTATTCTCTTTTAACCCAACATTCCTCAAACTCATTTCTCTTTATGGTGATTTCATAAGGCGAGGGAAAGACCCATTTTCACAGACGTTGCTCTTCCTTTTGAAAAACTGAAAAGGGATTAGTAAAATCTCATCACATTTATGGCCTTTAATAACTTCTCTCATAAGCCCTTTGTCATTTTCAAGCTTTTTCTCTAAGGTGATTTATTAAGCCAGGACTTTCTAGTGTCATTCAGATACTGTACTCTGTAACTGTTACATTCTCTCTGATTCAGTTTTTAAGCAAAAACGAAATCTTTTTTTTTCCTTGCAGACTTTGCCTTCAAAAGAAACAACGTTTTTAAATACTACACAAATGCCTTGCTTGCAGTCAGCTTCAACTTGGAGTAGCTGTGAACAGGATTCAAAATCTCAGATATTAAGAGAACATGTATCAGAATTGGACTCTTCTTTCCATTCTGTCCTATCATTGCCATCAGGTAAGCCTACTGATAAAAAAATTTCTAAGTAAACTCAGTATATTCTGTGGTGAAGTCTAATCCTATAGATAAAAGGAATCTAATAAAAATGTTATCAATTATTTTGCCACTGGATATTAGAACTAAACAGTTTTCATAGAGGAATTAATCCTGTGAGTTAATCTTCTACTTTTGCAAGTTGATTCTTAAATTCCTTGGAAACCATTTTGAGTTATATTGGGAAATAACTACGTTTTGATCTTTTCAGTGTTAAAATTTAGAATTTTATTGATAAAGTGACTATGCCATTGAAATGTTTCTCAGTGGGTTTTCTTTCCTAATATGTTGTTTTGCATGGAGTTTTCTCTGCTATATAATATTCCTCTGCTTAAAATCAGCATTGAGTTTCTTTGGGATAAGAAATTGCCTTTCTTTGGGATAAGAAATTGCCCATCTTTAGGTATAGTCAACTTTTGAACCTCAAGAAAATCTATAATCTGTAACTGAGTGAATGAGGCACGCATAGCCCCACATCCCTTTAAGTTTCTAGTTCTTGGTTTTTGTTGGAACCATTCCTGTTGTTTCTTTTTTTTTTTTTTAAGTTTTGGGGTTTTTTCGTTTGTTTGTTTTTAGTAATCTCTATGCCCATTGGGGGGCTCAAACTCACAACCCCAAGATCAAGAGTTGCATGCTTTTCTGAGCCAGCCAGGCACCCCTCCAGTTGTTTCTGTATTGAACTGAAGTAAATATTAGGGTAAAAAAGGAAACAGTCTTCACACTGGTTATCTCAGGTTCTTCTCTTTAAGGGAAGACATCTCAAATGGGCTTTTGTTTCCTTTTCAGCTTTTGGTTTTTATCATCCAGGGACTGCTCCTCTTTGTAAAGCACTATTTTCTGTACTTATTCTTGCCCTGAATCCTGAATCTTTGTTTTCTTACCAATTTTCGAGTGGTTTCTTAGCTACACCATACTTAGAATTAAGTTCCTGGGGGCGCCTGGGTGGCTCAGCTGTTAAGCATCTGCCTTTGGCTCAGGTCATGGTCCCAGGGTCCTGGGATCGAGCCCTGCATCAGGCTCCCTGCTCGGCGGGAGGCCTGCTTCTCCCTCTCCCACTCCCCCTGCTTGTGTTCCTTCTCTCGCTGTGCCTCTGTCAAATAAATAAATAAAATCTTAAAAAAAAAAAAGAAAAAGAATTAAGCTCTTGGCAGGAACTATGTTCCCATCTTTGAGGAAAGCTTAATAATAGAAAGAAACAATAATAAATATAACAATGGTAATGCAGCTAACATTTGGGCTTAGCATACCTGTAAGCACATTACATTTTCTTGTTTAATTCTTCCAGTTTTCCTCTTTATCTTACATACAAGAAAACTGAAGCTTACTATTCTAAGATTATACAGCTAGCAAATGATGGAGGCAAGATTTGATATGAGGTAGTCATACTCCAGAGCCACACTCCTAACCTTTACTCTTCACTGCCTTTCTGTTTTCTCCTGCTACATTTTGTCTCTGATATAACCCTGAGAGCTGGCATTAATTATCCTTCATTTAATCCTCTTATGTCCCTTCCAATAAGTTAAGATTAACTTCCCCACCTATTAATCAGGTTTTTCATGTCTTCTTGCATTCATTTAATAAAAATCTGAATACCTACTATTTACTAGGTACTAAGAGTATAAATACAAATAAACCCTCAAAGTACTTGCATTCTAATTTAAGACAGCTGAAATGTAAACTAATAAGTGTATTAAACTGTTATGAAATATTCTTATAAAAGCCCAAAGGTGTGGGTACTAAGGAAGGTATATGGGTGGAACAAGGGCCTTCCCTAGTTACATCATGTTTTCTCACAACTCATGAGGAACAGTGGTAGAATAGGTGATATTTTCTTTATAAAAGTAAGTGATATTTCTTTGGAGAAATAAACTTATAAAAGTTTTGGCAGTTGGAAAATACTGGATTCCTGAAATGCTTAAATAACATATTTAATTTGTAATCTTAGTTTCATTTTATAGTTTTTGTATGATCATAGTATATAGTGTTAGGACTGAAATCTTTCCTACCTCTGTTCTGTCCCTTTGGGATAGACTCCATGTTGAAACTCATGAACCTTTTTTTTTTTTTTTAAGTGTATTTTTCCACACTTGAGTATGGATCTGAATTAAAATATATCATTTGAGGGAGAGATACTTCTTTGTTTAAAATCCAGACCTGTTCTGGGTCTGTTCTGATTTATGTGTTCATAATTAGTTTTTTTTCAGTAGCAAAACTTTCAATACACCAACTACTTTTAAAATACTTCTTTGTTTCTTAGGGAGAAGTTTAGGTGTCTCTGTTAAATACTTTTGAAGATGGTTTTGTTTTTGCATCTTGAGGAAAAAACTTTAATAAATGTGAAACACATCTACTTTATTATTTAGCTCCTCTTTTGGTTGTGAGAATATAGAATATAAATATAGTGAATTGACATCTCAGTCTCTATTTAAAGGAAGAGAGCTAGTCTGTAAATGTGTTTTAATCTTTGTAAAAGTATATTTTGTGATTCATAATATTAGTAAACTAAGGGAATATGAAACTTGGTGGTTTCATCAAAGGTAGCATCTGAATTATAATGGTTTTCCCTCAAGTAATTAAAACATATCTTTCAGAAACCTTATTTCAAATGTAAAATTTGTGGGGGTGGGGTGGAATGGACTTAGACTCAGCCAGGTTTGGCTGTACGTTTTATTCAAGACCTTTGGATACGTTTGTTTTATCTGGGAATAGTACTTACTAATACTTACAATTTTGATCATCTTATCTATTATTTTGGTTTATAAACATATTCATCATTAGAGTTTTTATTTATTTAGTGCATATAAGCAGTAATTTCCAAAATACTGCTGTCTGTATGCTTGGAGAGAGTACTTTGCCACTTCTGATAGTTGTAACATTTCAAGTTTTTGCTTATTTTTCTAAGCTTATGTGCTACTTAGAGAAAGAAAGCAATCTTAATATTAGAATCTATAAAAAATGATATTCACTAAAAGTACTTTTTTTACTTTATTTTTCCAGATGTGCCTCTTCATTTTCACTTTGAAACACTGTTTAAAAGGACTGAAATAAAAGGAGATCTTGCTGAAAATAAATTTATAGGAGACTGTGTCATAGCTCCATCACCTGGTATGTCATTTACAAATCTTGTACTTTATATGCCTTTTACATCTTTCAGATACTGTTTTTGCTTTCTAAGGGAATAAAATTTAACAAAGGAACAAGATGTAAATCCTTAATTTTTAATACTCACTTTTTACAAATCACACATAACACACACATGTAGAAAATACACAGGAGTGATCTTAACAAGAAAGGTGATACTTATAGAATGAAAATTACGAAATACTGATAAATATAAAAAGAAATCTAAATACACATGGAGAATACAGCATTCCTAGATGATAGGATTAATAAGGATATCAATTCTTCCTATTGGTTTATATGTTTAATGCAATGTAACTTGAAGTTCTAAAAGAATTTGGTTAACTTAACAAAATAATTGTAAAGCCCATTGGGAAGAATAAATGGGAAAATACAAAACTAACTGCTGGAAGAAGTATTAAGAGAATCTATCCTAGCCACATATGGAAACATAACAAAAATCTGTAATAGTTATTAGCATAGATTTTGTGTATACATTTAGGAAAGTAAATCCATGAAGCAGACTATATAGCTTATACTTTATAAGGGAAGAATTGTAAATCAATGAGAACATGGAGAACTATTCAATAAATAGTATTGTTAGTACTGTTAGTCTTTTGGGGGAAATTTTGTTTACATACTTGTTTCATACCATGTATCAGAATAAATTCTAGTTGGTTCCAAGAATTTGAAGAATTAAAACACTAAAATTACAAAATAAAAATAGAAGAATTATAATGAAATAGTTATGAGTATTATGGGGGCGGGACATTGTGCTTGGAAACAATCACAAGAAGAAAAACATCATGTTTTGACTGTCTACAAAGTGAAAATCTTAGTATCAAAAAAGTCATACAAAGAAAAATTACTTCCAGATGAAATAACCATCTACCTCAAAAACTCAAGAATCAACTCAGTGCCTGTTAGAATTGGAGTTCTAAAAAGTAGCAGATTTTAAAATAAATTTATAAAAATCAGCAGCCTTATAAATACCAGTAATAACCAGTTAGAATATGTAAAGGAATTATACACATTGACAGTGAAAATATAAAATACCTAGGATTAATTAAACTTAGTAAGGACCTACATGAAGAAAACTTAAAAAGTTTACTAAGGAACACAAGAATATGTGCCTATAGAGAGAAATAACCCTATTCCTATCAGAAGACAATATTGTCTGAGGTGCCTGGGTGGCTCAGTCAAGTGTCCAGCTCTTGATCTCAGCTCAAGTCTTGATCTCAGGGTCATGAGTTCAAGCCCCACATTGGGCTCCACGCCCAGCATGGAGCCCACTTTAAAAAAAAAAAAAAAGGACAGTATTGGAACTTAAGATGTTATTTTTCCCCAGCTTAATTTTTAATGTAACTCTTAATTAGAATCATAGAGGTATTTTTTTTTTTTAAGATTTTATTTGTTAGAGAGACAGTACAAGCAGGAAGAGCGGCAGGCAGAGGGAGAAGCGATGTGGGACTCGATTCCAGGACCCTGGGATCATGACCTGAGCCAAAGGCAGATGCTTAACCGACTGAGCCACCCAGGGATCCTAGTATTCTTTTCTTTTGGAACAAAGTTATTCTCAAGTTTATCTGAGAGAATAAATGTTGAATAGCTAATAAAATTTTTAAAAAGATCAGTAAGAAGGAGGTGCCAGGTAACAAAACTGTAAAGCCATAAGCATTATTTTATTGTGTTGTTGATGGAAGTCAGATCAAGAAAGCTAAATAGCCTAGAGACGGACCCAACTGTCCATTATATGATAAAAAGGTGGTTTTTCCTATCAGTGTGGGAAGGATGGCCTCATCAATAAATAATAACAATAATTCTTATGAAGCATTCCTTACACGCCACTACTGGTTGAAGGGCTTTATATTTGTTGATTGCTTTAATCTGTACAACCCTGTAAAGTGAGTATTATGATTTTCTTCCTTGCCTGATTTTCCCAAAGTCACATTTGAGTAGTGATAGGGTCAGGATTCAAGTCCAAGCAGTCTGGCTCAGAGTCCATGTTTTAAACAACTAAGCTGCTTCTAAAATCAGTGGATTAAACAGTGACTTTTTGAGGAAAAAAAAGATCTCTACCTCATACAGCACATTAATGTTCATCCATCTTAAATTTATTTTAAATACATTCCAGATGGATTAAAGAGTTAAATGTTAAAAGTGCTGTCTTAAAAGAATTAGAAAAAAAAATGATGTATTTAATGATGATATTGAAAATAATAATCGTAAGTAACATTTATGGAGTGCTTATGTGTAGACACTCTGCTAAATATTTACTGTTTTTTCTGATTACATTAGGACATTTAAATGTTATAATCATCAATTCTGGCAAGATGTGTGTAGTAAAAAGAGGACCCTCAAATATTTTAGAGAGCATTAAGAATACAGACCTTTTCGGAAGTACTGTGAAATTAATTATAATGCCTTTAAACTAGGTATTCTTTAAATAAGCTCATTGAGGAAAAATAACCATTTACTTGTGCAAATGTTTACTAAACTGTTAACTGTGTATTTTGACCCAGTAAATCCATTTCTGGTAACCTAGCCTAATGCTTAATATAAAACCACCTTTATTTACAAATCTATTCATTTTACCATTATTTGTGTTAATGAAAAATTGGAAACAACTTAAAAGAGTATAATTGAGATATGGTTAACACAGTGGAACATGCAACTTTTAAATATCTTTAAAGTTCATATAAGGATGGAAACATCAAAGAATGTCAAGTAATAGAAAAGGACAAACATGTTTTACTTCTATGTATGGTACGATTATAACCATGTAAAAATGTTCATTCTTCTGTCAACCAAATGCAATGTGTGGGTCTTTTGGGGATCCTGATTTGAACAACTCAGCTGTACACATACACACAATTTTTGAGATAATGAAATTTGAACACACATGGCTGTTGAATATTAATGAACTTTGTTAGATGTAATGCATGTGGTTACATAAACACACACACTCTTTATGTTTGTTAGAAATTCAGGCTCACATATCTGTAGATGGGATTTGCTTTAAAATAGGTTAGCAAAAAAAAGTTGGGGAGAGTGAGGAAACAAGGTTGGTCACTAGTTTGTAATCGTTGATAATGAATGATAGGTGTAGGGGAGATTATTCTTCTCTTCTTCATTTGTGTTTGTTGAAATGTTTCCACAGTAAAAAGTTTTTTAAAAAAATGAAAGCACTAAGGACAAGGAGCTATTGTCTATGCTTAGGGAAAAAAGACTGAAGAAATACAGGAAAATATAGGGTTATGTTCAAATACTTTTTCATGATACAATTTGCCTCCTTGGAATTTATACTGAGACTAATTTTAAAAAAAGAAAAAAATGCATGCATGAAGGTGACTGTTTTAAGAGTAACCATAATAGGAATATCATGATGATAACAACTAGCTCTAACAGCTAGGGGATAGTTAAATGATATTATCTCTAACCAGAAGAATATTAGGTAACCATTTGAAAAAATAACAAGTGAATTAATCAAATTTGAAAAATACAGTTGTACATATATTTAAATGAAGTTACATTTGAAATGTGAATATAAAATGTATGCATTTGTTTGAAAGGAATATACAAAAATGAAATTATATGCTGTTAGATAAGTGAGATTAGGTGATTATATAAAAAAATGAAATTATATGCTGTTAGATAAGTGAGATTAGGTGATTATATTATTTCTAATGTTATTTATCTGAAATTTAGAAAAGAGCAGTGTAATAATGTGTTAGGCACAGAAGTAATAGTAACTTATCAATAATGCTAGTAATGGGGGAATTGAGAGCTAGGAACAGAAGATATTTGAGATGAATGCTGCCATATTATTAGGCAAATCAGTGAAGTATATTCTATTGTATCCCAATCTCTCCTCCCTTATTTTCTTTCCCTACCACTCCCAACCCAAATAATTAAGCATCAATTAGATTTCATCCTATGTAACCATGTCTGAAATACTGGTCATTATTATTCGTTGTTAGTTATTTCTGTAGAATTAAATAAAACTAGAGTTCAACATTTATTGATCACTCACTCTGTACCAAGGCAGACTGAAGAGTCAAAAGTGAATCACAGGGAATCAAAGAAATTATAATGTAATAAGAGGAAGCAGACACACAAATAACTATTAAAATGATGTGGGCACAGATATGATAAAAGTATTCTAAAAAGAAGAAGGAGTGTGTAACTTTGCCTAGGGGAAGGCAAGAGGAAGGGAGGGGTAAGGATAATGGGGAGAGGGCAAGAGGGACTCCAGAAAGATGGTAATGCCAAGTATGGCTTTAAATACTTAGTTGGAATTTAGAGGAAGAAGAGTAAAGTGTTCCAAATCATTGTTTCTCAAACTTTTATGTGCAAACAAACTACTTGAGGGATGTTGTTAGAATGCAGTTTCTGATTCAGTAAGTCTGGAATGGGGTCTGATTCTGCATTTCTAACAAGTCCTAGGTGGTTCAAATGCTGTTGGCCCATATTGATTTTAAAATGGAAACAAACGTGATTTGTCATGGAGACATAAAACAGTGTGATGTATTCAAGTATATACAAAATGCCTGGTATTATAGGGTAAATTGTGTGAAGGTAAGTAGATGGATGTTTGTGTGCTTTGTCACAGAGCTTTTATTTATCCTCTGTTGTCCAGAAGAATTTTAAGAATGCACAGCTGACTTCAGGTAACAAGTAGGGCAAAGACAAATTGTAGTGGGATGAAGAGTAAATGATTAGTTGCCAATTCTGAGGAAATACCAGGCAAAGCCAATTAAGGGCCTGTACTCATCAAAATATGCAGTCATGAAAGACAAGACAGTGGAACTATTTCAGATATAAGAAAACTTTAGACACATGACAACTAAATGCAAAATGAACAGAATTTCCTATAAAGAACATTATGGGGGTGGGCGGCGCGCCTGGGTGGCTCAGTCAGTTAAGCGGCTGCCTCCTGGGATCGAGTCCCGCATCGGGCTCTCTGCTCAGTGGGGAGTCTGCTTCTCCCTCTCTGTCTGCTGCTCTGCCTACTTGTGCTCTCTATCTCTGTGTCAAATAAAAACCTTTAAAAAAAAGATTATAGGAATAATTGGTGAAATTTAAATCAGTCCATAGTTAATAGTATTAAATTTGATAGTTGTGTGGCTATGTAAGACAATACATGTTGACAAATTTACCGGGACATTGTGTCAGCAACTTAATCTCACTGGAGTTCAGAAAAATAAAGCAAGTAAGATAAACTTAGTATTTGTGGAATCTGAATAAAGGGTATATGGGACTTCTTTTTACTATTGCAAACTTTCTGTTAGTCTGAAATTATGTCAAAATGAAGTTTATTTTTTAGAGTGGACAGATGAGAGAGGAACAGTGGCACCACAACCCACACAAGCAAGCCAAAAGCTAGGGCTTAGGCTTCTCCACCTACACGTCCTCATATCTAAACCCATTATCAGTATGATCTGACTCATTTGTTTCAAACATGCTCCTGTCTTCATTTCTACCACTTTCAGAGGCCAATCTAATTATCCCTTATCTATACTGCTGAAATAGCCTAATCAATTAATTATTTCCCTCCAATCCCTGTAGCTAGTGATCTTTGGAAAATGTAAAACTGTCTACGTCACACCTGTTCCCCACCCCCATTCCTTAAAATGTCTGACAGAATATTATAGGAGACCCCTAAAGTCCTACCTACCTAGGATGACTCCTACCTGTTCATGGTTCTTTTTCACTATACTTCCTTACTCTATACTAACTGCTGTTCCATTGTCAAATTTATCTGGCTCCCTGTTGCTTTGGGCCTTTGTACATACCATTCTCTCTTCCTTCCCCTTGGCATCAGCGATTTCTGTTCATCTTTGAAATCTATCACTTTGCCTGGGTACTTTTCCTAGAGCTGTTATATACTCCCACTAACTTCTCTAAATAGTACTTCTCTTTTCTGTTACACGTTGGTTGCAGTTTTTGAGATAATGTCTATAAACTCCATTAGCGGCAAGGATCATGACTGCTCACCAGTGTTCCCAGGGTCTAACACAGTGCCTGGTGTGTAATTAGCTCTCTCTGAAGTTACTGAATGAATAAATGAAAGGGAAGAAAGGGAAGGCAGGAGATAGGAGAGACACCATGTCAAGGGGTGTTTTAGGATAGAATCCGGGAGAGGATTTTGGAGAGCAAGAACTGAAAGACTCAGAGGGTTATAAGGAGGTAAAGAGAATGTGTAGTTTGATTTTGAGTTGTCATATATTTCCTACTGTTTCAAGAGTCTGTTGCAACCTTACAAGATACTAAGGAAAAATAAGCATAAAGAAAACTCAAGTAAAATTCAGTAAAAAGTACCACCTTAGGGAAGGTTGAAGTTTCTTCAAAAAGGTATTTGCTTTTAGAAAACAGGAAAGGTGGTGAATTGCTTTTAGAAGAGAAGGGCGAGTTGACTGGAATTTGTTTTAAAATACTCCAGAAATGTTTCCATTAAAACAAGAGAGGACATTATTAGAACACCTGCATGTATGAGGCATATTATACATTTTAAGACCTCTCACAATTCTAGTTACCCCTTTCTAGAAATGGATTTAGAATTATGACTGCCAGTTCATTTTGTTTTCTATTTATATTTAACATCTTTCTCTGCATTCTTTTGGGTGGTTAAGAAATCTTGGGGGCCATCTTAGAATTCTGCCATTTTCCCTGAGCTCTTTTTCTTTTAAGATTTGAGAAAGAGAGGCAAAGGGAAAGGAAGAGTCCCAAGCAGACTGCGCTGATCTCACAACCAGAGCTGAAACCGAGTTGGGCACTCAACACCTCCCTGAGCTCCTTAAAGTCACTGTTCTGTTTTCCAGCAGCTAGTTTTGCTTTGTCAATTTGATCTTCATTACTTTGCAGTAATCCTTTTATCCCTTTTCTGGTAACTTTTAGGATATCTTTGTTGTGATGTATGATTCAGATTTTTTTCCCCCACTTGACACTCGAATGAGTTCTTGAGATCTTATGGAAAAATTTTTGTCTATCATTTCTTCAACATTACCTCGCATTCTGTTCTGTTGCCCCATTTTGGTGTGCCCTTTTCTCTCCCCATATTTTCCACCACTCTGAGTTGTACAATTCCTCTGCCAACCCACTGATTGTCATGTTCAGCCATGTCCATTCTGTTACTTAGCCCAATTAGTGATGGTTGTTTTTAAATATGAACAATTTTATTTTCCATTCTGAGGTCTCTCTAAAGGAACCTTTTGCCTGTTTCTTTCGGCAATGTTGTTTTAAAGACTTGTTATTTGTATTCTGTGAATCCATTCACTGTTTCTTGAGATGGTTCATTTGTACTTCATTTTTTATGGTGTTGGTACTCAGATTTTTGGAGATTTGAGTTCTCAACTTTAAAGTTGATATTCACTATTAGGACTGTTCTGCCACTGTTATGTATGAAATCCTTTTCTCATGGATAGGGTAGAAATTTGCACTCAGTACTATTTTCAGAAGCAGTTAGGGACGGGCAGGACATACTTCAAAGTGAGGCGCTTGGGCACTGCTTTCTCTCTACCCATCCATTTCTCTGCCCAAGACTCAGATTGTTACCTATTAAGGCAGATAATCTCAAGGAGCGTAACTGAGGAGTTGGCATGTGTAATCATCCTATCAGATAACTATCCATCTAGGTAATTACCTAGATTACCATCTAGGTAATTGTCCTGCACCATTTCCCTTCCCTCCAGGTCTAGAGCACCTTTCATGATTCTATTTTTGTGGTAGCACTTTCCCATGTGCTTTTGCAGTGTTTGCTCTTCAAATTCCCTATGATAGCAGTCTTTCAGAGATTCCTCACAAATTCTGCTTTACTTACAAGTTCCCTTTTATTGCTTGCGATTGTGGATGTGTATGTGCAGATCTTTGCATATGTCTATGTATAAACCTTTTGTCTATTATTTTTAGGGTGTTTTGTCATCTTGAAGTCAGAGTCCCAGTTATTGTTAGACCATCCTTTTTTCCCCCTCAGTGTTGGTGAGAAATTGGCACTTCAGCCTACATTTCTTTTTTTTTCTCCAAACCCTTCAAAAAAGAAGCCAATATGGTTACTAAGCCAGTACTGGAAATATGGGGTTCGGATAGGCAATAATCATGATGAAACTAATTTATTGAATACTTATGTCAGATATCCTTCTAATGACTATTACAGGGATTAATAACTCATTTGATCTTCATAAGCCCATGACAGCTGCTCTTATCCCTGTTACAGATGAGGCAGCTGAGGCACAGAGACACTAAGTGACCTAAAAGTTTAAGAGAATTCAGTGCTTTTAAAAAGTATAAGAATGGTGCTGGGTACTGTCAGTTTGATGAAATCTGGTTCTTGCTCTCAAGAGGTCCCTGTCTATTGTGATTTTGTAGACTCTTACTTGATCCTATGAATTACTTTCAGATTTAAGGGCGAGTGGGGAGCTATAACTTAGGGATTCAGATCATATTCAGCCAAGGTTTACAGACCTGAAACAACTTCCTAAGATTTTGTAATTTAGAGAAGACTTTGAGAACAGGTAACCTTTTCTTTTCATCCCCTTCAAGTAATGGAGCAACTATAGGAAATTGGGCACTTCTTGAAGATGTTTTTAAGGAATCTTATTGGGGTATTTTCAGTTTAGGAGCATTCCATTTTGATATGTATTTCTCTCATTGTATGTAATTTTGAACTGGTGAATTAATGTTCTACAATGTTGTAAGTAAAAACAAATTAACATGTTCATTATGTGTTAAGGAAAACTTCACATTTCCTTTCTGTTTTAGTACATAATACTTCTCTGAATCAATGGAGAAATGGATATTCTCCTACATGCAAGCCTCAAATAAGGTCAGAATCTTCTGCACAGCTGTTCCAGGGAAGAAAGAAAAGACACTTGAGTGAAACAGCATTAGGTAGGTTAAAATGAGGATATGAGCACTAGTAATAAATTGAAACTAAAAACTGAAAATGATCTTCAAAGAACCTCTGCTTCATGGAAATTTATAATCCAGAATAGTCCCTATTACACAAAATATCCATGGTCCTATGAATGTTAAACAGCATATTCACGTAGTCAATTCAGGACTGTGTGGACTGGGCATCCATCCACTTGAGGGCATTAAGGATTTCCTTCCTATATTCCCTAACTAGAGTTATCTTCTATGGACTGTCCTCCTGGACAGAACTTAAGCCAACGCTGTGTTCTGGACTCAAAATATGTCAGTACAGAGGTGCCTTACAGCCATTTCTGGTACTTACGTGGAGGTGTCAGTTCAGTGAAGCTTCCTTAGAATTTTGAGAAATTGGATGAGATTCACCTAACATAACTCAACCAACTAGTTCAATTTCCCTTAGGAACTTACAGTTCCAAGATGATCAGTAGACATCTTTGAAATCAGAACTCTTCTAGTAATACAAAATGGGGTTTGTTGTGGGGATTTAGGACTATCGGTTTCCAGAGTTACTGCAAATAACGATTAAAAAACTTACAGAAAATATACATTTTAAATGGCAAATTATTTATGTTTTGGTTCTTGTTCATTGTTCCAGTGGACAGAACACTATATACATTAGTCAAGTATTCCCCAGATGTAGTATGTCAGTATACCCAATAATTTAGAAATTGCATTCAAGATGTACTGGACTGTAATTATACTTAATGGATTTAACATGTTTATCACTACTATCTCTAGAAATGCCACCATATCAGCCCAAGTCCCTACCTGATAATCACTACCTGATGAGCTAGTGTGGCACAAAATTAAATGCCTAGCCACAACCAGAGATATCATTGTGCTTTTTTTAGTACCTCAATCTTAAAGACAACCAGGAGTCACCTTAGCTTTTGAAGAACTTACATACACATACAGATCTTCCTCTTTTGACTTATGACAGGGTGACATCCCAATAAACCCATGGTAATCTTGAGTCAAAAAAGTATTTAATATGCTAACCTACCAAACACCACAGCTTAGCCTTAAATGTGCTGGGAACACTTATATTAACGTAAGTTGGGCAAAATCATCTAACACAAAGCCTATTTTAAAATAGTGTTGAATGTCTCATGTAATTTATTGAATACTGTACTGAAACAGTATAGAATGGTTGTATGGGTAGAAAATGGTTGTTAAGTGTATCGATTGTTTATCTTTGTGATCACATGGTTGACTGGGAGCTGTGGCTTGTTGCTGCTGCCCAACATGAGTATCCTACTGCATACTGCTAGCCCAGAAAAAGGCCAAAACTCAAGGTATGATTTCTACTAAATGCCTGTCACTTTTGGGCCATCATAAAATTGAAAAATCCTAAGTTGAACCATTGTAAGTTGAGGATTGTCTATCAACACACAGGAAAACTTGTATCTCTTAATAAGATCCATTATGAAATTCACATTACCTAAGATATAAAATGTTTCACTTGACTTGACCTAACTTCAAGTTTGATGGAAATACAGAAAGAGAACAAGATCCTATACTACAAAAAAGTAACTAGATAACTCCCTAGAGTGCAGAACACCTTAACATATGTCATGAAAAACAAACTTCCAGATTGCAGGAAACCTAAAAGACAATCACCAGTTTCAGTATATGGATCCTGATTTGAAGAAAGTACTAACCATAAAGGACATTTTTTAAGAACTAGAGAAATGTAAATATGGACTGGGTATTAGACTTTACACTACATAGGAAAATACTTTTTAACACCAGAAGTAAAATAAGGGTGGTAAATAAGTGAATAAATACATATTCATAAATAGGGAATCAAAACAAATGGGAAAAGGAAACATGGAAGAAACACAGAAAATACCAAGAATAGTAGCAAAGTTCTAATCAAGATCTTGAGAGAAAAAGAGAAATTCCATCCATGAAATAAGAATAGGATAGTATAAATGAGTGACAGACCAGTGACTTAGTAGAAAAAGTCTCAAGTAGAATGGGTCAGAAGATCAAGTTAAGGAAATCTCCCAGAAATTAGAACAAAAAGTCAAAGATATAAGAAAATGAGAAAGTAGAGAAAACTAAGGGGATTAAGTCTTTGGAGGTTAACATCAAAATAATAGGCATTACAGAAAACATGAACGGAATAAAGAGAAGGGATGAGATGTACTGGATAAAACTTGCCAGGACCCCTGAAAATGGAAATAATTGTGACAGAAATGTGGGTAAGATTTTTTTCATTTCCTTAATTTTTTGATACATAAATTTTAAAAAGAAAAAAATTAAACAGATAGGGAATCATGTTACCAAAGTAGGAAAGTAACTTTAATACCTGTCAGTCCTGTTTAATGTATGACATTCTCAACGGTTCTTTCCATGGCAGGAGAAAGAACTAGATTTGAAGAATTTGCTTTTCAACGCACAGAACCAGGATCCCATAGCAATTTTACTGCTGTTACTAATGTCAATGTTATATCAAGAACCCAGAATTCATCATCACAAGTAGGTTTTCTTGCATACTGAACTCTAAAATTGCTTTATAGATTTAAAACTGATAAAAAAACTCGCAAAATCTATAAACAGCCTTACTTTACTAGCACATATCGGCTTATTTAGTAGTATCTTACTAGGTAACAATAAATCTGATTAAACTTTTTTTACTAGTGAGCTAATAACTCAGTAGTCCTTGATTATGGCTTTCTTTTTTTTCCCTGTGTGAAAAACTACCATAACCATTCCTACTCCTTACCAGGAAGCTTAACAAGAATCCAGCACTCGTGTTGTTCTTACTATTTTGTCATCTGGTCAGAGAAAAGAGGTTAAAAGGTAAAAGGGTTTAGAAAAAACTGTAAAGCTCAGGGACCAGGAACACAAATGAAGAGTATAAAAATGATCTTTACTAAATGTCACACCAAATATTTTCATAGTCCTTCCTACTAAGGAAGTGTGTTTGTTAAATGATCATTTTCTTGACACTTAGGGTGCTTTATGGTAACCTTTGGTAAGCGTTTTGCAACTTAAGGCATTCATGTTTTTTATGGTCTTAAAAATAGGCTTATAGGTATGCACACAGAAATGTACACTGCATACCTGCCAGAAGGGCTTATGTTGTTTTACAGGAGACAGGTAGCTTTCTTGTTTTACCTAACATTTTATAGTCAGGCCTAGCACAACATGGTTATAAAACACGTAGAGTAGGCCTCAGGAGAGGAGGGTGGCATCGCAGCTAACTAGACACTGTGGTAACACCGCTGTGATCCCCCTTGCAGAACACTGCACGACGGAGGCTGAGAAGCGAGAGCTCCTATGACATAGATAACATTGTGATTCCCATGTCATTAGTGGCCCCAGCTAAGTTAGAGAAACTCCAATATAAGGAAATACTTACTCCAAGGTATGTATACTTACATCTCCTTATTTTCTCGCTTCCTTCGTTTTCTTGAATAAACTTAAATAATTTAAGTTAAAATTTTAATTAATTAAAGGAAGATGCTCCTCTCTCCCTTCTTCCATTTGTGAAACCATGGAGGAAAAATGGTGAAAGAAACCTTACTCATGCTGAAAAAAAGTGCCATATATTATCACTTTAGTTGTCAACTTTTATTACGAACTGGGAATTCCTAAGACTGACTTACTCTGCACTCTTAGTCTTTTATACAGTGATATTTAGTTCTCTTTGTGTGTGTGTGTGTGTGTGTGTGTGTGTAGAGAGAGAGAGAGAGAGAGCACAAAAAAGGTACTTTAGGGATGTAAATCAGTAACAAATGATCCTTGCTCTTTAAAATGGAGTTTTGCACAAGACTGCAGTGTTCAAAGAAAGCAACTACCTTTGCAAGGAATATTCACATTGTAAGACAGTAACACTTGTAACAACAAAAATAAGAATTTGTTGTTGCCAATAAATAGATTAGCAGGAAGATTTGGGAAGACATCATGAAGGAGGGAGAAAGAACAATTTATTCACACAGGGGAAACCACAACAAAGGCACAAGCTATGCCAGAGAGAGATTTTTGTGTAGGGTGATAGAGGTATGGCTAGAAAAGGGATTAGAACCAGATTATAGAGGTCCCAGAATGCCATACACAGATCTGCTTCCTACTGGCAGTAAAGTTATTCAAAGTTTCTGTTTTTTTAAGCAATGATGAAAACAGTTTTTTAAGAACGTGAATCTGGTACCAGGAAGTAGGTAGAAGAGGTTGGAAACAGATACAAGCTCAGTGACAACTACAGTAATTCCTACCCATCTCTATTCTGATTTCAAATCTTATTTCTAATTACTTTGAGGTATTAAGAACTCTTACTACTGTAGGAGGTATTATGAGAAATCCTACAGAGAATCTTTTGGGATCTTCTACATAAAAGTAAGGAGTAACATTTGTGATTATGATGTTCTGCAGCAATGATGTTTTTCAATTTACTTTGGAAGGCTAGAGCTGGCTGGTTGGGTTGGTTGTTTAAATACAGAGGAATTCTGTGATCCAGTAGTTAAACCTGAGAGGCCATGCTCTCCCCTCTCCCTTCCTGCCAAGCCATTTTATCAGCATCTACTGACTTAATAAAATTGGTACATTCTTAGGTACAGAATGCAGCTATGCAGAAGAGACCGTTTCCTCTAAGGCCAAAAGTAAAGTCTCACCTTCTTGTCTTTTTTTCATAACACAAATTGTTCTCTTAAAAAAAAAAAAAAGTATGAAAATACAACCATTTGAATTAATGGAAGCCCCAAGGAAAGAAAACATTACTGCATTAGCTGTGTGTGCTCAGAGAATAAAACTGTTACACTTAGTTAACAAAAGCTGAAATTGGTTTGTATCTTCAACAGCTGGAGGATGGCTGTTCTTCAGCCTTTGGATGAATATCATGTAGGTGAAGAAGAGGTAAGCTGCCTTTCACTTATGGACAATTGCACTTTATATATTATGAAGCCTGCTTAATTTGGTGTTTGAGGAACTAAAGGGAATCATAAGCCCCTTAACATGCACTGATTTTTTTTTTCACTTATGAAAACAAAATTCTTCATTAAGGATATCGTTTCATTAGAAAAATGTTTTCGTGCAAATTTGCAAAGACAGTAATCTGTAAAGAAATGTAATAAACACAAATCTTTTGCTTACATGAATTGTTGAAATACTGAATTTACATGAGTATCTATATTCATTCCCAGTATTAGTCATGTTTTTCTGCATGAAGACATTTAGTTTTAATATTCAAGTCTACAGTGCCACATTCAAAACGTTGGGAACAAATGGCTTTTGAATTGGGAAACCTTTGGACTTGAGAAAGTAATGTGAATGTGATGGATACATCACATAAGACATAGAGGGAGTATAGGATAGTTCTCATAATCAAATAATTAATGTTTCTATAGAAAACAGTTCTAGAATTTGGCCAAATCAGGCTATGTCACTGAATGAATTAAGAAACTTGTTTTAGAGTTTCAGAATGCGGGAAAGGTACTGTGAGCCTGTATGGGTAAAACTTATATTAAGACAAGAACAATTTCAGGGAAAAATACTATGTAACCAAGCACTATTATGTAAGACATTTTGTGTCATAATCTTTCTAGGTCCACTGACTGTGTTTTTAACTATCAAAATTTTTTTAATGCCCTCCCCTCTTTTAATGTGCTTTTCCCTGGTTTAGAATGATCCTAGCCAGGAAACCCAAATTCTTAAACAGTACCACCAAAGTCTTAGAACTCCAGATTGTCATTAGTTAATTTTCATTTTTCTCAGTTTTACTTTGCTTTGATATTAAATTCCTAGAACAGTAAAGGGCAATCAATATAAATCTTTGAATGAATTAAGAGAATTTTTTATGCAAAGCACTGTGAACTTATCTGTCATCTAGGTAAGTCTTCAAAGATGACCGACCCAATAGGAAAAAAGTTGTACAAGAGGAGGAAAAAAAAAAGTTAATCCCTCTATTTTGGAATTTGAAGCTCATCTCATAACACTTGTTCTCTCAATTTAGATTTTAGATTTTTCTTCCTATATTCTCTTGATGAGGAATTGACACCTGTTCTCATATTTCAAAATGTTTCTGATAAAAGAAAAACTTTATTTCTAATTCCAGGTAGAAGATCTTTCTGATGAAGTCTTCTCCCTAAGACACAAAAAATATGAAGAGAGAGAGCAAGCCAGATGGTCACTATGGGAGCAAAGCAAGTGGCATAGAAGAAACAGCAGGCAGGTGTTAAACCAATTTAAAAGCCCAAACCATGAAATCCATGAAGAATCAACAAAAATTCTTCATGAGTAATGAGAGAGACCCCTAAAAAGGAAGAAAATATACTGCAGACCATCAGTTATTTGTGCACTAGAACTGAAACATGGCATTTACTGAGTACATTCCAAATAGATTTTGGCTCTGACTGATGAAATGCATTTCTCTATTTTCCTCCACTATTTCCTCATGCTTACTGTCAGCCTGAGAAACAGATTTAACTCAGCAAATGATGTGAAAATGCTCCCTAGAGTAGGCCATTTCAGTGCACTTTAACAGCAGCCCTAACGCTAGGAATTAGAATCTGGGTGATCAATTTTAACATAACCACTTAAAAAACATGTTGTTCTTGGGCGCCTGGGTGGCTCAGTTGGTTAAGCGACTGCCTTCGACTCAGGTCATGATCCCGGAGTCCCGGGATCAAGTCCCACATCGGGCTCCCTGCTCAGCACGGAGCCTGCTTCTCCCTCTGACCCTCCCCCCTCTCATGTACTCTCTCTCTCTCATTCTTGCTCTCTCAAATAAATAAATAAATCTTTAAAAAAAAAACAAAAAAAAATGTTCTTAAAAAAAAATTTCTCAAGAAACCTGTCTAGTCTAAAAAGCAGATGGTCTAAAATAATTCAAAAATATGACTTTGGGGGAAAGGAAATTAAATCCTAAAAACATAATTAGTAATTATATATTTGAGAAAGTCCATGGTATTTTATATTTACACTGGATTTTTTTTTTTTTTTAAAGATTTTATTTGAGAGAGAGAATGAGAGATAGCACAAGAGGGAAGAGGGTGACCCTTGAACACAGGTTTGAACTATATGGGTCCACTTACAGACTTTACAGGACAGCCCTTAAATGTTATTAAAACCATAAGAGAAAATACATTTCCTTTTTTCTAGCTTACCTTATTGTAAGAATACAGTACATAATACATATAACATACAAAATGTGTGAATCAATTGTTTATATTATTGGTAAGGCTTCCTAGTGAACAGTAGGCTATTAGTAGTTAAGTTTTGGGGGGAGTCAGAAGTTATGCGAATTTTTGACTGCATAGGGGATTCGGTGCTAACCCCTGTGTTATTTAAGGGTTAGCTGTATTTTTGTTGTGTGTTTTTTTTTTTTTTTTTTTAAGATTTTACTTTTAAGTATTCGCCCCACACCCAACGTGGGGCTAGAACTCACAACCCGGAGGTCAAGAGTTGCAGGCTATACCCACTGAGCCAGCCAGGCACCCTTCAGCTGTATTTTTAAAACTCATTTCTCTGTTTAGGTCTCAAAATATCCAGATTTGTTCTAGATCCTTATTCCAAGAGCTGTCTTAACACACATGAGACTCATTTCTCATCTTTCTCCACATTCCAGGACAGAACTTTACAGGAGTAAAGAGGAAAATGTGAATGAGTCCTAGATGGATGACATCATAATATAGAATACTCTGGAACTCAGAAAGACTGTAGAGATCGAGTAACTGTCCTTTCTCATTCAAAAACAAAATAACAGCAATAACAAAACCCCCCAAAACTCAAACCCACTATTATAATTTGGCAAATTCACAAAATATTATTTCTAAAATACTGTTTAAGTCTTTGAGATAACATCGGGAAGATCGGCAGACAAATTTTTAAAAATCTTCTGGGCAAGACTGTTTAAAGCTACCAAGTTAAATAGACTTAGTGATAACTTGGGGTTGTTCACAAAATGTTAAGACCTGAAGAAGTAACAATTAAATATTTTCTTGATTTTCTTGCTAGAGCCTACAGTAAGAATGTTGAAGGACAGGACTTGCTTTTGAAAGAATACCCTAATGACTTCCGTGGTGGTCAGCACGGTGCTGCCGAAAGTCCTGCTGAGCTTCCTTCAGAGAGCCAGGATCTGAGTGCTCAGGGCTCACCTTCATTAAATGAAAGTCAAGAAACCAAGGTAAGTGGAATATATATGACTAGTTAAACCTCCTTTTAAATGCCTTTTTAACCTTTTAAAAGCCTGTGTGTAGAAAGTGCTTGTTAAAAAAGAAGTTAAGAAAGAGCAAATTAAGGATTCATCATTACTTAACAAATCAGTATAAAATGCTGGGTACAAATCAGAGAGGGTATGTATTCCAGCATTCTAGTTTCTATCACTAATAAACACTTTATCTTTTCATGTAACATCTCAGTATCTAGTTTTACCTACTCACTCCTCTGTTAGGAAATGGGGATTCTATCCAAGTTTCATTAAAAAACCAATCTGATTAGAGAGAACAGCACCTGGCACACAGTAAATGTTAGCTATTTCTTTTTCTAAGAGATTTTCACCTGTCTCCCCATAGATCCAGTTCTTACCTCAAGGGAAGTGTTTTCTAACACAGCATCTATACATTTTTGCACTGTTCTTCATAAGCAGGTGGCGGAAAAGAACGAGATCTAGAACGGAGAGCAGAAACTATAGAAATTAATTGGCAAGTCATAGAAAGCATGGGGAAGAAAAAGTCAATAGGTGTCTGTAGTAATTATGGGCTGAAATCAAGACACTGAAGTAGGAGGAGATGAAAACACTTTGAAAGGGGCTTTCCGAGCGTGCTCTGATGCCCAAAATGAAGGCTGATGCCCAACAGCAGCGTCTCCTCTTTGTGGAAGGGCAAGGGAAATGTCTCTCAATGATTCCCAGCAATGTCCCATTTGCGTTGCTAGATACTCAGGTCGAAATGAAAGTTTGGGGCGCCTGGGTGGCTCAGTTGGTTGGGCGACTGCCTTCGGCTCAGGTCATGATCCTGGAGTCCCGGGATCGAGTCCCACATCGGGCTCCCTGCTCAGCGGGGAGTCTGCTTCTCCCTCTGACCCTCTTCCCTCTCGTGCTCTCTATCTCTCATTCTCTCTCAAATAAATAAATAAAATCTTTAAAAAAAAAAAGAAATGAAAGTTTGTACATTTATGCACTAGAGAACAAAACAGTAATTACAAAACTGACATTAAAGGATTATCTGATACATGAATTTAAACAAATTAGTTGAAACTTAACTGAAAATGTTCTTTCAGTCTTTGTGGTGGGAACGACGGGCTTTTCCGCTGAAGAATGAAGACACAGAAGCCTTACTATGCCAGGATGAAAAAAAGGATCACAGTGAAAGTTCGAGCCCAGCCTCCTGTGGTGAAATCTTCTGTACCAGTGCACCAGAGAACGGTCACCATCCGAAAAGGCAGGCAGACGAAATGGAAGAGTACAAACCTTTTGGTCTAGGACTTACTCATGTTAAAAAAAATAGGTGACAGGGAACAGGTTAAGAAAAGTACGTAAGTGAATGGAAGACAGGAGAAAAAAAATAAGCCCTGTTCTCCATCCCCTACCCCCTTCAGTCACGATTCCAGAGTAAGAGCATGTACTGCATGTGTTAATCTTTTATGCTGTTATAAAACAGGCAAGGTAGGTCTCTTTTTCCTTCTTGAACCACAGGAATAACTAGCTTTTCACCTACAGACAAGTGCTAGTCTTTTGTGTTTATGACGCAAATCACAAGCACCAAAAAATTAACTGCTGCAATCTGATGTTAAATCACATTACTGGGTAAATGGTTTTTGAAAGACATTATACCCACACATACATGATATATACAAGTATACCTGTGCATCAAATGACAGCTCTTTTTCCTATACATTTCTATGTAATTTCTATGGTTCCTTAAAGTTGCCTCAGAGGTATATTAGAATATACAAGCATGTGTGTATAGAGTATACATTCATATCCACACATGTTGTTTTAAAAAACACTGGCAGTGGCCACTCCACTTGAAAATGCATGTATGAGCTATGCCATCAGGTGTAAGCCACACTCCAAAACAAAGCACAGGCCCCAGTGATAGTGGGTATCTACAAGTCTTGATGATGGGGAGGGGATTTTTTTTAAAAAACATGTTTAACCAATAGAAGTTATTTATGGAAATTTCTATACCAGGTAACACAATACGCCTTTATCTAAAATCACCGTTATCTGTTAGACTAAACACAGGTTACTTTCCATTTGCTCCTAACAGATTAAGACAAGCAAAGTAGAGTTAAATATTGGTCTCTTTTAAAACTTGAACTTTATCTATTTTATGTATCTTGTAAAGAGAAGACACCAACTTAAAATAAGCAACAGGAAAGTACTATCAGTATAAAAAATGTATTTCTAGTGAATTTGGTCATTCCTTACTATAGCTCACTCTATTTAAATAAGCATCTATTCTTGTATTCTAGAGTGAGTGTACATTAAGGAAAATTCCCTTTGAAGCTGTCACTTAACTTTTTCAGTGTAGAAGTTGAGGACAACTTCTCTCATGTAAAAAAAAAAGAAAAAAGGTTATTCAAGTTATAGTACCCATGTAACTGACAATCCTGGCCATCTGGCCTAGTCTGGGGGGTCTGACACTAAGGTTTTTGTTAGGGATTGGAAATTATACTAATCCCTTTTTAAGGAAGGAAAAAAATTCAGATTCAATACTGACAAATTTTTGCTTGTAGTTTTACTGTACATTTATTTTTAAAGAAGAAAAAAGCCAGACAAATCCAAGTTGTCTAGGCAAATAAGCTCAAATCTTTCTGTCATGTCTGACATTATAATCTTCTATGTAAGTTTTTTAATTAAAGTTATTTCTATATGCCTTGTGTTGTCTGATCTGATTAAACACCACCTATTCATGGCACAAACCTTTCCTAAGTCAAAATAAAAACCGACAGAATTTTACATTGTAGGATAGAAAAACAAGCAAGCTCTAGTCTACGCGGAAGTGTTAATGTTATTTTTCAAACCTTATTTCTCAAAACTCATAGCAGTCTAAAGAAGCTTAATGACACTGGTCTGTTTATTTCTTGCCATATGTATTATGTAGCAAGAGTGGTGGCAAGAATGAAATGCGGATACATATTGTCGAAGTATAATTTGGGACACAGTTTTAAATATTTAGTTTACGGATTAACTCTGTACCTTGTCATCTTTTTGGCCTACCTGGTCTTTGTTGGATTAATATAATATCTATCCTTGGGGTCAAATCCATAGTATCCAGAATATCCTCAGCCATCTGGTCTGCTACATGGTAAAATTAGATTGCAAGTAAGACAGTGTTACATAAAAGAGGCTTCCTTTGCCTAATCTACCTTCTAAGGGCTCCATTTGTAAAAAAAAAAAAAAAAAGTACAAACCAGAACTCCTGTGCCCTACTGGATTCTTTCCATGGTAACCAGCCCGTTGCTGAGCTTTAGTATCTTCATTTTTTAAATGGGGACAAAAGTACCTGTCCTACCACTCGTAAGAGTGATTTGTGGATTTAATGAGCTTGTACTGAAGTACTTTATAGGCTACAGAACATAAATGACAGCTACTTTGTATTGAGCATCCTCAAGTCTGTAAATCTGGGAATAGTAGTAGAAGCTTTACATATAGCATATGATTCTTTTAATGCTCAACATAACCCTGCATGGTTATTATAATTACATTCAATGTATAAATCAGTTAACAGATACGCAAAGAGACTGGTTGATTTGATTTGCTAAAGTAAAATTAGATGGAAAGGAGAAGTGTTCAGATTCAACTCAAATGAATTTGTTTCCTTTCCTCTTCTCAGAGCTAGCACGGTATTATTTCATGTTCTTAAGAATGGTGAGTTAAGGAAAAGGGACAGGTGGTGATCACTGTATAACCTGCCCCTCCAGCAGAGCTAACAAAGAAAACACCTCGATAAAAATCTATACTTGTACTTTAGAAAAGACCACCTGAAATCCCTGGGCTTCATACGCTGTTTTTATGTATCAAATATAAGGTGCAAAGTAAAAAATAGATGTTTAAGAAGCAAAAATACAGTGTGCCATCCTAGCCTGATTCAAACTTAGATTTTTCACAAGTTCCATTCTACTCATATTGTCATGCGCACACACAAATTAAAAATGACACACGGAACAGGAATAAGGACTTCCTTTGCTTTGGAAAACCAAGAAACGAGAAGATTTAAAATGCAGAGAAAACCATTTCTTTGTAGTAACTAGTACACCTTCATTAGGCTTTAAGACACATTTTTGTTTACAACCTTAATACAGCCATATTTTTACTTTGTAAAAATCAAGTGTCCCAGTAAAAATGGTTATTTTGCCACACTAATCTTTAAATTCCATCACTAAAAATGTAGTTATACACACCAATTTCTAACCTCTTGGAACATTCTGCAGAATAGATTTCAGTCACTGAAATGAATAGCTGCTCAGAAAAACAGCACTGCTTCAACTGTGATGATAGGATTTGATAGTCAATATTCTTGTCTTCCAGTAAAAAGATTTCATGAGCATCAACTCCTTGTGGTTTCATCGATCAAGAGAACGTTTCTGAGCAGCTTCTGAGCAAACATTTCGTAACAGGTTGATCACAGATCTGGGGTCATCGCTCCTCATAATGGCACTGCCAGACACAATCATGTTAGCTCCTGCCTGGAAGAAGTAAACATTTAAGTTATGCTTCAAAGGAAGGTGTACAAAAGCTTAAGACAATTTCTGGACTAGAGTTTCTACCCTTGCATCTGTCAGCACTTTGTACGAGAGCTACCTAGAGATGAACAGACTTAATCTAGTTCAATGAAGACATAAGTTGAAATGCTTAACAAATGAAGATATCAAATTATTTTTAAATGTGTTTAAGAAATCACGGACATTTTTGTAACCACCTTTAAAATAAGCTACATTGTTGCAGCTTTGCTAATATTTAGAAAAAGCTGTAAAAACCTTTAATCTTCAATTCTATTATATAGATATTATATAACATAAAACATAGCTATAATATAACATTATGTAGATATGATATATAGATATATATATATTTGCATATTTTGGAACATATAATATTCCAAAATATGCAAATGTTGACAAGGCTACTAAAAAAAAATTATCTTTTAATCTTTATGTAGTTGACCCTTGAACAGGGTCAGGGGTACCAACCCTCTGTGCAGTCAAAAATCTGCGTATAACTTTTGACTCCCCCAAATCTACTAATAGTCTCCTCCTGACTGAAGCCTTACCAATAACATAAACAGTTGAGTCATACATATTTTGTATATGTATTACATATTGTATTCTTATAATAAAGTAAGCTAGAGAAAAGAAAATGTTAAAATCATTAGGAAAATAAAATTACTGTAAAAAAGGACCCATGCAGTTCAGACCCATGTTATTCAAGGGTCAACAGTGTATGAATTGGCAGACAATTAATGCTAAAATGTGAAACTATAAAATATGGCAACATTAAATAATCCTCATTTTGATGTCAGAAAGAATGAAACGCTTTTTAATATTATGCTTCACTGCATTCCAAAAAGGCTTTGAGGGGCTTCAAAAAGATGATTTCAAGAAACTTCTAAATGTGGAAGCAAAGAAATCAAAGAGAAAAGCAAGAAAGGTAAGGACAAATTTAGCTCTAAGCTTCCAGAATTTGACTCGAGGAGGGAAAGCCAACTGTTCTGTGATCTCCTACCAGAACAAAGTCGCAGGAGGCTACTGGGAGGGGCCCCAGAGGGGAGGAAAGTCCCAGGAGATACTGTCACTGTGATAAAGCACACAGCATCTCCAATGACATTCCTCATAAAAATGAAAAAAAAAAATTAGTTTTGTAGGGTTACAGCTTGACGCGTGTTTTAACGTAAGCAGGAAAAGCCCAATGGCACAGCACAGTTCAGTAGAAAGAATTCCCCAAGTGGCCAAAGGATATATGCTCACTAACTGTTTGGTCAGCTCCTCTTCCATCTCACAACCAAGCTGTTGAGAAGCTATCAAGCAAAAAAGTACGGCATTTATACAAACAACTGAAAGTGCAGATCAGACTGTGTTGCTTGACAAAAATGGGCCACAGAAACGGTCATGGCCTGCAATGTTAAAGGAAGGGCTGGGACCCCACCCCTGCCCCCCCCATTTTTAAGATCTATTTTTCAGAAAGCGAGAACGAGCAGGAGGGGCAGAGGGAGAGAGAATCTCAAGACGACTCCACAGTGAGTGTGGAGCCCAATGGGGGGCTTGATCTCACAACCGTGAGGTCACAGGGCTGGCACCCTCTTAGGAAGGAAGCTCAGGGCCCGACCCAGCTCAGCTCATTACTTGGGAAAATGCATCCCACCCACAGGTATCCAGAAAGCAGACCGAGATTTCCATCAGAAATGGCTCTAGTCAGTTCTTGCAAGGGACAAACTAGTAACTAATACACCTCAGTCACACAGTCAGTTCTTGCAAGGGACAAACTAGTAACTAATACACCTCAGTCACACAGAACTACCACCTTTCCACTTTGTAAGCGGGTATGTTTTCTTTCCCTATTTTGGAAAAATGTCCTACTCCAAGGCCTAGAACTTAATGATCTCCAAAAGGCTGGCATTCACCATATTCTTTAAAAAAAAAAATAACTTCCTTCAGCATTACTCAGATAACTGGGACTTACTTCTTAATGATGATGTGATTGCTCTTCATTTTCATAGTTCTACATTTGAATAAGAAAAATACTCTTCCCAAAAAGAAAGGCAATTCAGGAAATGGAGGGGAAATCTCTTTGGTGCACAAGACAATGTCCTAGACACATGTGAAAGGAAACTGGTCTGGGTCATAGCTGAGGAGCAGTCTCACCTCTGCACATTTATGGATGGTGTCCGGACCTACTCCACCATCGACTTCTATGTCCAAGGATGGGAACTGAGTCCTCAACCAATGAACCTAGATATACATGAAGAAATAAGTGACTCCTATGGTGGATATGTTGCGGGGGGGGTGGGGGGAATAAAACCAAATAAATAAAAAAATAGCCAATATCAGCCACTACAATAAAACTCCAAATATCTCACACAATATTTTATTTGTTTACTTAAGTTTATTTATTTAAGTAATCTCTATACCCAACGTGGGCCTTGAGCTCAGGACCCAGAGATCAAGAGTTGCATGCTCTATCAACTGAGCCAGTCAGGCACCCCATCACACAGATAACTTTTTATTAATACAAACTATGACTGGGGATACCTTCCTTTCTAGTATACTGAGACAAATTCAGTTTCATAAAAGCAAGGCTTGTTCTGTTTGGGAAACAGCATTCAATTTGTCATGGCTTGGCAGAGAATATACCTCATGCAAATAAGACAAAGACAAAACCCTCAATATTCAATGAAAAGAGATCTCCCAAGAGATCTAAAGGCTACAGAGATTATAGCTTTGAAAGACAAGATTAAGATGTAGTATTTTTCCTGACTTCCAAACCTCAATCTCTTACAGCATCTGTATTACAGTATTGTGCAGGCATCCCTCCAACACCACCTTCAGAATGAAGACAGGTCTAACTACGCAAGCGGTTCAATGTATGGTTACTGAATGAGCACAAATAATAAAAGCCTCACCCCCAAATGAAATATTTCTTTACCTTTGGCATCATATCTTCCATGAATTTCTGCCCTCCAAACCCAGGTTCCACTGTCATAACCAAGGCCATATCTATCTGATTAGCCCATGGTGCCAAATACTCAACTGTAGTTCCCGGTTTGATAGCAAGGCCAACCTATAACAGAGACAAATTTGCTACATCACATTAGCAATTATTTCCATATTATTGTGGCAGATCAGACCCAGTAGAAATACCTATTTTTAAAGAGTAGAACAGACACAAGAAATGGAATGCATAAATTATTCAGACTATAACTACTTTTTTAAAAAGTCAACAAGGCCACCCAAATGTAAATGTTTCTAAAAGGCAGTCATTTTCAGGAAATATGGGTGGAATCTAGAAATCCTAACAAACAAGTTATACTTAAATTCTGGCTTTTGGGCTGAAGAACAACTGTCCCAGTCTGGGCTTGTGTGCCTATCACTTCCTGTCTTCCACCCAAACTTCCACACTGACAGTGAATGGTAGAAAACATTACTGTCACTGCTGACCTCTCACCTTCATCCCATTCTCCCGAATGTCTTTAATCAAAGCCCCTGGGTTCTCGGTAGACTCAAGATGAAAGGTGTATTGATTGGCTCCCGCTACAGCCATTGGTTTTACCCACTGTTCCGGCCTGGACACCATCATGTGCATATCTAGAAAGAAAAGACACATCTCCTAAATATTACTGAAAGGAAAATACCTGGCTCAGATTACTGAAGCCAGCCTACCGTTTTTGCTGTTTTGGATAATAAACTACTTGGCATTAAGATAATTCTTAAATAATTACCCTTCTGTATAACTAGAGCTAGCCTCCTTTGATCTTAAAGATAGGGTTTGGGTTAAATTCACAAAAAAACCACATTTTTCCATACAAGGCATATGGTGTTGTATATGACAAGTAAGGACTAGAATTCAGGAAACCTAGGCCCAGGAAATGTCACTCTAAAAAACTTTAAGAAGTCCTATTATCTATGCAGACTTAGTTTCTCATTTATAAAATAAGAAAACTAAATTAAATGATTCTACCAATATCTTATGGAGCACTTACTGCACCACTAACTATTCAAGGCCCCAGGGACAGAGCGAAAAACAGACAAAAGCCTCTGCTGACATGGGGATTACATTCTTAGTGGGGGAGACAAACCACAAAGAAAAGCAGTAAATACAGTACACACTGGGTTGGTAATTAATACAGCCAGTGTGGCCAGGCGGGGGGGGGGGGGGGGGGGGGGGGGGGGAGGAGGGTGAGGAGACTCGGGACAGAGCTCTGGAGGCCACTGGGCTTTATTCTGAATGAGATGGGGGATGGACACAATGGGCTCTTGAGTTAAGTGACCAGATCTCACTGAGAGATGGCAGTCACCCAGGGGAGCAAGGCTGACAGCAGCCGCTGGATCTGGTGAGAAGCGGTGGGCTCCTGGCTCTGCAGCTTGGGCCAGTGCGAGTGGCCACGGGCTGGGCGGGGGGTCGGGGGGGTGGCAACAGGAGCCAGGAAAGCGCAGGAGGAAACTGTAGATCTGACCACATCCTAACTGGACAGCTCAAGTCACAGACATAGGCTGGGGAAAGGGGGGGTGGCCTTCTGTAGGATCCTGACTTAAAACATAAGACCAATTAACGAGAAGGTGGCTTAAAAGAGGCTGAATCAAGAAATGATGCTGTCAAGAAGGAAACAGTAAATATTCCTGTGCTGGATGGATGTGCTAAGAAGAGTTGTGAGTTTGTTTTTTTGTTAGCGGAAGCATATTTCTGATACAGCTGAGCTATAGTGAAGAAAAAATTTCTAGTATTCTAGAACTCAACTAAGACCATAGAATGCAATAAGGCTTTGAAAACTATCAGGAAAAAGAGAATACTGCTTGACAAATGAAGCCAAGGTTAAGGTTTATATTTCCAAACTAACAAAAGTAACAAAAATAAAACCTAGGTGAATAGGTAAAACATTGTTTTTAAAAGATAGACAATTTGGTGTTTATTTCTTTGTGTTCTGAACAAAGAAAAATCAATCTGCCTTAAAATATCTTGTTTACTCATTCCATAAATTACCAGACTGCTATGCTGTTCAGTCTCCAGCACGCAATCCCCACGGGCAGCCCTCCCTAGACGATCTCGTGTTGAGAGAGCCACCGGTCAGTGAAGCTGCCTGTTGTTACGTACTGAGGTCAGCAGTTCTCAAACATTCGATCAACAGCCTCCCTTTACACTCTTAAAAATTACTGACCACCGCCCCCCACAAAGGGCTGTTAATGTGGGCTGTATTCATCGATATTTAAAATGTATTAGAGATTCAAACTAAGAAATTTTTAAGTGTCTACTTAATTCATTTAAAAATAAGCACCAATAAATCTGTCACATGTTAATATTAAGAGTGACTTTATTTTACACTTTTGCAAGTTCCTACTGTCTGCCTTGACAGAAGACCTCTGTCTCTGTATTCTCACATGTGCTCTGCATTCAGTCTGTTGCAGTATGTTGTTTTATATGAAAAAAAGAGGGGAAAAGTACAGGGAAAAGGGAGGGGTACATTAATAGCCTTTTCAGACCAGTGACGATATTCTTCTATTTCTACCCCAGAACCCAACAACTAGGACTTTTATAAAGGTTAGCTGCAGTGTGGGATCTGTAAACTCTCCCAGGGACCTGCCTGTGCTTTGTCACACTGAAAGCCGCAGGCCTTTCCTAAAACACTTTGAACAGATCTTCTAGGTACCAGTTCACTGAATTACACAGCTCTTCCAGTGACACATTTCATTATATCCTATCAGAAAAATCACACTAAGATCACTACAGATTTTATCGGAAAAGCTATAAATAGAAAGCTCACGACCTCACAGAGGCAGACACGAGTTTTTCAAAATTCAAATTTTCACTTGCAAGCTCTAACTTTATCAGTGGAAACAAAAATGAGGTATCTTCCTTGAAGTGACAGGCTAACTTATTTTAAAGAAAATGTCTGTAAGATCCCCGAGTGGGATAACCATGGTTCGTCTCCCAGTTGTTCATTCAAGTGAAAATAGTGGTGGTGAGAAAGGCCACCAGTCAGTTCACAACTCAGGGTGGTGCAAGTGGTTTTCCCCGAGAAAACCATCACCATATGTACTTCCCCCTCTGCACACCCAGTAGTGAAAGACATGCACCCAAGGATCAAGATTTATTGTAATGAATAATCTGCACTGATTCTTCAAGGGTATTTACTATGAACAACAGGGTGACGAAGAGTAACAGTAACTCCTTGCATAGTTCAATACTATTGCTTGGACGGATTCGGGCCATGCACCAACAAACTCACCACTGTTTTTGTACCAGTACAAATAATGGCAAATAACACTGTCTTATGAAAACAGTGTTCACCTCCTGTTCCATCTGCAAGGGACTCCTGTGGGTCCTCAGACCACACCTGGAGACCGCTGATTTAGGTAATCACAAAACAAAAACAAAACACAAAAACAACAGATTTTCCCTCTCACTTGATTGCTTAATGGTTATTTCCACTCAATACTGAGATTGAACAGTTCAGAACTTTAGCAGTTGTAAGGCAACTTGTGAATTACTTCTTAGAATATACACATGAATCAATTATCCAACAACCAAGATCCAAGAATTAAACAAAAAACACACTTCTTAATATGAAACAAAGGTCACAAAACCTAAATATTAAAGGATTGGAGTCCATTCATCTTTATTGTAGACCAACTTCTAGACAGACTGATTAGCGAGCTAATGGCAAATAAACGAAAAACAGAAAGAGCAGACTCTCTGTGTGGTTGCGGTCAAAAGGGTTGGTAAGACAGGAGACACAGACAGCAATGAGAAGTGATGCTAGGAGTCCAGATAAAAGAGAAAAAGGAAAAAAAAATTCTTTTAAATCCATACAAAGCCAGATGCGGAGGACTCTGTGGCCACTGAACAGTAGGGGCAAACAAGGTTACTTATTTCATTCACCTCTGATATTCCTAAGAACAAATTTATCTTGGAAAATTCATTTTCTAAAATGTAATAAAAAAGTTTAGATCGTAAGAGGCTTACGATCCATTATTTGACAATTTCAAAACGGTGAACATGCCAACCGAACACGGTTTCCCTCCTGCTACATAAATTGGTAAGGTACATTTTCTTTCGTGCAAAGTCCATGGATCCTAGAAAAAGGCTCTGCCCGAGAGACATTTCTTTGATGACGGCAATGATCCATAGTGGCATTATACAATACAGTAGTCACTAAGACTCACGTGGCCATCGAGAGCCTGCGATATGGTTAATGCCATTGAGAAGCTTCATCTTTCATTTCATTTAATCTGAACTAACTTAAATTTAAATAGCCACATATGGCTAGTGACGACCATATGGGACTGCACAGCTAGAATCCTTCATAAAATTGGTCCACAATCTGCCAAAAAAAAAAAATATCTAAGTTTTATAATTCCAAAAGTTACATAGGTACATATTTATAAAAATTTGTTAAATTTCTTATGTACAAGAGGTTTGTCAGGTTAAGCCATCGCTAACTTAGTTTAAAAGAGCAATAACAACATGTGGACTGAATCCATGTTCACGAGAAATAACTTCCAGGTCACTGTGTCCTTTTAAAAAGCTTACCTCACCTTATCCTACAATACCACAGTGGAGCATACAGAGGCCCCACTTGCAGAAACTCCAACTTGCATGAAATAATTGGTTTCGCTTCTAGACCACAAATCGGCTGATTTATAAATTCATTTAACAATTACACTAAGCTCCAATCTTGTGTCTATGCTTACCTTTAGGAAAACCACAGTAAACAAAGTGGATTAAATTACTGCTCTAAAGGAGTTTATAGTTAGATAAAAGTAATCTGATTGAAGGGATTTCTAGAAAGAAAATTCAGAAGGTGATAGGATAACCGGACAAAGGTTAATTGAGGATGGGGTGCTTAGAAAGGCCTCTCTGAGGAAATGCCAAAAATTCAGGGCCAAAAGATAAGGCAGAGCTGGCCAAGTGAAGAGTGTTCCAGGCAAAGAGATCAGCGAAAGTGCCAAGGCCCTGAAGCAAGAAAGAGTTTGGCTTATTACCAGCAGCCAATGAGACCTCGGCACAGAGAGCAGGGGAAAGGGTCAAGATGAGGCTGGAAGTTGAGGCATCAGCTGTCTCCTTTTCCTCTACTTGAGCAACACATCCGGCTTCCGGCAGCATGACACCCACTTACCAAAGAAAGGGTCCTGGCCTAGCTGCTTTCGGAGGCTTTCTACCACAGGGTGCCCAAAGGTGATGTTGGGAACAAAATGCCTATAAGACAAACAAAATCTTACTCTGAAAATGTTTTCAATTCAGTTTCTGTATTTTTCTCAAATGTATTCTCATGGGGGTAAAGGGGATCGTCTGTGATTGCAGTATTTTTCAATGCAATATTTAACATCAACAGTATTAAACAATACCAAAACATCTTGGTAATTTCAGTTTTACAAAGCAGGATTTCCTTGATATTTCAACAAATCATAACAACGTCACAAGACAAAATCAAAACCCAAGTTATGACTTGCCCAAGTCACACACTAGTTAGGAAGTTCTGGACTCCGACATGGGTCTCAAGCCCTCACCTGTCAGAGGCTGCCTGTGGTTACTACTAAACCACCTCTATCACAGGGCACTAAATGACAATTTATTTAACATTGCTTAAAGATTATCAATAAAGAAGCTTGATGTGTACTATTAATAACCACCATTTCCAGAGGGCTTACAACATGGCAAGTGTTGTACCTTCTTTCATTTCATCTTCACAACAGCCTTATGAGGGAGATGCTGTTCCATCCCCCACCTGAAGAGCACAGGATACAGAACTTCCTGAAGTCACTCACTTCATAATCTGTGGAGGCAGGATGCAAATGAGGTCTTCCTGACATCTGACCCAAAGTACCGCACACCATAACGTACTCCAGGTGGTCCTTCTATTGGACCAGCTCACTTCAATATGGAACAAAACCCCCTCTATACAAGGACCAGCCTAGGTTTTACACAGAAATATGGGAGTTCCTGCTTACCCAGAAAAGTTTACCATCTCATTGGCAAGAGACGGCTAAGGCAAGAGACAGAATCCATGACCTACTGGTACAGCTGCTGGTGAGAGCCAACTCCCTCTCCCTCCATACGCCCAGGTGGCCCGTGCAACTCGTTCTCACCAAAGCCTGTAAATTTAAGTGATGGGTGTCACTGCAGAACCCAGGAGGTTAAGAAGTATCCCTTTTTTGCTCTCACTTTACTTTCCTATCAGTAGAGAAACCCTTAAGGAATGGCTGAGTCACAGGATGGAAGCAGACGATGTCCCTGAATTTCTTCACGGAACAACATTCACACTCAACTGTGACATGACTGAAAACTACACTTTATAATATTAATCCACTGAACTCTGGGCTTTATTGGTTAGAAGTTGTAGGTATTACCCTATGTGAGGATTGCTCAAGAAAAGCTAATCAATAACAAGTGGGCAACCTGAGGTAAGTAATATGGCACAATAAAGGGGGGGAAGATCACAAGATTTACAGAACAAACAGAATTTGTAAAGATGGGAAAAGAAATGAAGCAAAGGCAGAAATAAGCATGTTACATTCAAAGAAGGGGAGAGGTGGTGGTGTTCAGCTTGGCGAGTGTGAAAAGAACAGGAGGTGGACTGCGTCACATTAAGGGTATCAAAAGCCAGGCTCAGTGGCTGGACTCCATCCTGTGGTAAATGTGAAGTGAGGTTTTAAAGCCAGAAGCAGCTGGCTCAGTCCGTGGAGCATGTGACTCTTGCCCTTCTCGGAGCTGGGAGTTCGAGCCCCACAGTGTGTGTAGAGATTACTTAAAAAAAAAAAAAAAAGTATTAAAGCAAGAAGCAAGTAAAAAATAAGGTGCAAATAATAAAACAGGAAGATGGACTGGGCAGTACATTGGAAGAAAGGAAGTAGGTGTTGGCAAATGGCAGGGAACAGTAAGAATGGAAATGAGGACCGATACACGTGACAGGATTGTTAACTGATTAGATTTGCAGAGCAGAAAAGAGAATAAACCATGATTAAGATCTTAAGCTTAGAGGACAGAAGGAGTGCTAATAAAAAATTAAAACTGACATGGACCAGCCACCATTCTAAACACGTTCCATATGTTAACTCATTAAAACCCACAACTCTATGGGGTAGGTACTCCTATCATCTGTATTTTACAGGCAAGGAAAAGAGGCTCAAGGTCACACAGCCAGTAAGTGCTGGAGGCAGGCATTAAACACAGGCCATCCCGCTCCAAAGTCCAGGCTCTTAACTATTGTGCTCACCTGCCCATCTATGATAACTAACAACAAAAAAAGAAAGTTCAGGGGAGGAGGAGAGGTCAGGATTCAGGGCAACTCTGAGAAGGACCGGGTAAGGTGAATGAAGGTGTGGACACTTGCACTTGCAAACACCGTGGTCCTTGGAGGTTGGGTTTCCAGTATTTAGAAAATCATTCTACCGTTCACCTCAGAGCAGTGACTGCCTGTGCTATGGATAAGACGCTTATTGTGTTTCCTTAGAACTTGGTGGTGAGGATCGGAGAAGCAGACAGTGAGGCTTACTGGATACTATACAGCCCTGGAATGAAAGGTTTGGATTTTGTTCGTTGTTCTTGTAACTTGCTGCATGGCCTTGGGAGGACTTTTGTTGCCTCAACCTTAGGTTGCCTTTATAATGAAAAGAGAACCGGGTCTATTTTCACATCCATCTAACACACACATCTTGAGAAAATAGGAGAAAAAACCAAATATACCTTTACTTTATTGGGAAACAAGAATAAAATATCACTAAAACTACTCATCCCCAAATTGTAGGACTAAATGCACTGATGATCACTGCAATGCATGGGTTCACCACTGCCGCTGGAAGAATATAAACCTACCACTGCCCTCAAAAGAAACCAAAGGCTTATGGTTAAGCCGGAACAAAAAAAGGCAACAAAGCCAAGCATGAAGTCAAGGGGTCCTAAATTTGCCTGACAAGAGTAACCTTGGGAGCTCTTGTCACAAAAGGATTTACAGGCCCTACTCCAAGCCTAGGACACCAAAGAGGACCTGAGAATCTGAATTCTTGACAGATGCCCTGGGAGTTCTTATCAGACCAGCTTGGAAAATACCAAATTATTTCACTCTAATGAAGAGAAACCTCATCAAGGAAATCTGTTGCATCATTATATTATTCTTTTTTTTCCCCTTAGAGGTACTTTCTGAAGTCTGCATAAAAGAAAACACAATAATAAAAAAGTATCTTTTCTTCCCCCAGAGACTTACTGAGATTAAGCTATAACTGTTTCCAACACAGGTATACAATTATTTTCTCTCTCATCGTGTATCATCATCAACCCTAAATTGTGTTTACAGTTGTCATACCATCGATTTCAGACAGATAAAACCTTTACCAGATCTCCCAACAAGGCCAAGATGGTAAGGAGATGATTAAGGCTGATCTAAAATGTGGCAAGACTGTAACCAGAAAACATTTCCTGAGAATCAGGCAACACAATTTCATATGCCTACAGGGGCTGGCAGAAAACATGGAGGAGCACAACAGGGCAGACGGGGACCTGAGACAAATGAAGAACATCTGTTAGCCTAGCTAATGGAGGCTGTGGACCCAGTACAGGCAAATCTTTGGATGTTTGTCAAAGGTCAGCAATCGAGTACTCATGTGAAATCTCCCCAGTTTTAAATCCTGGTAACCAATTTAGAAACTGCCTATTTCCTCTCTTCCTACACTTAGGACCAACACACTTCTGGTCACTGTCCTGTCAGGACAGATGTATATGTTTTCCAGTTTTCTTTTCTAGAGAACTCACTTGTCCTTTTTTTCAAGTATCCAACCATGCTAATGCACCGCCCTCCACCCCCCCCCCGCAAAACAGTCCCCAAATTCGTTCATGACTTTCAAGATAAAGACATTCAGTTTTAATCAGGAGAGAAATTGGGGGCCTCAGGGAGAAAGGGGAAACAACAGGTGCATCCAAATTGTAATCCTGGAGATTTTTTTAAAGGGACCAGGAAACAGAAAAGCACGAAGGCAGTACCTGGAGGGAAGGTAAGTGGTGGCTGACCCACCTTGGACAAGGGAGTCCAGGCCCCCACTTGCATACACCTGGCCCAGGAAACAAGGCAGCTCAGCCAGCTTTGCCTCTTCTGGCGGGACATCAGGAAGAGGTTGACCCTCCCTAAACTAGTTTCCTCCTTTGCAAAAGGGGAATAAAAAACACCTCGTAGCTCAAAAAGTTGTGAAGGTTAAATGAGAAAGCGTTTTAAAACAGTGTTTGGAGAATTTAATTTTGTCAAACCAAGAGGTTACTTGGCAAAGGGGGAAAGGAGTCAATAAGAAACAAATACTTTTATCTTAATAAGCTCCGGTCTGCCATAGGGCTGGGAGGGGACAAAAGTGATTCATTAGAGATCTATTATGACAGATCCAACCATTCATTCAGCCAATTATAACTAAGCCTGTCACAGTGCTTTACCTGAGGAGGACTGAGGTGAGCCAGAGACCCTGCTTTCAGGGAGTTTACGCCGTAGCAGGGGAGACGTGAAATAACAAAAAGGAGTGTAGAGTTACTCTTCAAGGAAAAAGAATGTGTTATTCATTCTCTGTAAGCCCAGGTCCCACAGGAGACATTAGTTTCTGAGACATCACAAGCTGCTGCCTGCTTCTAATCCTTGCTCCTCCATTTCCTAACTAGGAGACCTCAGACAGGTGACTTAACCTCTCTCTACGTCCAGTTCCCCACTGTCAAATGCTGGTGCCAATAACAGCACCAGCCTCATAAGGTTGTGTAAGTTAAACCACACAGAGCGTCAGAACAGAAATAGTTAAGCGTTCAAAAGTATTAGCTATTACTGTTATCATTAATATTCCTGACCTGTGAACAGAAAAATTTTTTTTCCATTCAGTTACTCAAACAGGGTACAAGACTTATTTAAAAAACCAAACCGCTTTCCCTGTTAAAAAGACTACATACATATACACGTAGCCTGCTCTATCCTGAGGTAGGCGTCTCAGACACAAAATCTGTGACCCGGACATGAAAATGTACCCATCTCTGAAGTATACACTCCATTCAGCTACATGTGAAAGTTCAGAACTTTCCGGAAAAGCAGAATTATGTATATGATAGCACAATAAAAATCAAGTTTTTGTGAGAGATATTTACTTATCTTACACACTTAGTCTAGAATTCTAAGGTCAAGATTTTGCCATCATCAGTTGGGATACTGATAACCGAACGAGACGCAAAAGGAAAACCGCAGATTTAATCAGACAGAACAAAGGAAGACAAAACTCTTGTAACAGGAGTGACATAAAAAAAGGAAGTAACTGACCATCTTTTGTAAATAACACAAATTTGCAAATTTGCATGAGGTCACACAGGAACTTTACCTATTTGAAATAAATTTTATTTTTCTACCCCAACCCAAAGTAATGGCGGTTATTACTTTAAGGCCAGTTATCAGCAGGGCTCAAAAAAACCACTTGGCCAATCCAAGAAAATACAATTTGCAACTCTGTCACAATGTTGTGTAATCCTGAGAGTCCTACTGTTTTCTCCAGGTTCGTTTCCACATTTTAGAGCCAACTTCAAAAAACTAGCATCATCCTGATTCTGAACAATATTGATTATGTGCTATAACTACAGTGCTTAAAAATTACTTACAAAAAACTGACCTCCCTGAAGAGCAGGGTGCCTGAAGAGAAAATAAACAAGAAAATCAAAATTCGAACAATGATACAACTAATAATTACAGAGAATTTACTTTAGGTCAGGCACTGTATACTTATCGTGTTAGCTCATTTCATCTTCCAAAGTTGCCTAAGCGGTAGGTTCTATTATTACTCCCATTTTTCACATAATGAAACTGAAGCTCAATGAGGTTAAGTAGCTTGTCCCGGGTGACCCATCAAATGGCAGAACTCGGGCAATCTCACTACCGGTGCCAAGCTCTTCATCGTTATGGAAACCTTTCTCCCCAGCTTTGCCACTAACTAGCTATATGAGCTTGGGCAAGTCATGCCTATCCCCTTGGGCCTCAGTTTCTCTAACTGAAAATGAGAGACGTATCCTAGAGGTTTACGATTGCGACCGGGTCCCAAGTGCTAGGAGACCACACGTTACGTGGGGGGAGGGAAGGTGGAGGTTTGGGACGCAGTCGCAGTCCAGCATTCGGCCTCGGGGGTTCGCTCCAGGAAGGGCCTTCAGGACTCATCCCAGTCCCTTTTTCAGTACCGCGTTTACAGTGAGGCGCTCCGCGGTACAGGGACGCCGTGCACCCAACAGGCACTCAATAAAGGTGCGCCGAGCCCGCCCCGCGCGGCAACCCTGACCCGAGCCCCGCGGAGTTACCCGTCCATTACATCCAGGTGCAAATAATCGGCCCCAGAGTCCAGCATCCGGAGGCACTCAGCCCCTAAATTGGCCAAATCGCTGTTAAGGATGGAAGGGCCAATCTTGCAGCCAGACGCCATGGTGCTGGTTCCCAAGAGCAATTTACCCACGAGTCCCCCGGTAAGACGAAAGTGTCGCCCCGATTGGCTGCGCAGTTTTAGCCCCTTCCCGGTAGAGTCTTCCGGACTCTACCGGAAGCAGCTGCCTGGGGGGAGGAAGTTCCGCCTCCCCGGGGGCGGGCTGTCTGCCCAGGGGCTTTGGGGCAGGGCCTCGCCTGCAGGCCCATTCTTCTTTCCTTTGACTTTCCTCCCGGAAATGAGCGTTTTAGGTTTCCCAGTCCTCGCAGGATTCGAGGAATTTGTTAATTTGCTTTACATCCCCTGCAGTTCCCTCTCCTCAGCTCTTGTCCTCACTTCACTTTTTGCCTCCCTATTGTTTGCATCTGTGCTGCTTTCCTCTCCTCTTGGGCTCTTGTGCTTGTCTTTAAAAAACAAAACAAAGGGGCGCCTGGGTGGCTCAGAATGTTAAGCGTCTGCCTTCTGCAGAGGTCATGATCCCAGGATTAAGCCCCGAGTTGGGCTCCCTGCTCAGCGAGGAGTTGGCTTCTCCCTCTGCACCACCCCCACCCCGCCCCACGGGTTGTGCTCTCTGGCTCACTCTCGCTAATAAATAAAATCCTTTTCTTCTCATCTCTGTCTCCTTGAACTCCTCTGAAGAGGTGAAGGAGTTAGATTTAGGGCAGGGTCCTCTCTCTTCCAGATACTAACTGGGTAACGCCGCAGTCACTTCCCCCTGCCTCCTGATTCTCATCTCAAACATCTTCCCAGTTTTTAGGGTTGTTGTAAGGATTAGATAAGTGAATCCAGGTAAGGAAACCAGCACATGATGTCTGGTGCTCAGTACAGAATGTGGTGGTTATTCTTATTACTATTCTCCTTCTGGGCTTCTGGCCCTCATCCTTACCTTCTCTTTTTCTCTCTCAGTAATGTTTGGTGACAAATTGTAATACATTTATTTACTATTCAGACACAGTCTGGAAGAGGGTAAGAGTGTTCCTCAGCTAAATGTGCCTAGGGTCATTGAGTCAGGACCAGATGAAATAAAATCGCGTGAGGGAAAGAAAAAAAAAGGATTTAGCAAGAGCATAGCTTAGATGGTAGGGAATGGGCACTTTGTACTCTATACCAAGGACAACTGGTGGTAACTTGTACTCCATCGTGGGTCCAGCCACATTCAGAGGGCAACCAGGTCCTTCACATTCCTCCTGGGAAATCTACCGGTTATTCCAGTGGGTCACAATCCAGGCAGAGAAATGAAGCTGGGGTACCCAGTTTCCCAAGTTGCCCACTCTGCTTTATTTTGAAGGATATTGGTGGAAAGCTTGGGTAAAATGGAGCTCGGCTGGAGCTGGAGGGAAGAATTGGAGGTGTCTAACTGAAGGGTGACCTCAAGCCAGACTGTGGGAGTTGAGAAGAGACATCAAGCACACCCCAGGGATGCAAAATGAACACTTTTCTGAATGAGTTAACCTATTCCCTATGTCGGGAAATGAGAAATGAAACTTAATCAGGCATCTTAAATATTTTTAGCTTTATTTTATTATATGTGCATATTCAAACACAGAGGTCTTAATATCTTTCATAAATATCTTTCATAAACGTTTCGGTATTTATTCATATGCATTTTTTTCCATGCTCTTTGGTCATTCATAACAGACTTCAAAGTCATCTGAGGGAAGTTGGCTGAGTAATCAATCTTTTGTTTTTACCTATAAAATGGCTAATAAAGGATTTTCATCCTGCAGTCACAGTGACTATTGAAAAATATTATGGAGGTACATTGATCTGTAATGCTAAATGATCCTGAAATAATATAAGTAAATTTGTCTTAAGCTTTTCCAAATACATTCTGCCCTTGTTTTTATTGTCCTGAGTGTCAAACCAAACTTTGTTTCTGAAATGCCGCAGTTGAGACCCACTAAAGTAAATGAGGAAGTGGGACTTTCTACTCACGGCCAAGACAAGGCCATGGAATTGGAAGGGTGAGGTCATAGGGCAACAGCATAACTCGGTGTGATAGCAGCAAATTCCAGAGACTTCATAAAATATCCTGTATAACTTGAGGAAGGGTATTTAGTTTGCCTTTTGGACTGTAATTCCATTTATCACCCTTTTTTCCTTGTTGGTCCCTATAAACACCCTAGTCTCATCATAGATGGTCTTAGAGCTAGACCGCAGAGTGAAGAATGGTCTTCATTGACTAAACGGACAGATACTAAAGAAGGGAGGAAGGGTGCCTGGGGGGGGGGGGTCAGTCATTTAAGAACCTGCCTTCGGCTCAGGTCATGATCCCAGGGTCCTGGGATCGAGTCCCGTGTTTGGCTCCCTGCTCTGCAGGGAGTCAGCTTCTCCCTCTGCCCCTCCCCTGACTCATTCTCTCAATCTCTCTCTCTCTCTCACATAAATAAAGAAGGGAGGAGATGTCACCCTGCCTACCATGCTCTTGCAGGCTTGAAAGAGAAAACAGTTATTCCCAGCCTGTGCAACAGGCCCTAACCAGACACCCAAACACCATATATATATATATATATATATTTTTTTTTTCCTTCACCATTGTCATGCCCAGTTACGCCTTTTGATACGGTGGTTCTCAGTGACTTGTCCCAATGCATTCAATAACTCAGTTTCCTTTTCGGAAAAATCAAATAACTTATCTAATAGAATTATAAAACCAGCAAATACTGAAAAATGAAAGTAAAATGTTTTGCTATAGAAAATGCTGTATCCAGGATTTGAACTGCTTTAATTGAATCCGAGTGGTCTAAATCTACACCCACTATAACGGATGATACATGTTTATTCTGAGGTCTCTCAAAAGATAATTTCAGAAGAAGCAACCTCTTGGTTGAGTCCAATTTTTTATACATGGGAAGTAGGTGCCTGTCTTGATTTTCCTTTAAACAAGATAAATATCATTAAGCATCATAGCTTAAGAAATAATCTAGTATGACTAATCTGTATTTATCATATATAATAAATTTTAGTCATATACTCAATAATATTTTGATTACAAAAAACTGTTAATTATCCTGAACTTTTTCTGATCTTCCCCAACGGTTTTTTTTAAATAATTATTCTTTCAAACTCCAGGTAACAGTACTCCTGAGAATACATCTTGAGACAATCTTATGCACATACATATAAATACTTTATCAATTACACATAAACATTCAACACATTACATTCAACACATTTAAGGGCACCTTAAATGGAACAGATGCACACATCTGCAAAATCTCAGTAGTCCCAGTATGAAAACATTCCCACTCTATAAGGCCCTGTTTCTCAGAGTGGAGGCTTTTTTGCAAGGTACAACGATACTTAGCTTATTAAAAAAGTTTCTAACAGACTTCGATAACACTAGAGTGAAGGAGTGAGGCTGAAAGACAGACATGCCAGTATCATCATGTTCAAAACAGCCCAGGACCTTTTAAGTACATATAAAGGTATTTAGAATCCTCAGATATTCAACAATCTTCTTTGACCCCTTTACTTTTTAAATATTTGATACAATTATACGTGGAGAATTTGGATCAAGAATCAAAAAACTGGAACAAAGTGCACACATATATAGAGACTCATATAGCCCAGACACTTGTAATTACCAAACATAAGGCCTCTAACACTAATTGAGCAGCATAATTTTTAACAGGCAAAATACATCAGCTTAGAAAGAATCATAAAACCACTTTATATGTATATTTCTGCACTTGAGAGTTCATTCAACATTAAGTAAATGTTCTGAAAATTTTGTAAAACATTGAAAGAGGCCATATACCCCCTCTATTTTCTCAAGTTTTAGATTTGAAATTTTTCATTTTGTCCATTATCTTTAACTCACAGATGTCTTTAGTTCTTTTAGTAAATGGGACCCAAACCCCAAATTCTATTTGAAAGTATAAATCACAACCAAAGCAATGCCTATTTAATAAGCAATTCTAACAGGAAAAAATAATTTCCCTTTGTGATTTGGGTGACTTTAGCGGGTCTCCTCTCTATATAAACATACTTTTCATAGCCAATGTAGTTGAAGTTAAAGCATACAGAATGTGTTTTCAATTCATTGCAATGTAATCAAAATCTGTAACTTTAATTGGAGGACTAGAAAAATGCACGCACACGCACACACACACACACACACACACACACACACACACACCCCACACCAAATTAGGTACATATATGAGTTTTTATATGTTTAGTAGTTATGTAACAGTTTTCTAATGTAAACTGTTAAAATTTTGAAATTCAGTTTTGAACTATATGATGCCAAGCCCTGTTACAGGATCAGTAACGCACTAGATACGGCCTCATGAGCCTTCTAAGTTTTATGCTTTTCTTGAAGTAAGTGAACTTCAAGTTAAAGTGAAATACACAAGCTGACTGTGTCTGTGAAGAGATTGCTCACTTTATAATTTTCCCTCATAAATGTAGATGTCTAAAGGATCATAGGAAAATTGTTAACGTTGAGAAAAAGTTATTTTATTGAACCAATTCTAACAATAACCTTAATATCTGAAAATATGCCCTCAAGGGCAGGCACAGGATACTGTAATCACATCTTCCAATATCTCTTAATCTTGGCATTGACGTGGTCATGGCTAGAAGTAGGAATACGATCTCTTTCAAGCTATTATATTTACATTTAGCTTGTATCATAGTATAGGCTGTTTAGGTTCTTAATTCAAAATTACATCTGATAATTTTTAGAATATTTTCTCTCTAATGTGGTTGTGAAATGGAATGATCTTAGGGCTTTAGCATTTTGATTTACAACATGCAAGGTAAATGACGGTTGAAAAATAAGTATTGAAAAATCCACATCTTTAAAAATAGTACTTTTTTCTTTTTCTTGTAAATGGCTGTATTGTCGATCAAAGCAAAAATGGCTGCAGGCTTATTTATTAGTCTCCTCAAACTAATATTTTCCTTATTGATTATTTTTCTGTAAATTGCTACTCATATAGCCACCTGATTTAATATTTTTGAAACTATAAAAATAAACATTTGCATGAGATGTATAACGTGAGTAATCTCAAAAATTGCATTCTCTTTTTAGTACATATTATTTGTTAATATTCCTAGGTAAGCAGCTCCATAATAGTATATATTTTTAACTGCTCGAGGCTTCTTGAATCATAAATAATGTGCAGTGAAATGGCTCTTTCCTCTTAGTCTTCCCTGGTTTTTATGGTCTTCACACAACCAAATTATCTTAGCCATTGATTTTTTTAAAGATGTTTATGAAACAACGTGCGCATTAGCAGCAAAATCTACTGAGATTTGTGTCACCCGTTGGATGTAAAGTGCTGTGTTTTCATCTTTTCCAAGCAAAAGTATTCACCTTTTAGGAAAGCGATCCCTCCCACATCTTGTCTACACCTGCCACTCTTAACAAAATACGGAATTAAACATGAGACTCATCTAGGTCTCCGTCAGTCTCCCCCAGCTCGGTGGGCATCAGAGTGAACTGGCTGGACAGCAGGGGGTTCTCCATGCCGTGTTCCTCACTGATGTGAAGGACAGTGTCTCCGTGCTGTAGGAGGATGGATGTCTCAAGGCCTGTGAATTCTTCAGGGTCTGAGAGCTGCGTAGAGAGGGGACCATGTGCTGGAGCACCTTGCACTTCTGCGTCCTCCCTCTTTTCTCCTTCTTCAGCGGGGAGGGGCTCACTCTGTCATCAAAAGGATCATGACATCATGGAAATCAGGATAGGTGTGAGGACAGAGGATCAAAAATGTCATTGTCTACCTGAAGCTAGACAAGGATGCTGGCCAGTCCCAGCTCTAGCTTTTGTCATATGTGAGCTCTTACACGGACCCTTTCACCCTTGCAAGCCTGTTTCCTAACCTGCAGCATGAGTGTATTTTTTTGCCCTGCTTACCCTGTAGACTCTGAGGATAACAAGATGGTGGTGTTACAAAGCCTGTTAACCATTCAACACTCTACAAACGTATGTAGTATTATTGCCCCTTAGCTTTCTCTAAATGACACTGGGAAGGACATGGGGCCTATGGGGATTCGTTTATAAAAATTCAAAGAAGAAAAAACAAATAAAGACAAGAAAAATATCAAAACGATGAGAAAAAAGATCGGAATATTGAGTTCCTCTCATCTCATAGGACACAGACGGCTCTCCATTTATAGGCTTCTAGACCGGTAACTTTATTTTCCTTTCAAATTGAACTACCTTTCAACCAGGTATTGTATCATGGTTTTCAATGGTTATTTTCATTATGAAATATTTTCTCTTGGGTTTTTCATAACAAAGAATCCCAAGATTTCTCTTATTCCTTCTTAAGTAGATGTATTACTGCCCACATACTTTATATGGATGTTCTTGTCCATGACGACAGGACTGTTGTCTGTCTGAGTAACAAAATGTTACGGACTCAGACTTCCATTACATGGAATAAATGTGCATATCCATGTTGTTCCTAGACACAAGTGTGCAGGGGGCAAGCCTCGCCTGTTTCTTTAGAGCCCTCACCTGCCTGGGAGACAGGCTGTGAAGATCAGCAACTACAGTGGCAGGGGAAGACGTGAGGACTGGTTTGCCCATTCCTTCCGGCTTCTTAGATGGGGCTGGACTGCAGCCTTGGGGCTGGCCTGTGGCGGGAAGTGTTTCTGGTGGGGCGGCGGCTGGCTCCGGCTGAGCCTCGATGAAGGTCACAGAACGTTTCTGATCTGCTGTGGGTCAGAAGTAAAGCAGTAAATGGGGAAAACATATATTGTCAAGTGCTTAATAATTAGCTCTAACCAGTGTTTCCTGGCTTTTCTTTGTAAAGACACTGCTGGCTTAGTAATAAATAAGAGCATATTTGACTATTATGTACATGTTTTGATTTCACCTCCTGATAGAGAGAACTTGGGTAGAAAAAATCATTTTTACATAAATGGCTTAAAACAAGATTTCCATAGAGCATTAGGTGAACTTGGTCATCGCTCATAACAGCTACCAACAAGACTTAAAAGTCCCTATCATTCATCATTTCTTTGTCTTCAGTAAGACATAACAAACTCAGTTCCCAGCTTGGGTAAAGAAAACACAACCTTCAAGAATCAAATCTCATAGCATTTGTGGTTTTTCTTGAACTCTTCCATTTCCCTAGACCTGTGGGGAAAGGATAGGGGAGGAAAGGTGGAAAAGAAGGAAAGGCACTAAAGTGCTCTGGGAAACTTCTTCCTTTATCCTGAGCGGGAGCTCGGGGTCTGCAGACCTTCTTGACTGAGTTGCGTGACACTGAGTCAATGATATAGTCGGAAGGGACACAGGAGGCCTCACCAGATGGCTTCGTTTTAGGTTGAATACTCCTGCGAGTGGTTGACAGCCGAGCCCCGTGGCGGTTTTTGGGTTCAGTCTGCGTCTTCTGACGTGACAGTAGAGGACGTCTTAGCTAAAGAGAATAGGCAGAATAAAGCTGGCAAGAGGGTTCTAACTGCCTGGGAGGAAACTCTGTGCTCAGAGGATTCTATGATGTATTCTTTCCTTTATGGGTTTCTGTGGATGCTTGTACTTGTAGCTGATAAATTAAACTTCTTTCTGCATATGGAACGACTGAGTATTTGAATCTGGCATCCTCTTTAACCAATTCTATCTCCCAATTATTAGTTCTTTTCCTATGCCAAGGACATAAATCAATATAATTTAAAATAGTCAATGTGACAATTTCAGGATACATAACTAATAAGCATTGCTTGTTGATCAGCCTTTGCTCATCTAGAAGATGTAGTTAAACACATGCTAATTCTCAAGGGGAGGTTGGTGAAAAAATTTCAGTTGCTGAGAAAGTGTCTGGTATGCAAATGCTGGGAAGCTCCAATCAAAGTGACTGTACAAAGGCTCATTTAAATTTGTATGTAGAGAGTAAAGGGACCCCACCTAAGGAAATCTGTAAAGATGGTCTTTACTTTGATTTCGATTTTAACCTGAATCATTAATTGTGAAATGAGGAAGAAAGGACAACTGGGTCTATGCCTGTATATAGAAACAGGCCTTACATCAACTTCATAACAAATATTCCTTGCTCAGTAAGTTTGGTCGGGAAAGGTTTCTGAACAGGGGACAAAGAGAAGTATAGACCTGCTTATGAGCCTAGGAATCAGCTTTACCAATAAGAAGATTCAAAAGCTAAAATAGAAGCTAAAAACTCTCCACTTGCCCAAGTACTTACATTTTAAAGTTGCTCTTGTACTGCTTATTTCAGGCAGGGAGAAGGCAAAATAGGATCTCCATATTCATGGGCATTACAAATTAACTAGAGCTTCCATTTCATAGGATGACTCTCCTGCCCTTTCCGGGTGTGCTTACCTGCCTCAGGCCCCTCTTCCTCCCCAGTGGCTGCTGAATGAGGAGGTTCTGTTGGCCAGGTTCACTCTGGACACTTGGCACCCTGTCAAGCATCAACAGTGTTAGCGGACCTCGGAGAGAGTACAGATGACCATCCTCTGCTGGGTGTTAGCCAAAGCCACTTCTATGAAACAGTCACTTCAAAGATACCATTATCTTTGAAGGAAGGTTGGGAAAGTATCCCTGGGATGGGAGATTTCAAGGGTTTGGGAGGGAGGACGAGGCCTCGTAGCCCCAAGCTGCCAAAATTGAGATTTTGATTTTAGTCACTGATGCCATATCTATCATTCAGCAAAACATTGGTTCGATCACACCCCTGGTTTGGAAGCCACCAAAAGGTTAAAGATGTCACATTCTAATCTCAATTTTTTTTTTCCAAGGGGAAGGGAAAAGGTGGTGACAAACAAACACAAACAACTCTATCACATGGATGGGAACACCTTTGTTAAAATTTCAATTTAAATGAAAATAAGATGGACAGATATCAAACACATCAGACACAGAATCCATTTGGGTGAAGGGGCACATTCAACACATGTTTGCAGCCTGAAGTCTCTGTGACTACTGAGCAAATGAATAGTCACATGGGTAGACAATTAAATGTTTTTTAAGAAAAGATTTTAGATTTAAAAGGCCGGCAAAATAATCAAGCTATCAGAAGAACTCAGAAACTTAATTGAATAGCTGCACTCAAACATATTGTGCAATTTATAAAAACAACAACCTGCTCCCCCCAAATTTACTGTGTATGTGTGTATTTTATATGCAAAAATGACTCCTAACAGTGGTTGCTACTTCAGTGTTGGGTGAGGCTGAAAATACTGTCATGGGCCCATGATCCATTTTCATTCTGCATGCATGTATAACAGGTATTTATAATGGGAATGGCGGTGAAAAAAACGAAATGTTTTGTGCCCAGAGAACATTGTAATCCTGTGGATGATGCCAATGTGCTTATTTGGTTAATGGGCAACTGATTTCTGCTTTGCCTTTGCAAAAGGAGAGTCATCTACAAATTGTTTTTAGAGTAAAATATTCCACAGAGGAATCCAGAGTCAGCAACTGTCCAGGAAAAAGAAAGACTATATTCATTCATTTCCATTAAAAGAGAGAGAGAGAGAGAGAGAGAGAGAGAGAGAGAGTGCTATTTAAAATATCTAGCTGCAGTTGTAGAGAAAGAAATTGGTGGCAAGATAGACAATCAGATGTTTCCCCTGTTATGTTAACAATTGGTTAACCATCACCTGGGTGATAGTCATGTCTGTAATTTTTTTAAAGGTCTTACTCATATTTCCACTAGAAGAAAATCAACGATTACCAAATGGAGTTTCTCAACGTTTTTATGAAATAAGGATGTCATTATATCATAATTATACCATTTGGGATACACAGTACAAAATTTGATAAAGAGTCCCCCAAACAGATGCTTTTTAAACTTTCTTGTTCTCCTTAATGTCAAGTTCAAAAGATCAATATACATTATTTTTATACATATGTGACCTTTCTATGAAGATGGAAAAATATTCAAAAGAACAATGCAATAAATTCTGATAAGCAATCCAGACTATGTTGCTGGCATGTTTGAAGTGACATCTCCTTATTAATTATACATTTTAACATGTGCCTTAAATTGGAAAGAGTATTCGATCACCATATGCACAGAAGTAGAAACAAGTTTCTCCCAAATACCAAGCAAAGCTTTCTTTGGGATGGTTTCTTCATTGACATCTAAATGTTACCTCAGTTCCCTTGGCCATAAAGGGAGGTTAATACTTACCACCTACCTCCCATTAAAGTCGAGGAAAGAAGTTAGTTGATGTAAAATGGTTTGGACATGAAAAGGGATGTATATAGCATGCTTCTTTGTTTTACATTTGATATTTGTAATGAGTTTATTGCTTCTAGAACACTAAAAGGAAGTGGGTTATAAAATGTTTTGAAAATAATTGGGCAGAGAAAATGAAATTGAGGCAGTCCCCTTGTCTCGTTTTTATTCAGTAACCGGAGATTGTGAGAAAAAAATGGTGCAAGAAAAGAAATACACGTTACTCAGGGAGTGTTAATGTCAAAGCATAATGGTAGTTTCATGATGATTATTCCAGAGAGGATTATAAGCACCAAAATTTTCTCTATGGATAGAGAGGCTTATATCTAAGAAATGAATCAAGTTTACAGCTTCAGTAATTAGCTGTTCTATGTAAATGATACAGTATTTCATTGGTGGAATGCGCATATCGAAAATGAAATTATAGAACGTGTCCCTGGAAATAGTATATCCCAGCTAAGACATTATATTCTCCCTAAAAGAGGTGTACTGGGGACATCAAAGTCTGGTTTAACTGGGTGCAGCTGGGACACATTCATTGACAGCTAGAGAAGTTAATAATGGAAGTAATCTATGCAGAACACATTACTTTCTCTCAAGTCTATATCAAGTTGCATAGAAAAAGTAGTTTCAATTTAGTTTCAAATTCTCTCCAAGTCATGTACTATTTTAGTAACCTGTAGGATTTATGATTTGTGACCATAAGAATGTACAGTACTAAAACCAACCAGAAGACCAAGGTGTTTGCCCTAAGCGCCTCTCTCAAGAAAACTGGTTTCTCGAAAATGTTAATCTTGAGAATGAGAAATGGCCGATTTTCCACGTTTTCACAAAATAATAGGTTAAAACAATAAAGATAAAAGGAAATAAAACATTCTCAATTGAAACTAAAATTATCCTTTGTATTTTGGAGTCACTGAAAAACATCACTATGGCAAACCATATAATGATCTAGATTTTAGGGAAGTACATGCACTCAGGGCCTGGCAGAATTTTGACTCAACTGTCTACGAAAAACAAAAACACCTTACTCAAAATGCAAAGAAGTAATTTATAAGCTAGTGAAGTTCAGACAATGTCAGGAGAACAATTCTGGCACAAATTACCTCTTTTTTCCTGTTTCAGCCCGAGGGCCCGGAGTGTAGTATACAAATATGTATGCAACTCCTAAATGAGATATATACCTAATGGAACTTCTTAAAATATAGGATAGGTGAATGAGGGGACATTCAGTAATGTAATAAAAACATAATACGTAAAAATGTAATAATAATTCATATCATTCATTTAAATTACCAAAAAATGTGTAGACTGAGACATAGATATATTTCATAAATAAAAAATTTAAGTGGAAGCACTAGGTAAGACTAGTGCATGGAAAATAAATTAGTACTTTCATTGCCTCTACCTGTGCTTTTAGTTTCAACTTCAGTATTGTTAGAGAAATCTAGAGGTGGAATACAAGACACAAAGCACAGCCATTTACCCTGAGTGACTGTCTTGTGATAGGAATGCATAAAGCTAGCACCAAAGGAGCCATAAAGCATTCACAGAGAACAGGGAAATAAACAAGAGACAAAATTCTACTTTTCCCTTTCCCAATAAAAGATCATTGTTTGAAATTTACTTAGCCTCCACAATGTCAGGGAGCAACATTTCCTGTCCCCTTAGAAGTCCTTCTAGCTGGACTAAGAATCAAATTAACATGAGACAGATTAACAGGAGAAAATCAAATTCTATAGGTTTAAGTATGGAGAATCCACATAGATCATGGAAATTCCAAAGACAGGCAAAATGAGGTCTCTAGGTCATTCTGAACTAAGGAGAAGGGGTTTGGGGTAGGGATTTCAGAAGAAAGGAAGGCACTTTGCAGGGTGATAGGAAGAGCTGGTTTTTGGTAATTAGATGTTTGCCCTGCCATACAGATGGGTCACTCAGATAAAATTGATCTCTGCTAATAACCCTTATTCTGGGAAAGACCCCCAGTGTAGAGTCTGCTGTGTGGTTAAGAGAAGGACAAAAGTTTCTCTCGATGCCACAGGGTCTCAAGTGCCTTCAGCTCAAAATAATCCACATGCCAAAATGGAGCATTCTGGGGAGTCTGTCCTGACCCCCTTCAACAACATCCAGAAAATGGAAGCTAAATGCCACAGAATTTAGAGAGGAGTGGCTGGAATCAGAGTAAAAAGGGAGGATAATCTGGATCTCAGATAGCCAGTAAGAACTGAGGCAGCACTGGCAAAGGCCATATCTGTGTATCACAACACGCATTTTCTTAGCCGTTCATTCTCAGTTACACGAGAAAGGCTTAAATATTTTTCTAAGTACTTGGAGAGTACTTGCCAAGTTTTCATACTTTGGAAATGTGGATGATCATGATATGGGCTCTGCTAAATAGGTTATTTTTATTTTGTCTCACCCAGGCTACATAGTCTTGCTCAAACTTGAGCCACATTCTTTTTTTTCACTGGGATTAAAATTACCCTTACAGAATCAAATAGCATTATAATCTCTTTTTAAAAAATTAGAATTGATTGTCAATTCATGCCTTCCAAAGTATTCTAACGTGTCCAAACAAAATCTGATCTTCAAGTATAAACATCCAGGCTAAGTGCTTGAAGAACTTCTGTATGTCTAATTCTTCTGGAGAAAACATGATGGACAGTGTGTGTATTTGGGGGCAGGTACAGGGAGGGAACATCTACAGTGAGTTTCTATGCCTCTAAGAGTAATATTCTCAACAGAAGGGAATGGGATACTATTTTAATGCATTAATTTCCAAAAGAAAGAATTTTTTCTCCATAGCATAGTGCGTCTAACAGGCTGATACCTCTTGTGATGAATATTTAAAAGAAACAAGATAGCACAATTTTAAAAAAAGATCCTGGAAGAAATTTTCAAAAGGTCTGCATAATTTTTATTGGTTTCTATCTATCTATCAGGTCACCTTCGTTATTCTGGTCTCTTCCTCATTTATCCCTCAGGCCAACTTGTCCCACTGACCTAAAATAAATGCTCTTTCAAAAGCAAATCTCCAGAAAATGTGCCAAAATGTGGGGGTTAAGGGAGAAGCAGGGTGTATTACTTTCCTTTGGGCATGCTTCCTGATATTCTTTTTTTTTTTTTTTTTTTGTAAGTAGGCTCCACGCCCAGCATGGAGCCCAACGCTGGGCTTGAACTCACGACCCTGAGATGAAGACCTAAGCTGAGATCAAGAGTCGGACTCTTAGCCAACTGAGCCACCCAGGCACCTGCTTCTTGGTTTTCTTTAAGGTTTGGAGCCAGATTTTCCTTAGGACTACTTTGGATGTACTTTAGGTCCTGAGTGTTCGGGTGTGTGCTAAATATAATTGCCTTGGTTCATTCCTACTGCTTCTTTAGGATCTGAAAATTCTGCAACATAAAGAAGTTTCATGCCAAAAATAAGAATGCCTAGAAACCAAATATAAATAAGTGCATATCCTATTTTATAGACCCACCTCTTAGTAAATACCAAAAGTTCCTCTCCTCCAAAGAGAACTTGGTGACATGATGGAGTTCAAGAAATATGACTTGCAGGGTCTGGCAAAGGTGGATGTGCTACTGGCTAGTGGGATTCCTCTGCATTAATATCATTATTTAGAATCCAAGTGAACACCTCATCCTCTGTTTCCTTAATGACCACCATGGAGTGTGCGTGGCTAACACCCAGAACTAAAACATGCCAGTTATAGGAACAACAGATCGACAACAGTTGGTCTAAAACAGTATCCAAAGTCCTGACATGACTGACTAAATCAGTTGTAGATAAAAGCTACAATTTTGGCTCTGAAACAGTCTCACATAGCAAGAACTTTGGGTTTACTCCCACTGGTGCTGGACCCAGGGCAGACTGGTTCCAATAACTCCAAGTTCAGCAATTTGAACCCTGAACCTGCCAGAGATGGCCAAATCCTTTAGAAAGTTTATAAAAATCAACTCAAATGCCTGCCTTCCCTCACCAAACCTGGACTAGTATTTACTCAGCAAGAGTAAAATTTGGCCTAATTGGAAGAGCCCTGGGACAAAGTCGGCCAAATGCAAGTCTGGTTTAATCCTTTCCACTCTCCAAGGGCCACTGAAGTTCTCTTCTAAGTGAGGTGCACCTGTCTCACATGTAATTTTCAGCATCAAACAAATGCATTCTTTGAAAGTAGTGGTCAAGGTGCTAGACTTGGTTCTGATCTCTTCAAACTCTGTGAACAATGAAGGGAAACCGTCTCATTTGACCTCGCCCCCCCAGCTCTCAATAATGGACTTGAGTCTGTACTCTGCAGCACCGCACTTCCACATTTACCATCAATAAGAGACTGGTCTGTCAAGGCAAGGGCTTGCAAACACAAATGAATGCCATGATTTGTGGGTGTAGTAAAAAAAAAAAAATGATACACCCGATGATGGACTAAATTTCCCATTTTCAGTTGCTGAAGAAAATGTGAAATCTGGACAAGATGCAAAGAAAACAAAAAGAAAACAAAGAATATCCTGTCACCGGAACAGCCTCTCAACATTTCCTCATCTTTGTGTTAAAGCAATAAACACGTTGTATTGTCCTCACTATATAACGCAAACCTGGAAGGGGATGTTTTCTCTTGAGATGGAACTAAGGCACTGTTCGAATGAACAAGAAGCATCACCCCTAATGAGGATTAGTTGAGAGGTGTGAATCAACAGCACAAGATTAGGAATGTTTGACGTGGTTTATCTGAGTGTTAAAGGTGCAGTCCCCCTTTCTGACGCTTTAAACCAATAGCCCAGGTATCTTATTGTCTGCATCATAAGACTTCTCTTACTTACCGAGAAATGTTTGTGTCTGACATTTCATGGCAAGTTTGGGAGTCCTCTTTGTGCTGGGACAGACGTTCTTTTTATGTGTTGTTTGAACAAGCTACTATAATAGCCTGCCACATAGCATGCATCAAAGAGAGGGAACTACAGAAATTGTATCAACATCATTACTCTTATTATAGCAGCATTGTTTGTTTTCTTACCATCCATGCTATGAACTAAAAGACCTGTCTGGATTTAATAAGGGGCTTCTTGATGATGGGGAGTTGTATTAAAAGGCTTCTGAAAAACAATTCTTAAGGGCTATCAGTGTGGGAGGGAATGACTGGATGGGATAAGATTAACATTTAGCATATCAAATGTTTTAGATGCCCATGGGACAAGCCCTTAAAAGAACGCCAACAGTTGTTTTTTTTTTTTTAAGAAAGCTTTTTAGGCCATTTGTGATTGAGCTCTGAAGCTGCAAATGAAGGAGGCTACACCTTTGACTTCCAGGCTCGTGTGTTCATGAGCGACAAAGGGCAAGAAATGGGAAGAGATATCAAGACCGGGGTGGGGGGGCGCGCGGCGAGAGGAGACAGAGACAGAGAGACAGAGGAGACAGGGAACAGCTAGTTTCCCAGCACAGACACCAATAGACAGGTAGCGTTGACACTGTACCTAGAGAGGCTGCCCTCGGCGGCCAGGCCCTGGGAGTCATCGAGGACATTAGGTTCACTGCAGGAGGGGTAGGGAGATGAAGCATTTAGGGAAAGAAAATGCAAACAAATAAAAGAAAAAGAAAAAAAGGCATGCAATTTTCTGCTTCCAAGAGCCAAAAATAAATAAATTTAACAGAACAAGAAGGAGAAGGAGACAGGTAACCATTTCACCTTGTGCTGGGTTTGTCAAGACATAGGACTCGAGGTAATGGGGGAGGAGGGACTTTGGGTGGGTATGACTCTCAGAGGAGTGATCTATTTATTGGTCAAGAGTTGGGACTTAAAATGAGCTCCAAATGGACACATGAGCTCTGAAGTGCATTGTAGAATGAATCTGTAGAAGATGAGACTATCATTCCTTTGGTGACCATTTGGCTGGGTGGTTATTACTTTCCATTTGTCTGAGTATGTACGTGATTCTTCATTGACCAGGAGCCTGCTTCTTTCTCATGTGTTGTGACATTATCACACAAAAAACCACTTACCATGAATTGGCACAACCAAACTCTTGGAACTGATGCCATTAAGAGAAGCAAAGAAAGAACTCAACTTCCCTTGCTAATTTTGCAATGGAAATGCAAGTCAACAACAAACGGGAGGAAGATAACCCTGGAATATTCACCTGGAACTCTCATTTACCTCCTTACTCCATCCTCTAGTGACTGAATTGTAAATGCCAAAAGAAGAAACCTGTCAGGTTGGTGAGAGAATAATTAAATAGTTTATTGATTTATTTGGATGCAGCTGATTTTGGGATTTGTGAACAGAAATTGTGTCATATTTTCTCTCTCCTTCACTACCTAGCATCAGGCTAAGCAAGCACCCACAAGGCACTCAATAAATACTTATGAAATTGAATGGAATTAAACTATTTAAAAAGCTGGAGTGCCTGCCCCCCCCAATTGTTTACCTAATCGTACACTGTAGAAATAGCCTCTGTGTCCAGAAAGAGGCTCCCTTTCCCTAATACACATAGACATTACTACTTTCACTAGCCTTCCAAAATATGACTCAAGCCAAAAGGCTTAACTATATGATTTTTCTGGATTTCCAAAATATCCATAAGAGAACAAATTTTCTCCCTTGAAACAAGTTAACCTCTTAATGAATATGTACATACAAAGGGAATGGATGGTCTGGTTAGTTTAGGTAAATCACCAAAAAACCCTCTATGTTAAATTCCTACAATTCCCTAATTTAAATAAAACTTTTACATGAATTGCTGGACGGTTTTCTCTTATCCTTGATAGAAGCTTGCACATGCTAGCAATTAAAAATGAATTGATAGTTACCAATATTAACTGCTTGTATGACTTTGTATCTTTTTTTTTTTTTTGGACATTTTATAGTTTAGCTCTAGTTTTGTTCGTGCATTTTATTTAAAAGACCTCCTTTTTAAAGGTAAGTTACCAAAAGGTAGGTAAAACAATCTCTTACAATGATAGTAACCCTTATATATTATTAATTTTTGTATTAACCAAATGGTACATAAAATACTGTTTTCTTTATAAGTATGCAATTTACTTATTAATTATCTTTTATCATTTTCCCCTAGTTTTTGATATTCTCCAAAGTTAGGCTTTATTTCACAAATTTTATTTCATCTGTAAAGTTCATGAACTATTTGCTAAAGGATTTGGGCATAAGGTAATTATTTCTGCATAATACTGATTTTACCTGAACATTAGAATGTGCTATGATTTTTATTATTTTCCACATATGAAGTATACCACATCAAATCTGTAGATATTAAAAATAAAGAACAAGCTAGCCAAAAACACATAAGGCTAACTCTTTGAAAGCATTCAGTTCCTGAAGTGATAATATCATTGGCTCTGAAATAGACAATGTTTTGACTCTTACATCAGATCATTTTCTATGTTTGATATATGTATCTTGGAACTTTTATGTATGTTCTTATAGGGCAGAGAACACATAAAGAAAATGTCTTAAAGTGTTTAGTCATGGAATCATATAACTATAGAGAAGGTACTGTAAAGGTCACTTTAGCCAACCTCCTTTTTCACAGAGAAGAGCACTGTTGGCCCTTGTTAAATGACCTGCCGAAGGTCACACATAGTGGCATAGGTCTTTTTCTGCTTGGTTAAGCATCGCTACCTCCAACTAAATGCTAATGACATACCAAAAGTCTAAACTCGACCACATATATCAAGCTAGTCCTATACACTAGCCAGGTACTCATTATTAGCTTAGCTAATGATTTATGTGAAATATGAGAATATCATTTGACAACCAGAAAAAAGACCATCTATCTACTTCTAGAGAGTTTTTAAGTTGAAACAATGCTTGGATCAGAAACTGGGATCCCTTGTACTGGTCTGGCTTAGAAAACTCTTTGCAAACTGTTGCCTTGCATGACTTTGGTTGAAAAGTCCTTTGTCGAATGGTCTATATAAAAACACAATCCTCTGCTTCTCTTTTAGCCTTTTTAGAACAACAAAAGTGAATTTTCAGAATTCTACCTTTGCCCCCAAATGCAGAGTATAAGATATCCGTGGCTCTTTACCTTTGGCTGGGTAACATGCCCACCTCAGCCTGAGGTGCAGACATGCTAGAGACGTGGCTGGAGAACCGCCTCCTTCCAATGGTGCTCAGAAGGTAAGCTTCTTGTTCACTTACCACACTGGGCATGCTTACAGAGTCATCTGATAGGGGACAAAGGAATGGAGTGTTATAATGTGGTCATGTTAATCTGAAGACCCAAACCGAGTTTGTACTTGGGTTCCGTCCTTGGCTTGGGTTCCCACTTTAGGGTAATCTTTAAAGCTAAATTATCATTCGTCCCTTTGTACAGATTACAATGTAAGACTCCCAAAGGTCTTAGTTTTTAATCTGTACAAAGGGACAAACAATTCTTCACATCCACGCATCTCCCACCCTCAAACAGCCTGCATGAAATAAATGTAAATATCTTGTCCATTTTTACAAGTAAGTTATTTGTGAAAGTCAAGAGGTATCTGATTTCAGAAAAGCTGGACTAAAAATTTTTAAACATTCTGAGAATAGTGCAAAAAGGAATATTGTTACTAAATGAGTCAAGTATATTTCTTTGACACTGAAAAACTACGTTCAGTACATTTAATGATTTTTAGACTGCTGAGGGCAAGACTATTTCAGATAGCTTTAGGGTAAATATTTGAAAACCTCTAAAATTTAAAAAACAAATGCTTATTTTGACCTGAAGTTTTAAACTTGACGCATATAGTCTTATTTTCTTCGTGAAGCAGAAATCAATGTATTCAAATCCATGTGAAAGTTAGCTTTAGCACAGTATTTGTGACAAGATGGCCTCATTTTAAGTGAGTTAATGGTGTTTGTTGCTGACCAGTAAACATATTTTTATTTATTTTTTAAAGATTTTATTTATTTATTTACCAGAGAGAGAGGGAGAGAACATATACATACAAGCTGGGGGAAGAGCAAGAAGGAGAGGGAGGGGGAAAGATTCTCAAGCAGACTCTACTTTAAGCGCGACACAAGCCTCGATCCCATGACCCTGAGATCACGACCCGAGCCAAAGCCAAGTCAGACGCTTAACCAACTGAGCCATCCAGGCGCCCCTGAACAGTGAACATATTTTGATTAATGTAGTGTTGTGTTGAACTTATGCTACCATGTAAGGTCATCTGACATTCTTTATTTAAAATACCCCAAGTGGTCGTATTTCTAATGAAACTTCTTTCAAACCAAAAAGGTGTATATGAAGAGTGCCAGAAATTTTAATTTGTTACATAATGACTGACTTGAAGTTGACTCATGTCACAGAATGGTATTTCTTTTTTAGGTGTGTTCACAGAGAAGGGAATAAGCAAATGTGCCTTGAAAACATGAAAAACATGGTAACATAAATAAAACTATTTCTACAAAGTCCTTTCCCATATCTCACTGATTTTTCCTCCTATTTAAACTCATATATCACTTCACAGTCTCTCAATATTTGTTTGATGATTAATTACATGCTGCCTTCCATTCACCCTTTTGTTAAATGTTCTTTATTGAAAATGTCTGTCATCTCCTCTACAGGACTAGATCTAAGATCTCAGAGAACATATTTTTTCTCATACTTTCTTATACCTCATCTTGTACCTGTTACGACTTAATATGGGTTTGATGATAGAATGGGAAAATAGTTTAAGTCAAAGTAGTCAACCATTTGGCTTTTATACCCATCCCATATAAATTAGTACACACCCACATCACAACCACACATTTGTTAGCAACTCTGTTTCCACTGGGATGGTTGTGCTGTCTAAGAGCAGCGATATTAGCAAAAAACTGCATGTTCATCAGTGGGTTTAAGTGCTGGCTCCCAATCAGTGATATCGCTCTTTATGTTCTCTCTACTTTTCTCCCCTATCTCCTTCCTGCTGGCTAGGAGGTTACCTACTAAAGATATTTAGCTTTACTAAAGATAGGTGGTATCATTTCCCATAATTAAAAAAAATTGCTGGGAGACATTACTTAAAGCATTAAAGAAAAATAGATACTACTAAAGTTCTGAACTATTACTAGGACTTAATGAATATAAAAACTGCTTATCCTTTTTTCTCTCATTTTGTTTTCTTTCTTGGTCAAGATTTTTCAAGATTTCCCGTTATAATTTGAGGAGTATTTCCTTGCACAATGAACAGGGTGATTTAGAAAAAAATATATCTGTAGGTCAGGTGAAAGACAGTATGATCATCACTTCATTGTCTGATTAACCCTAAACCACATTTGGAAAAGTTACTGCATTTCTTTCTTTCCCTCTCCTCCACGTCCAACTCTAATAGTGAATTAAAATACTTTCATTCATCTTAGTTAATTAAAATTCCAACCTCAACTCCTATTTCTCCTAATTTAGTTTAAAGTGGGTCTTTTTATTGTTGTTTGATATGGAGAGGCTCTAAGTGAAGATCTAGATTTTGTCTTCTTCATTCTTTTTTTTTTAAGATTTTATTTATTTATTTGACAGAGAGAGAGAGAGAGAGAGAGAGAGAGAGAGAGAGAGACAGCGAGAGAGGGAACACAAGCAGGGGGAGTGGGAGAGGGAGAAGCAGGCTTCCCGTGGAGCAGGGAGCCCGATGTGGGGCTCGATTCCAGGACCCTGTGATCATGACCTGAGCTGAAGGCAGACGCCTAAGGACTAAGCCACCCAGGCGCCCCTGTCTTCTTTATTCTTAAGGCACTGACAGCACTCTTTGCTATATAAATGTTATATCAGAGTGTCTTTTTTTAAAAGATTTTATTTATTTATTTGACAGAGAGAGAGAGAGAGCACAAGCAGGGGGAGCAGCAGAGGGAGAGGGAGAAGCAGGCTCCCCACTGAGCAAGGAGCCCAATGTGGGGCTCGATCCTGGACCCTGGGATCATGACCTGAGCTGAAGGCAGATGCTTATCTGACTGAGCCACCCAGGTGCCCCTCAGAGTGTCTTTAAAACACAACTAGAAAATAATCAAGGCAATAAAAATAGTTAAATGACAGTGGTAATTAATTGGACCTTTCACTTTTTACTTTTAAAACCTACTCCTATTAAGCATACATATGAAACACGTTCTTGACTGGTCTCATTTCATGACACCAAATCTTATGCACATGTGTTAGAAGCTCCTGGCCCACCTCAATCATTAGGAACACTCTTGAGTCAGATTTGGGTTGTATTTCCTTTTGGGTTGTAGTCCCTCAAGAAAGCCTATTGGTTTACGTTCTAGATAGTATAGCCAACTGATCTTTTCTGAGTCCTGAGTATAAGCATTGCTTAGTTTTCTTTGCTCATTGGGGAGTGCTGGTCAACCCCATAGGCCAAATGGCCAGGAGAAAGCAGAATAAACACTTCCCTTAGTTACTTAAGTACAATTTAAATGAGAGTGCGTGGAAAAGGTTGAATTTATAAGCTCAAGGTGTAGGGGTCACTAAAGATTTGCTTTTGTCTGAATTCCTTCCAAATGACCAAGGCTGTTGAGGAATTTATAAAAGAGTAGGCAGTAGGAATCATGGAATCAGTCACAATTCCATTTTATTTATTTTATTTTATATTTTATTTTATTTTATTTTATTTTATTTATTTTATTTTATTTTATTTTATTTTATTTTATTTTAGATTTATTTGTTTTAGAGAGCGAGAGAGCATGAATGGGAAGGGCAGAGAGAGAGGGAGAGAGAATCTCCAGCAGACTCCCCACTGAGCATGGAGCCTGATGTGGGGTTCGATGCCCTGACTCTGAGATCATGACCTGAGCCGAAACTGAGTCAGACACTTAACTGACGCCACCCCCCAGACGCCCCACAATTCCACTTTAAATCCTTTTTGTAAAAATGACTGGGGAATCAGCATTGAAAAAGGTCAGAGCGGCAGAAATCCTTCCCAAGCCCTCATTTCCATGGCCAAGCTGGGTCCCACATGTCACCCCCACATCTACCCCATTCTGTGGGGTAACCTACTTTCCTCATCTTCCTCATCAGTCCTACTCAGGGTGTCCTGCGAAGCCTGCTGGGAGGGCTCACTGTCCTGCTCCCAGACAGTGCCCGTGCCCGTGTTGGAGCGGGACATGGTGGCCAGGCTCAGGCGGTAAGCGGAGGTAGAGGTGCCCACAGTACTGATGGACGTCTTCCCTTGGTAGGCTGGGGGTTGAGAGACCAAAGAAGATGCATGGTGAGCGTCTCGAAAGAAAACAAATGCTTGCTTCAAACTCCTCCCTTGTATCAAGGCTCCCTGTATTTTTTAGGAAAGGTCAGTTAAATAGTGTGTCTCAGATAAGTGGTCTTTAGGATAAAGTAGCAAGTGGAAGTGAGATTTAAAAAGAAAAAGAACTGGCTATTGATTTACTCATAATTGAACAGTTTCCTCAGGGGAATATAGTATCCCTAATAATGTAAAATGCTTTGACATTGCTTTTGATTTCAAATGTGAAGGCTGGAAGAATGCAAAATAATTTTGACATGAATTGAAGCTTCCAACTTGGCAGATTTTACTGAGAAATTTATCTCTCCTGACACAAGCATGTAGGAGTAATAAATGCATTGTCTGATAGGAACTTCTCAATCAAAATCAGAATACGTAATCAGAACTGTGTTTGCATTCTCCTTTTCTGGAAATGATAACTTATAAAATATCCCCTTGCATGTGTCAGGTTATTTTATTATAAAGCAGAATATGTGAATGGCACTCTGCAGATTTCACTAAGACTGTACTTGTCAAAATCTTTGTCTTTAATGCATCGCAAGCAATAGTACATTTTAGAAAGAAAAAAGCCACACATATGAGAGTCTACTTATGGGTAATGACTGCCCTCTAATGGCAGATAATGATTTGTTTTCCCTCCTAGTAATTTCCTGTTAATAATCGTAAGAAGTAAACAATGCACCCCCAAAAGAAAATCTTTTAAATAATGTAAAGAAAGGATCTCCTAGCCTGCCAACTCTAATTCAACCCTACCTCCCCCAATCTGTAAAAGTTCAAGGCTTTGTAAGCAATCATTCTAGTTCTGTGTGTAGATTCTTTATTCTCTACAGAGTCTCGGTTTCCTCATTCCTTAAGTGGACTCTCCGCTATCGACCTTAAGGGCATTTGCGTGGACTGAGTGAAATAACATCTATGAAACCATCTACCAAATCCCCCTTCTCCTTTCCAAAAAGGAAGTGAAGGCAAGCATTTCAATACCCTTTTTCCCCCTAGTTAAGTAGTCAAGGAAGAGCTTCACTACTGAAACGAAGATTGAAAAAAAAGTTTAGAAAAGAGCAAAATTAAAATCCCGTGATACCCCTTGCTTTGTTGCTGGCATTGATCACATAGTCCAATCTACCAGGGAACTGACATGACTACCTCACACATGGTTCCAAAAAGAGTGGTGACCCAGACAGAAGCATTCTTTGTAGGGTGTGAATTCCATGAAGCAAGCGAATGCAAAATACCCCACAGTTACTCACCTGAGCCACTATGAACTGCCTCTTTTAGAATTTTTAGTTCACTGTTGAACTCAGCAATGAGGGAGCTCTTGCACAGAGGGCGTGGGATAAAGCGTCGCTCCAGCTGGTCTGCGATGTGTTGCCGGGCAGAGAGCTCTTCATGATTTTCTGCTGGCTGGGCCAGAAGCTGAAAGGAAGGTATGGATTCTCAGGTCCTCAATTTTCCCATCTGTAAAATGGGCTAATTATTGTATCTATTTCATAGTTGGTTGTGAGGCTGAAATAAGGTAATGCAAATGAAGTTTTTAGGGCAGTGCTTTATACAGGAAGCTCTTAATCAATACATTATTTTGAATCACTGCCCCAGGAAATTCGGCCATGAGAAGATTAACACAGTAGATGAATAGTGAGGGAGGATTTTGGGGGGGGGAAACATGCTTTAACTGTTCTATCTTTTCCATGTTTATTTAAAATCAGATCTCTATCATGTCACGGAAGAAAGGAGAACCTTCCCCAGATTCTACCCTTGGGCCAATCTTTTTTTTTTCTTTTTCCCTAGGGGGCAGTGGTGAGTCAAGAGAGGGCAGAGTTTTAGAGAGTTTCAAAACGCTCTCACTGCGAAGGTACTCCTAACATGACATTTGATCCTCTGGGATCCATTTTTGAGCTGTTGGCTTACAAACACGGTATTAAAAGGTCCTCCTAACTAGCTCTCCTGCGTCGCACGAACACCGCCGCAGCAATCCCGCCTTAACCTGGAGAGAACACATCCCCGGGGCTCGGCGCTTCTGGGCGAAGCGCACACCACACCTTGCACTGGATGAACGGGCGCAAGAGCACGAAGATGGGGATTCGGGTCCGCACGATGAAGTCGAGGAAGTCCCACAGGGCCAGGCCTCCCACCTTGCGCAGAGCCATCTCCTTCACCTGGAGGCTCAGCCAGTACCACTGGCTTCCCAGCTGCCTCTCAAAGCAGACGAGAATCACCTTCAGCGCTTCACACCGGGAAAAAAGAAAAGTAAGCCTGCGCGTGTACTTGGGCCTCGGAGGAACCCTGTCTGCACCCACAGCGCTTTATGCGTCAGAACATTTTCTGAATTTCCAAATTGTCTCCATGTTCCCAAGAACCTGAATGCTCTCCTGAGCGAGTGTTCTGACATCGAGACAAAAATCTGGATGTTTTGATCTGTTTGGATCCTGATTAGGAGAACACAGCTACCTTTCTTAAGTACATTTAACTTCGATTTGGACAACACAGAGCCAGGTGGTTCATAGAATGGAAAGGGAAATGTGTCCTAAACATAATGTGGGGCTAATATTTAGCTTTCTGAAAGTGCCATCTTAGTGGCTTTATGGTAATACCAGCACACTACTCATATCCTAAACTAAAACATGGGTGTTTTAAAAGATTTTTTTTTCTTCTAAGCATAGAAAGAACATATTCTTGCTATTTAAAGTAAAATCAAGCCATGCAGACATGCACAAAGTTAAAAAAAGAAAAAGTCCTTCCGCTTGCCAGCTCCCTTCCCGACCCCACCACTCCCCAGAGGTAACCAGGCAATATGTTTGAGTAGATCCTTCCAGATGAAAAAAAACTCCAGCCTCCTCCCTCCCCCCTTCCCCCCCCCCCCTTCCTTCCCCCCCCCCCCCCCCATGCACATCTTGTTGATTACTAAACCCTGTTGGATTTCTTTTGCAAGATCTCTTGCTTCCTAGATTCTGGCAGCCCTGTCACAATCTACATTTATTTATTTATTTATTTATTTATTTATTTGGAGGGGAAGAAGATTTCCCAAACAGTGTGTCAGGACAAAGCAGAATACTGTAAGGATGCCAAACATTCTGGCGGGAGCGTCCCCTGACCCCCTCAGCTCTCGGCCCAGTGTCTGCTACCGGGCAGTCGAGGGGAAACTGGGCCTTCTTGATCATGTCTTAAGGCCCATCTCAGCAACTAAAAGACATACAGAAACCCAACTCCATACAGCCCTCAAAGTCACACATACCTTTATCGCCTATGTCGGACATTTACAGGGGACAGCCATGCCGTATAACACGGAGAGAGATGTTGTAAGAGTCTTCTTTACCCCTCCCCCTCCTCCTCAAAATCCCATTTTTCACAGCCATCATTCATCCGAATTCCTTTCCCTCGACTAAACAAACAAACGAAGGGACAAAACACAACACTCCTTTCCCTACGCTGAGCTTGGTGACATTTCTACTGCTAGGTGCCTGTTAGCCTTCTGTGGGTCTCTGCCATTCTCCTCCTTCACTTCCATCAGCCCAACACATAAGCAGGATAGCAAGGGGCTCAGGAGCAGGGACTCAGGTGCCAGATGGCTTGGATTTGGACTTTGGCTCTGCTGTTTATTAACTGTGTGACTTTAGGTAAGTTACTCAACCTTTCTGGGCCTTTGCCTCTTCAGTCCTAAAAGGAGAAGAACATTTACTTCTTAGAGTTGTTGTGAGGATTCAAAGTATAGAAAACACTGCTTGGTGCACAGGAAGTGTTCAAAATAAATGCAAAAATCAATTTGAAACAGAGGTCCAGGAGCCTGGCCAAGGAACCAAAGGATTCCCCTTCATTAAAAAGGCAGAAAGTGGAATAACCCGAACATAATCACTCGTCAAGTGTTTTCTCCTAACCCTGCCTCATGTGTCAAGGCCTCTGTTTCCATCATCCTCTGTGCAGTACCAAGCCTTATGCAAGCCTCAGTCCTAGAATCTAGATTTTCTTGGAACCCCACATTCTCATGGCTTTGGCAACTAAGCCCCACACGGGTCAGGTCCTGTGCAAATGCATTCTTATTTCCTTTTTTTCCCTTTTCATTTTCATTGTCAATCACATAATTTTCTAATATGCTTATTTATTTCTTTTTTTAAAAAATAATCTCTAGGCCCAGTGTGGGGCTCAAACTCACAACCCCGAGATCAAGAGTCACGCTCTACTGACTGAGCCAGCCAGGCACCCCAAATATTTCCCCTAATGATGCAGTCCAAACATCTCACACACTCCAAACTCCAAGGACCTGTTTTTACCGGTGTGTATGGTTCATCTTCTACTCCCCACACCAAGATCTGCTTTGATAAATTGAAAAATGTCAGGCACAATCTTCTCAACTTGGTGCTTTCGAGATTTTCTGCTGTTAGTGCTCCTTAATTCTCCGTGCTATGGCAGGAGTGGTGTTTTCCACTGGCTTAGTTCACTGAGGGCCAAGGAGAGGCTCTCCAGTGTTCCATGGGTCAGGACCAAGTTAAAGGCAAGGATGGGGTGATGGAAACGTAGGGGTGAAGCGAGAAGGAAATTGGCAAGCCTCTGGGGGAGAACAAGTCGACTGGCCTCACCACAGTGAAAATCAAGATGGGGATTTAGAGATGATATCATAAGGGAAGAAAAATAGCTAGGAGGGGGCTATAGTACAAGACCGCCATGTCTTGCTGCCCAGGATGTGGACTGCCCCGCTCTAGGGGCTCCATTCACATAGATGACAGACCAGTGAGTCCCATGAGTTGTGTCCCTGTATACCAGTCAGAGTCTACATCTGATAACTAATGAGACGATAATCTCAGTAGTGATCTCATATTTAACCAGCAAGGAGGAATTCTTACTGCCGATGCCTTCCTCACATGTCCAGATGCTGTGAGAAAAACAACCAAGTAATTTAGGCACCACAGAGAGGAAAGTACTTTGGTTTTTGGCATATGTTTACTGGCATATGTGTACAGACTCTTTTGCAAGGGTGATGCTTCTTACTTGCTCAAGTGGCTTCTTCAAATACTTTGTGGATTGAGGTCTTTTAAAATCGTTTTTGAGTCAAGGTGTCACATAACTCAATAACATCATACATATACACACACAAACACACATATACGGAGAGAGAGGGGGGTGTGGGGAGAGTACCCACCCAAGTATGCTGCTTGGCTGGTGGACTCGGCCAGGCCCTCCCTGCGCAAGTCTTTGCCCGCATCCCCGGGGGTGGAGCAGTGGGCGGGGGAGCTCTCCAACATGAAGTTCTTGCTCCTGGACGTGCTGATGATCCGCGGTGGCAGGAGCACGTTAATGACCGTCTGCAGGAGCAACTGCACCTCGGGCTGTTCGAGCCATGGGCTGTCTATAGTGCAGAGTTCGGAAGAGGGAAGTGGAAAGAGAAGCAAGTCACGAGCTAGACTTTCCATGTTAGACCCAGAAAAATTCAGCTCTCTTTCCAGTTCCAAACTAGAACACCCTAGAAATTTGGGTGTTTCCCCACCAAGTACAGCTTCTCCTCTGGACAGAAACCGTATTCCTGATCCTGGGTGTTCTGTCCATAGTGAGCACCCAAGGGCTTGTGTTCTTAGCCAAATCTCTGCTTACCATTTCAATCTCCTTTCTTTTTTCTGCTCAAATACTCATAACATATTGTCTTTACATTTGAGATAAGCTTTTCCTAAAAGAAAAATCCCCCAAGAAGGAAGAGTAATGAAAACAGATTGAAATGTAATGGCAGTGGTAAGGTTTAGGCTAACCCTAACGGCAGCAAATTATAAAGTCCATTCACTTGTCAATTCACACCACACTGTATTTCAGTTAATACCATTTTCTTATGGAAACAATGGTCTCCCAATTTTTGCTGTACTGAAGGACGTATCTTCTAAGAAGTGGAGCAGAGAAACTCTTGACCCAGGGTAGCTAAACTGAAATGAAAGAAAACCTCTATTTCCTAAGATAACCCTGTTTAAATCATTCGGGTCGACTTCAGTGATGGCCTTCATGGGAAAAAGAATGAGAAATAACAGCCTGACACTTAAGAAAACACAACAATGATAAATTCCCTTTAGTTAAATTAATCAGACCTTTGCTTCCAGATCCTACTGTGAGCACAAATGGGATGAGTAGATTTAAAAGCATCCCCTCCCTTCGCTCTTGATTGGTGAATGGGGAGATCACATGGCTTAAGGGAAAATCTTCTTTTAAAGCCTGTGCAGCAATAATAGAAAAAAAAGATTAATTGACCCCCACACCCATTTGGTATGTTTGTTTTTACACAGCACGATGGAGGCGGTGACTCCCTGTTGGCTGCTCCTGGAAACTATGAGTTCAATTGCGCCGTGTGCAAGATTCACTCAAAACTGATACTTTACCATTTGCTTGCCATAACTGAGAGTTATATACCTAAAAAAACAGTAACATCTTGAATATTAAATGCAAAATTGTAATACTTTTGGTCTGGTACAAAAGCAACCGAATATCCCCATTCATTTGCTCCATGTGTCCACCAATGAATATTTTAGAGGTAAAAGAGAAAGAAGAAAATGAGAACTTGCCACCTATTCCATTTGGGAGTTATTTAAAAGTCCTCTGACCTTTGCACAAGGTCTCCTCCAAACCAGAAATGAATAGGTAATATAGAAAGAAAGAAATGATCTCTGTACACAGGTCATAAACATGGATCACTTTAGGGATCATTGTTTCCTTTCTGCATGGTAGCCAAAGCTCTTGCTTAATTTCCTTTCTACCATCACCCATTCTCTGGATGATGGACCATCAAGCTGTCAGATCATGGATGTGTCATTATCCATTTACATCAGTTGTATATTTCCCATTAGTCACAGAGCTTTCTGATGATCTACCACTCTCTAAAATTAGGTGACACACAGAAAGAGGCAGGGGAATTGGCATTTTGTACTTTTTGCCTTGGGAATAAATATTTTAGTTTTAAGAAATAAAATCACTGGGAAAGCAAAAAAAAAAAAAAGCAACCACAATATTCAACCCACAATCATTAAAGTAAATTAAGATACTCAAAGCCTAGTAGTAACATTTGAAAGAATTTTATATTGCAATTCTTTCTGCAAATAATTTAAAACCAGACTTTGAATATTTCTGTGTCTTTTAATTAACAATTGTGAGCTGATTATCTGTGAGCCATTATTTTCCTAAGGTTTTGCACACATTTGAAATGACTTCCGTGGTTCCTGACGTTGTGGCAGGACCACACGACTCTGCTATTTTTGAGATCTCGAGAAGAATTACAGAAGCACAACTCAGGGCCAAGCTCAGGACTGAAGCTCTAAACCCGTAAAAGTTTGGAGCTGTTTACACTTTTGTTTCACAGATTTTGCCCAGCCTTTGCAGAAAAAGAAAAGAGAACACCATGATCTGGTGCCTCAACCAGCCACTTAATGAGCGTGACAAACAGGTAAGGCAGTCACACCTGTATCTGCAATGCTACAAGCCGGACAACAGCTGTGCTGAAGGGCAGAGGTGGTGAGAGATAAGGGCTGAGATGAAGAAGGGGTAATCCATCAGCAACACTGGAAGGTCCTACCACTCCCATCACCTGAAATACAAACAGAGCACATGACCAGCCTTGACTATTGCAATTTCATGCGACCGTAAGTAAGGGAGTCTCATTCAATAATCATAATGATGATAATAAAGTAATAATGATGATAATAATAATAATTTGAAGGTTGGACATGTTACTTTCAGTCTGCTCTCATCGCCTTCTGTGGAAGGCATGTAATGTCTGGAGTCCGATCGAATGTGACACTGGATTCGGCCAAGGTTTTGTAGAATGTTGTTTATAGCTAACTATGTAAATAATGGGAGATGAACCAAAAACTCTTCTAATCAGGAGATTGGACATACTTACTGGTAGATTCAAAGGAATGCAGCCCACAGTTCTTTAAGATGGAGCTGGCAGTGACGACGATGATGATGGCATAACGCTACGTGTACTAGGCATTCCAGCTATAGAGTTATTGCTCAACTAGGTAAGCAGCAGATCCTACTCAATGAGATGCTCTCACATGATTTCTACATCGTACAAAACCTTGTGAGGACCAGACTCTAGATATTACATCAATGATAAAAAAATTTTTTTTTCTTCCCATAAATCCTAGACTGGCCAACTCATAGTGTCCTTTTGCACTTAAAAAAGAAAAAAAATGTTCTCTTTGCACTTTAAACTCCCCCACACCGGATGACCTCAACTTCTAGCCAATTGTGCGGTCTCCGCCACCCCACTCTCCAACTGGCAGCCCTCAACTCTCAGCGCAACTTGAAGAGGCCCATTGTCAAAGTAGCGCGTGGGAAGCAGCACACCAAAATCCCATCTGTGGAGGGATGGGCCCCTCATCTCCCCACGCACCACCTTGAAATGTACCTCCCTATTTTCAGTGTCACCTGAGCCGTCTGTTTTTGTGGGTGGGTAGGGGTACAAAGTGGTTGACCTGTAAATCTTCAAGTCAGAGAAATCAATAGCAGAGTGACATTTTTGCAAAGTTTCATAAGATTGCCACTTGGCTACTCACCAGATTGACACAGACATTGATCAGTGACCTAAGGTGAGGCAGGAAGGATATGATTGGCTGCCTCTGAAGTGTCAAACAAACCCCTTCAATCAAATTGCTGGCAGGCTCCCACTCAACCTGTCGCCTGGAATACAATATAGGAGCTGTTAGCAGCGTAGCTCCCTTCTGGAGGCCATCTGAAACAAGTGAACGAGACAGTGATTCTGACGCCATCTAAGACAAGACGGGTGTCTGAGACAACAAAGTGCTTCACACGGGATGAAGTTTACCCATGTTGTTCCAAAAGCACAGAGCACACTGGGAAGGAAAGAAGATACTGAAAACGTAGCAGAGGCACTCCTGCCCCACTCGACTAATGAGACAAAATCTATTGAAGAAAAAACAGAGATGATGAATGGGTTGCATTTTAAGTTTCCTGGTTTTAGCTTTGAGAGAGGTGTAGAAGACTGCAATTTTAGGTAACCCATCCTGGGGGCCATGACTCCCAACAGAACTAATCTGACCGCAGGCTGCATTTCTGAAATCTATTGATCAGACTACAATTGATCTCATCAGCTTTTATACCAGGATACAACTTATTAGATTTATATGGTTTAACTCCTGCCAAAAACATGACATTAGAAGAAAATAGTTCATTTAACAAGTGTTCTTTCTCGGCCTCTAAGAAATGATATTTTGGGGGCTACTTTCTAGGGTCATATAAATGGTATAAATCTAAACCCAATTAGATGAACATGGGATTTTCTGTAATAAAAGTCAGTCCAGTCTCTGTCTCAGTACCAGAAAGAGCCATCTCCATGGCCCCCAAATAAACAGGTTGGGTTTTAATGATAACAGCACTATTTCTCATATTATCCCAGAAACAATTCCTAAGCTTATATTTCCTACCAAAATGGAATTTCTACAATGACAAAATGGAAATGTTCATAAATGAGGATATACTGATATCCTGATTCTCAAGTAACCCACAAGGTCAGTTTCAGTCAACTTTTCCCTTGTTGAACTGAGATCAACGGACGAAATTAAATCCAAGGCAACCTCAAATTCTCAGGATGCACCCCCAAAGAGGTTACCTACAATTAACCCATGTACTTTTAGGAAGCATGATGTTCTTTACAACTGGGCTTGATTATATGACAAATGAGTCAACCTATGGAGATGTTTGACATCTTTATGTACAAGGTTATTTAAGAAAAAGAATTTATTTTGACCACACCCTTGTAAGAATTTTAAGAGTGGCCATTTGCCAATAGGCACAAATGTTCCACTGAGACCATTAAAAAAAGTAGGTGTGCTGTAAGGACAGACATTTCCATGCCACTGAAATAAATAACCAATGTGTAGGCATTCGTCATCACGTTATAAAAGAATACAGGAACAAAATATCAATTACTGAATGAAATCTTTCAATTTCTTTTTTATAATTCCAACAACTCCTGACCACTACATAAATGAAGAAGAACACAGGCTAACACCTGGGAAAATTCTGACAAATGGAATGCTAAGCACTACAAATTCTTCGGCAAGAGTTGCATTGATTTTGGGTTAAGTTTAAAGGGACAGAAAATGCTCTCATTAACTCAAACTTGAAACTCCTGAGTTTGTAGGCTTATCAACATTTAGCCAGTTGAACTGTCTGCTCGTAGGTCTCCAAACTGGACTCAGATCTCCAGGTGGTCTGGTTCCGAGGCACCCTTGCACAGATAGGGAGGCTATCAGTGGATATTTCAGGTTACTGAACAGAGATCAAAGGGTAATCATGTTAATTTCATACCACTCTGATTTAGATGAAATGGTGAAACTTAGGTCTTTGCTATTAATCGTGGGATTTTTTCCAGCTGCTACATGGCTGCTTACTGTTAAGATTTGTCATTTCTCTAAACTCTGTCAAAGCCAGTATTTTTTGAACATTGAATTAATTTTTCTTTTCTCCTCAGTTGTTTTATTTGTAAGCCACACCCTGCCTTATTTCAAAAGAAATTGAAGGATACTCACTGAATTTCTTATGTGTGTCGGATGAGGAACATGATAGCTAAGATATGAACAGATTTTTCAAGATGAACACATATAATTTGAAAGAATAGATTATTTCTTCGAAATGTAGACCCTACTACTTATACATTCATATACCTGGTTAGCTATGCACATATACCAACAGAAAACTTTCAAGTCATCTGTTCAAATCCAGATTGTGCCACCATCTTAAAGGATGATAAACCCTAACTTTGAAGCTTGTAATATTAACAGCTGACCAGGAGGCCTCCTCACCTCAAAGTAGGCATCTTATGAATTTTGTTGAACATTCTATCCAGTCTCTTTAAAATGAGGATAAGGGCTGGCCTCACTGCCTCGGCTGTCCAGTCGGTAATGGGTAGCATCTCCATGATGTAGCGCCGAAGCCCACGGCTTTCCATCGTCTGGGTGTCGTATGGTGCCAACTTCAGAAGGGAGTGTGCAATTTCTGCCAACCTAATTTTTTTTTCAAAGAATAAGCTTAGAATGCCACAATGGGAATTTTTCTCACACAGCATCATGTTAATCACCCTCCTTCCAGCACCTCAGCTCCCTGAACTAAAAACATTCTTCCCTCTACCTTCTACCCCTCAGCTCTTCTTGCATGTGCCAATACATTGGATACCTGCACATACATATTAACAGAGAATCATTGACTATTCCAGAGAGTAAAGGTGAATAGTATCTGAAGAGGAAACTAAAACCCAGAGAGATTGTCAGGCCAAACATATCTAGAGAATATGTATACATGCATATGTATATGAGGATATATATATATGTGTATATATATACACACAAGTACATACCCACATACATATATATAAAAGGTACATATATATATACACATATAGGCGTATAAAAGAGAATCTAAACTATAATGTATAACAAAATCACTAATATCAAGTGTCCAAGTAAGCTTCATGGCTTCCTAGCTCCCTCACTGCCCATAGTCAAAGTCAAAGGCATTTTATAAAATGTAGTATTGGTTTTTATTGGAGTCTAAGGAGTTCTTCAAACCCATTTCCCTTTCTCTCCTTCAAAGTGTCTTCTCTTTTTGTCTTATACATGGATCCTCCTGCTCTGCTGTTTTTGTTGTTTGTTTGTTTTTATATAATTGACCTAATTGGATTGTCTGGATGGTTTTGGTTTGGGTTGTCTCTTCCTCTCAAATTTTCCAACTCAGTTCCACACAGGGACTGCAAAAGGAAAAGCACTTCCTCCAAATGTAGCCCAGGGTCTGTCACCAGACACAGGTCCACGCTCTATGTCCTACGTACAGGATTCCCTGAGGGTGAACTGACCAACAGGACTGGTTTCAGGTAAATGCAATAGCTGGTTAACTGAAAAAACTTCAAAACTAGACATGGATTATCAACTTCCAAATAATACAAATATAATGGCATACATGATCTTAAAAAGCCAACTGAATTTAATTTTATGTGAAGGAAAAAGCAGTTTATTTATCTTTTAACCAAATTTTTCATTTTACTTAACTTTAATTTTATTCCAGTATAGTCAACATACAGTGTTACACTAGCTTCAGGCGTACAATATAGCGATTCAGCAATTCTATAGATTACTCAGTGCTCATCATCACAAGTGCGCTCCCTAATCCCCATCACCTCTTTCACCCATCCCCCCACCCACCTCCCCTCTGGTGACCATCTGTTTGTTCTCTATAGCTAAGAGTCTGTTATTTGGTTTGTCTCTTTTTTCTTTGTTCCTTTGTTTCTTTTTCTTTCTTTCTTTCTTTCTTTCCTTCTTTTTTTTTTTTTTTTGAGAGAGAGAGAAAGAGCAAGTGAGCAGGGGCAGAGGGAGAGGGAGAGAAAGAATCTTAAGCAGGCTTCACACTCAGCACTGAGCCAACTCGGGACTTGATCTCAAAGCCCTGAGATCATGATCTGAGCTGAAATCAAGAGTGGATGCTTAGCTGACTGAGCCACCTAGGCGCCCCACTTTGTTTCTTAAATTACACATATGAGTGAAAACTTATGGGATTTGTCTTTCTCTGACTTATTTCACTTAGCATTATACCCTTCAGATCCATCCATGTTGTCACAAATGGCAAAATTTCATTCCTTTTTATGGCCGAGTAATATTCCATTATATATATATATATATATATATATATATCACATCATCTTTATCCATTCATCTATGGATGGATACCTGGGTTGCTTTCATATCTTGGCTATTGTAAATAATGCTGCAATAAACATAGGGGTGCATTTATCTTTTCAAACTAGTGTTTTCATTTTCTTTGGGTAAATAACTAGTAGGGGAATTACTGGCTCACAGGGTAATACGATTTTTACTTTTTTGAGGTAACTTCAAATTGTTTCTTTTTTTTTAAAAGATTTTATTTATTTGACAGAGAGATACACAGCGAGAGAGGGAACACAAGCAAGGGGAGTGGGAGAGGGAGAAGCAGACTCCCTATGGAGCAGGGAGCCCGATGCGGGGCTCCATCCCAGGACCCTGGGATCATGACCTGAGCCGAAGGCAGACGCTTAACGACTGAGCCACCCAGGAGCCCCAAACTGTTTTCCACAGTGACTGCACTAGTTTTCATTCTCACCAATAGTGCATGGGGGGTTCCTTTAAGAAGAAAGCACTTTAGGGGTGCCTGGCTGGCTTGGTCAGAGGAGTATGTGGCTCTTGATCTCAGGGTTGGGGGTTTGAGCCCCAAAATGGGTGTAGAAATTACTTAAAATCTTAAAAAAAAAGAAAGCATTAAATTTTACGATTCTTCTCTACCAAATACATTGAGTAGTTGCAGAATGTGTAGAAGATGATAGTAAGAGGCCATGAACACCCACCCATTCATGGGAGTATCTTGCATCTATGCTGTATGATTTGAGCTTGATCTTTTTTTTCCAGAAAAAAATCCTGTATTCTAAAAAATATATCCAAGATTCTTATCACAGTGGCTGAAATGTCAATATTCTTTAAGGTACTAGAAATTCCTTTGAAAACAAATTTAAGAAGGGTAATTAAGCCACTCTCACTAATTATTTGAATCTTTGGCTTGAATCAGCATATGTCTAGTCAGGCATCCAAAGTATCCTACGGAAGTAGAATGCAGGACAGGGAGATTCTGATAAGAAAGGGGAATAGAGAGGCCTAATGTTGCCTAGAAGTGCACTTGTGCATGGTGCTCTCAGGAGGCATCCATACACTGAGGGTTTTCGGAACTGTTACTTAAGGAGAAGAGGATATTCCAGATAAAGGGACATCAGAAATAGGCTTTTCTATTTTTTCTTCCCTTTTTTTTAAAGACTTTATTTTAAAGTAATATTTATACCCAACATGGGGATCAAACTCACAACCCTGAGATCAAGAGTTGTATGTGCCACTGACTGAGCCAGCCAGGCGCCCCAAGATTTTCTACTTTTTTTTGAAGCAAATTTGCCTTGGAAAAGCCCAGAAAGTATAATCCTCAATCTTAAGGTTGAAAGAGATCTTAATATCCCTGAGGGAGTGGGGTTCCATATGTTGAACCTCTGACTGGATCCTCTTACTTTAAAAAAATTCAGCTTAAAGTAGAAATAAAAGATATCATTTCTCAGGCCCCATCCAAGATTTAATGAATACGAATTTCCAAGGATTGGGCCCAGAAATCTGCATATTTTTTACCTTAATTTTGAAAAATTTGAATATATATATATATATATATATATATATATACACACACACACACACAAAAGTAGAGAGGCAAGTATATAATGCACCCCTCATGTAACCATCATCCAGATTGAACAATGTTCAACTCATAGCCGCTTGGGTTTCATTTATACCCACAATCACTCCCCCCTCCACTACCCTGAACTCCTTTGAAGTAAATCCCAAGCATCAAATCATTTTATCAGTGCATATACTTCAGTATGTGTCTCTAAGATTAAGGACTTAAAAAAATTAACCACAATACAATTATGACAGCTAACAAGTTAAAAATAATTCCTATAAAAAGAAAGATATCCAGTCAGTTTTCAAAATTCCCACCCTATTTCCTAATTCTTAAATAAACTTTTCTTTAAACAAATCAGAATTAAATAAGCCTCATAAATTTCAGTTGGTTGATATTTCTCTTAAGTCTCTTCTAATATATAGGCTTCCCCTCTGCTGCTTTTTTTTTTTAATGTTCTTATAATTTATTTCTTGAGGAAATTGGCTGTCAAGTAGCATTTTCCACACTCTAGATTTTGCTGATTGAATCTCCTTGCTATCATTTAATCTATCCCATTGTTGCCATATTTAATTCAATTGGCAGTTAGACTAGGGGTTAGATTAGGTTAGGTTTTGATTTTTCTGGCAAGCGTATTTCACAGGTGACACATGATTCCTGTTTGTCACTCTTTATGATGTTAGTGGTCACCAGTGATCACTGCACAGATCCATTAATTCATTAGAAGTAGCACACTAGCAATATTGTATCATTCCTTTTCTCATGTATTATCTATAGCATTTTAATAAGGAAAAATTTCTCTTTGATTACTCCAGAAGAGACAGGACAAATGCTTGAAAGGACTTACAGTATAAGAGCTCCTGGGTGATTCTGACAGGCACTCTGATTTAGGAATCACAGCCAAGCCACTGTCTCTCTAACATGTGGATTGCTCTACAATAACTTCATCTTACTGGCACCCCGGATGGAGAATTCACCACTGCGTAAGGCTGCTTTCACCACCCTCACCATCCTTGGAGGTCTACACTCTAAGAAGCTCTCCTCATAGCTGGTTCCCCAACTCCCTCAGTTTCGTCCACCTCGGCTTAGTCTGGAAGCATGAATTCAAGTCATCTTCTCCATAGCAACCCTTCATAACCAAGAAATAGTTACCGTCTTCTCTCCAGATTGAGCGTTCACAGTGTCCTTCTGGAAATTGTGTGTGAATGTGCATGTCTTAAATCATTTGAAACAGCCTGTGCGTTCTTCTGTTTATCTCTTTCTTGCAAATGTGCCATGCAGAAAATTCTTTACTTTTTAGGTTGTTTGTATGACAGATAGGAGCATATCTTATATGCACATATTTCTTTTCCCTTATTATTTTACAGACAACATTGAGAAATGCTTGAGAAAGGATCAATCTGTCTATTTCAAGCAAAAAAGTCCAATATTTAGAACTGAATTTGAGTCATTTTATGCATTACTGCCTGAATTTCTCTAATCCCTGATGGTGCTAAAAATGAATTTGCATTGAGTGTAACACAAACATTTCCTTTAATATAGTCTTTGTTGTACTAGCACGTGGATAACCTCTTGGTAAAAAAATATTCCTATGGTCATTTCCCAGTGAGAACACAAGAGATTTTCCCATTGAGAGGGAGAGTTGAAGAGAGGGAGGCAGGGAGGGGAGGGGAGAGAGGGGGAGAGATGGAGAAAGAGGGACAAAGGGAGAGTGGGAGGGAGAAGAGAGAGAGAGAGTTGGACTTGCAGATCTCATTATCCTGCTACATACATACATATATATATATGTACTTTGGCAGCTCTGATTTGTGCAAATGAAGCATTGAATTCCCTTAGGGCAGAGCCTATCTAATCAGAGATCCTTATAGTCAAAAAAAACCCCCCAAAAACAAAAAACATAAAAACCCCAAAACATATATTTTGCTGACACAGGAGTACAGATTGCCTTTTGCACTGCCTATTGGTTCTCTGGCTTGAATCAAAGACTTCATGTAAATATCTCCTCTAGCTCTTCTACCATGCCATTCCTGTTTTTATCAGTCTTCTCTCCTTGAGGGATACTATCCATTCTTACGACTTTAAACATGACCTCTGTGCCCACAGTTCTGGCTTTTACATATATCCAAATGTATATTTAACTTATAAGCAAAAATCTAAATTACACCTTTTGATTGGTGCAAGGTCAAAATATATGGGTCTATCTTTACTTAGCAACATAGAATATCTCTGGCCAGAGATCATGACAAGTCCTTTTTTTTTTAATCAAAAGCTTGTTGTGAGAAATTGCATTAATAGAGGTCATGTAGTCTTATTTCCTGGCAGTAAAAATTCTGCCTATCCTCCAATAGGCAGTGAAATAATTGTGCTTTTGAATGACATTATCTTGGCTTCAGATAGGTTGCTTTTGATGAATTGCATTATGATGTTATGCCAACTTTCAGTACTGACAGGCTTCCAGCCATGTGAAACTAACACTTTATCTACACAGGGGCGTTGTTCATCACACCACTCTTTCCTTTTAACAAATGCCAACCAGGAGACATTTTTTTATTCTCTGTATTTTAAAAAAGTCATTTTTTATCAAACAAAACTAGTTGTTTTTCCCTTATCGACACTATGATTTTGTAATTGGTCATTTCCTCCTCATTGCTTTGACAACTTGGAAGCTCAAAATCAAATTTATGGTCATGAATAGCATCTAATCTGATCAAATCATATAGATTTCCTGTGTTAATAGTATCATAAACATAATTATTTCCTCGCTCATTCTCCACTTTGTTCTGACTCTCTGATTTGTATATTCTACCCCTTTGTTTAATTTTCTTTTTTTAAAAGACTTTATTTATTTGAGAGAGAGAGTGTGTGGGGAGGGGCAGAAGGAGAGGGAGAGAAGCAGACTCCCTGCTGAGCACGGAGCCTGATGTAGGGCTCCATCTCACAACCCTGAGATCATGACCAGAGCCAAAATCAAGCGTCGGACGCTTAACCAACTGAGCCACCCAGATGCCTCCCTTTGTTTAATTTTCTAAGTTGCCTCAATTATTCTGTAAAATGATAAATACATAGATATATACATATGATATATAGTACTTGCAATAATGCACTGTACTTACTTTCTTTGTGTGCTGCTTGCGCTAGACTGTGGTCATGGGGAGGACCAGGACTTTATTTTACACTACCAGTGTCCAGCATAGTATTTGGATCATACTCATTAGCATCAGTATCTGTTGAACTCTATTAACTCAGTGCCAGGGCACTGACGTAAGTCATTTGAACTCCAGCTCATTTAACTTTTAACAGGGTTTGGCCTCTAGAGAGAGCTCCAGATCTCCCTAACTAACACTCTCCCCTTCCTCCAAATGCCTTAAGAAGTGTAGTTATAAATGGTCAAATTATAGGACAGTTTCTAACCCATGATCCTGATCTTCTCTCTCTCTCTCTCTCACCATCTTTTAGGAATATTGTCCCTTCACCCCCACCACAAAATGGCGGGTGGTAGTAGTGACACTCTGATTCTAGGAAGCTGATGTTGCTCTGTTCACAGGATTACTTGGTTCTATTAGCCATCATCAGTGGGAAAGGAGGAGAGATGGACTGACTGAATGGAGCACTGGGTTGCTATGGCAACAGGCTCTTAATATTCCAAATTTTCCTCCCCTTTCCAGTGTAGGTGCTGAAATTCTCCATGTGAAATAAGCTCTTCCCCATTTCTGTACAGTGGGAGCATGGGTGTGTGCCAACAACTCAGAGAATGTGAAATTAGCCTGGAGGAAAAAGAGTCTGTCTTCTCTCTACATTTATGGACTCTCATTTTCACTCACTTAGTAATTTCTAAAATTTTCAAGGGATAATCTTAAGAAAAAAGTTGACGGCAATCAGGGAACCAGCATGTTTTGCCAAATAGCAGTGTTATTTCTGAATGGCTAGAACCTAACTCTCCCTTTAGCTTTATAAGTATACTAAACTTTTCGAGTGAATATTTTGTTACCCATGGAATTTTCCTTTCAAGGAAATTTTAGAACCTTTTACAAATTGTTACAAATCTGAACAGAAGATCTGGAATCATGTTTCTTTTAAGAATCTGAGAATACAGACACAGACTTCATGATTTATGACAAGTGACATATGACATCACCATAGGAAGAAGGAAATATGAAGGCACAGACCTGCAATTCTAGAGCCTCTCCCTGGCACAACAACAGTAAGAATTTTTAAACGATGACTGGCCTTGTCCAGATCAGAATTTCCAGCAGGACACTTTTTGTGTGAAACATTGGAAGGCTATCATCATGCACAATGTGTGTAAAAAGGACCTGAGCAAAGCGTGGCTCAGAGTTAAAACTAGCTCACTTCCCTGCAGGGCTCATTACTGAGTCCCCAGGTAGTGTAGGAACAGAGCAAGTCTTTGGGCAGAAAACAGTAGTGATTTTTTTTTTCTTGTAAACTGATAGAGAGGAAACACTGGGTTCTTGCGAAAAGTTAGATTCTGGGCAGTAAATAGTGCTTGGATGAAGGCTACCTTTCTAAGAATTTAGGTGATGAAATTTCCCTTTTACTCTCTTTTATTGAGGAGCAAATATATGAACTATGCCTTTCTGTCTTTGAGAGTACTCTCCCCCTGTCTACCCTGAGATCCTTTTTGATAGACTGAATATACATTTTCCTGGATGGTCTATATGAAATTCATCCAAAGCCACAAGAAACAAATCATTCTGAGTGCCCAAGTTCTTATCCTGAGAGACCGCCTCCCCTGGCACCCACACCCCCAAACACACGTCCCAAGCTGCATTCACACTCAAAAGCAGGAGAAGCAGGGATAATACCTCATGTGTGACTTCACATCCAGCAACTCCAGGGCAGTAACCCGCGGCTCCCCAGCCAGGTTTTGCAAGATCTTCAGCCTTGGCCCACAGTGCTTGTAAAATTCGGTACAAATATTCAGCAGGGACTCCCGAGGTCTTCTGAACTCCTCCCGAGCAATTCGTTCATCCAGTTCCTCTCTGGGAAGGCCTTGCCCTTCCTCCAGTAAGTGAAGATTTTCCCTGGGGAATTATAAAATGTTAACTGGGGGTCTGAAAAGGTGTGTGTGTGTGTGGGTGGGTGGGTGCATCACACTGACGAAAAATGTACGATTCCTTATATTATGTATCATATACATTCATGAGGAGAACCTCATCTGAAGGGTAAAGAAAGTGTAACACCCTAGAAGAGATTGCCATCCCAAATTGCAAATGGCTTTATATGAGCCACTTCCTGAGGATTTACCCAGAAACAGTATGCCATGCATTAATTAAATGAAATCTAACGGAACCATAACCCGGCTCAAAAGGCAATCATTACAAGATGTCAGAATTAGTATGAAATCAGGGCTTGTCTCTCTGTACCTGATAAAGTGTAGTTTGGCGCCTTGTTCCTGGTACCTGGGAATCAGAAGAACAGTCTGCATAAGGACGAGATCAAGTACAGGGGCCCTATGGCGGGGCTTCTTAAGGACTGTTTCTTATGAAAAAGCCTTGAAGCTACACATTTTGATAAGCTCACAAATGCACACAGACTAATCCTAAAATATAAAGTCTTTATATTTCACTTGGCTACCGCACACACATGTTGCAATTATAGCTGCTATGAAAGCCATCCCATTGGTATACAATTTGTAGAAATACATATTATAAAAACATTTACAAAGTCATGGAATGTAGCCAAATGAGGGGACTTTTGAAAAACTTTGAAAGTAAAATGAATCTAAGTTACCATTTTAATACCATGTGCTCTGTTTCTGGGGATCAGAGGAAATATGGCAGACTTCCTTTCAGTTCTGGAGACTTATTGCTTTATGACTGATCAATAATAGGACTTTAGAAACTCTCTTTTTCTGTGTACCTTTCACCTGGTAGTTGAATCTAGCCCCTGTATATCATTTACAATAGATTTATTGTTTCTTAATATGAGAAATTGAGGCATGAGCTAACCATCACATCAGTTAACTTACAGTTGGGTTTGGTATTTGTTTGACTTGTAATATAAATGATGATCAGGGAATTAACTTTATATAAAGAATGATACATTCTTAAAACTGTGCTTCAGAGAGAATGGAAAATTAGGAAGTTTCTCCTTAAGATCTCCCTACTAACTACGCCATCCTGGGAAAAGAACTTTTTCTCTAACTGATTTGGGGTTTGTCCTCTCTTAAACCTTCCTTGGAGGAAGAAGCTAATTAAACTTTTGTGTGTGTGTGTGTTCGGGTATTTAGAGGTTAACACGGATGGAAGCAATGTAAGTATTACTAGTATAGCCAGTGTCTGAGTTACCCCAAGACAGGAGGGGGGAGGGGAGAGTAAGTCAAGGACCATGAGAGCATCATTTAAGGACCTAAGTCAAAATTTGGATGAAATGCCTGTGGAAAATCTGCCCAGATGAAAGAAAGTTGACCCCCTATAACTGCCCCGGGAATGAGAAACCACCGCCTGATTATTATTGTTTCCTTTGCTTTTTTCTTAGAGGTGAATGAAACAGCACTGGAATAGTTCAAAGACCACCCAGGCGGCAGAGAACATCTTGTGTGTTCACGCAAACACACTGACACAAATGCCAATTTATGAAGGTGGGTTGGATTTCTCTGACAGTGTCAAAAGAAGCCTTGAAACCCTAAACTCTCACCGTCCTTTCTTTTCCTCGGAGCGTTTCACACTCAATATTGACTATTTTCAAGATTCCTTTCATTCCCAATAGCTGAGATTCAGGTTGAATGACCCTGAGAGACCACAGAAGAATAATGCCTGTGAATTACCTGGTGTTCACCCCGGACGACATCGTGTGATTGGCTGTGGTGGTTCCCTTGTGACCTTGGTCACACCTGCTCATCTGCGGGGCTGTCATGGGCCTGCAACAGGGACAGGAACCGCCACAAACAGAACAACAGCAACAGAAGTGGAAACATTTACCAAGTCCTCAAGTTATGGAAGCTCGCATAAGTTTTAAATTACTCACAGTCTTAAAAAGAGACTGTTGAGTTGGGCTTTTCTGTCACACTCTTGCCGTCTCTGTTCTGAGAGGTACTTTAAAGGGAACGTTGATTCCCGGGGGGGGGATGTCTATCAGGATATCATGATTTTAGTTCTTCTACTTCTTGGTTCTGAGTAATAAACAATGACACTTCAAACCAGACGTTTATGAACTCAGACTTCTAAGTCTGTATGATTCAGTGAGAGCTAAGAGCTTGTTTTTCAATTTGATAGGTTACTAGGAAGTTAACCATTCTAGACAATAAGGAAAATACATACCGTGTTGGCCACCTACATTGTAATCAACCACCTTATTTTTCTGAAAAACTCTCAAAGAATGAAAAGAATCCTTCTAGGCAAAATTATACCTAAGACTACCCAGAGAAGTGAGTAAATTAGTATCTATTATAAATGTAGTGTAATGTAGATGCTCAGAAATCTATTTGAATCATCTCATTTTATACGTGCAGGGTTTACTTTAAATCCCAGGTAATCTTTGCCTCTCTGTCAGCCTCTGAAAGCAACGGAAAGGATGATGCAGCTTTTCAGAGCAAGTGCTTGTATGAACTCTTTCAGGCTTGCTTTTATGATGCTCATTTTCTGTACGCTGGGTGTGGCTGGAAAGTAAGCTTTAACAATCACACTAGAACTTCTCTTCCTGCGCCATTGTTGTGGAAGGCAGAATTTAAAGATGGCCCCAGGACACTGCCCTCCCCCTGATATTACCCCAGTGATTATGAACTGTTAAACTGCCAGAGGGAAATTATCCGGGTAGGCCTAATCCTATTGCACCAGCCCTTTAAAAAAGCACAGTTTTCCCTCGCTAGGAACAGAGAGATTTGAAGCATGAGAAGGACTCAGGGTGCCATTGTGGGCTGGAAGACAGAAGGAGACATGTGAGAAGAAAGGCAGGTACCCTCTAAAGTGGAGAGTGGCCTCTGGCTGACAGAAAGGAAAGGGAACCTCAGACCTAAAGCTGCATGGTGCTGGATTTTGCCAAAGACCTCTAAATGACCTTGGAAGTGAATTTTTTCCCCTAGATCCTTCAGATAAGAGCCCAGCTTGACTGCCATCTGAATTTCGGCCTTGTGAGATCCTGAGTAGAGAAACCAGCTGAGCCTGCCCAGACTTCTGGCCTATGGAAATATGAGATAACAAGTGTTTGGTTTTATGACTCTGAATTTGTGCTAATACATTACATAACAATAGAAAACTAACATTAATATAGTTGTAATTACTTATTTAAGTGTAACTGAATTTGTGTGTAACTCTGAAGTAACTCTGAGTAAAGAAATTAGGAGTATGGAAGTGAAATGGGGTTCTTCTTATCTTCTTGTAAAAACAGCAAAGCCAACTTTATTGTGAATAATCACCAGCTGACCAATGAGGCTAATTCTCCCCTCTGCCAAGAGAATATTAAGTGCACTGGAATATTTAGAGCCACAGAATTTCAAATGTCAGTGCTCCATCCATTCCACTCTTGATGGAATTCTGGGTAAGTCAGTTTTGGATAAGTTAATTGACCCATCCTGATAAAAGAGAATAGAATGGAGGAAAGCCCTGAGATTGCATAATATGAGGAGAAATAACAAAAGCAGCCCTTGGGAAAAACTGATTGCTCTTCTCTCCTCTAACTGCAGGAAGGGACTAGTGGTATAACCAGAGAGGCACAGAAGGAAGAGTGTAAATGATATTTCTCCTTAGGATGTTCTTCTTCCTAGGACTTTCATGAAACCAACATCAAAGCTTTGGGACTAGTTCCCGTTGGAAGAGGCAATTTGCGATGGCTCCCTGGTCCACCACTCCCCATGTCCTCAGCCAGGTGCATATGGGCCCTTCAACACCGGCAGCCTACCAAAGGCTTTTGGGCTACACTCTGCTTGCCTAGGTTGGCAATGTAGCCCATGATTAGAAACTAAACATACATTGACTTAATGAATCACAATCTCCCTCCCTCTCTCACTTGCTGGTACATGCTAGAGAAGTCCTTCCTGGATGGAGGGATTTCAGCTAGTTCTCGTCAACAGGGCAAGATGGGGCTGGAGGAGTTGGTGCCTTTTGGGTGGGAGTAGATCACAGACAGAATCTAGGCTAAGGATGTGGCCAAATGGGATGGAGGAGCAGACACAACCCAGGAAGAAGGCTTCCCCACCTCTGCTCCGGGGAACAATAACTCCTTCTAGCTAATTTTAGATGGGAACAGAGAAAGAAAGCCAATCACCTGCATAGCTTCCTGCCTCCACTTCTTGCCGCTCCTCTCGCTCTGTCTGCCCGCCATCCCCTGCATCCCCATCCGGCCTCTCAATGCCTTCTGCTTCTGCACCCAAGACCTTTGCGACAGGGCTAACTTCTTAGTACTTTGTTTAGGGCTGAACTCTGGTGTCAGTGTACCTTTCCATTCCCAAATCCCCAAGCCCCTGTCCCAGCACCACGGAGCCTCGCCCCACAGAGAATCTGTGAATTCTAGCATTAGAATAAAATTCTGTCATTTACGTTTGTTATGTAGTTTCTGAAATTACAGTTAAAAAAACACAACTCTTTGCAAACCGTAAAATAATAAAAGACAGCTTAGTTGGAATTACAGACATTTCACGTCCCATAAAATAACGTAAAAGCTCATAAAAATAGGGAGCACGTTTTCATATTCACTATGTTGGCCATTTCACCAAAGATTCGTTCACCACTGGGTTAAAACTGCCACGGACGCTCAGCAAGCTACATGCAGATGTGTTCATGGTATTATTAACACTGTTATTATTGTTAATTCTTCAGAGTGCTTAGCACTATTTATCCAAACAACCTAGGGGATGTTTGCAATTTTAAGCCACAAAGGGCTGAGTTTGGGCAGGGGCGTGTCATGAAGGGGCGACCCGTGAAGACAGGGTCTTAGGGATTTTTAGGTGCCGTGTTTTTTCTTCCTCTTTTTGGTAGACACATAGCGCGTGAGGCTGTGACTATGTCTGTGGCGGGATTACCTGGTGAGGACCTCTACACTGTACAGAAGGGCCTGCAGGGATGTTGCAAGAGCAGCTGTGGCAGCGATCTCCTCTCGGGCTGCAGGCACCGTCTCCACTTGGGACGTCTGCCTCTTTAGCTTTTGTAGGTAACAGGGGACTAGAGCTTCCAAGACCATCAGCATCTGAAGACTTTAATCAACAGAAAGGAAACCAAGTCACATTTTACATCCTGCTTTGGTTGGCGGTGTTATATTTGGGAGCGCGGAGGAATGAACAGCCTCGAGAATGAGGACCGATTTTCCAGGCCCCCTTCCCACCCCACCCAAGTCAAGAGTAAGTAAAGCTGCTGGAAAGATTGACCGACCCCAATTAATTAACTAATTCACTAATTAATCGAGCACCCAGGAAAAGGTGAGGAAATTCTGCTTGCCTTTCAGGGAAATATGGCCTAGTGGGGAGGGGAAAAGGAACATATATACAGCTGGTGGAGAGAACTGTGGAATGAGGACCGGTGGGGCTGTGCACTCCATCTAGAGAAACAGGCATCACAATGATCAATAAAGCTGCCACTCAGGGATGTGCTAAGAGTGATTTTTCAGCTGACACAAATTTTAGACAAGATAAAACCCTTCCCTGGGAGGCCGGCTTCTTAAAGTTTAGGCAATTTTCAAGAAAAGAGTCTGTGGAAACAGCCTCCGTGATGCAGGTCTGAAAATGGCTGCTTACTGGAGTGAATAATAAAAAAATCTCAACGACATTTTAATAAGAGCCACATGTTAAATGTAAGTACATAGAAACGTTGAAGGTAAAAGTCAGAACAAATACCAGTCAGACTTATTATAAAGCTACAATAATTAATACAGCATAATATTGGTGCAAGTGATGAGGGACAGAAGCAGAAAGATGTTCACCTCTAGCCCAGAAGGCTGGCCTATATCCTGCAGAGGTCCGAGAGAGATCAAATACATGCTGGTTGCTACATTCTTAAAGGGTCTCATGACTGCCTATGTATTTCAGCAATAGTTAATACCGAACTGAATGAGAAGTACCAGAGAAATCTTGCAAAAGTAGTTTTATGAGACGTTCAAAGAAGGCATTTATGATCTAACACTCCCTTCCCATGCATGAAGCATATAACCACCAGCTTCGTATAGCAAAAAGTACAGCTCTTTCTGCCCATAGGTCCTGTCCCTGTGCTACTTAAATAAACTTACTAAGTTGCACCCTACAACATCGCAAGAATTCTTTCTCAGAAAAAAAAAAAAAAAAATTCCTTCCTGGCTGTTACACTCCACGACCCCACAATACAAGGAGAGACAGACAGGTGGAACAAAATGAGGAGTCTGAAACAAATCTGCAGTTACTTGATTTATAACAAGGATGACATTGCAATGCAATGGGAAATGCTAGTATTTTCCTTAAATGGTACTTGGTCGATTGTCTATTAGTATCTCTATGGGAAAAAGAAATCTTGACCCTTACTTTACACCATACCAAAATTTAATTTCAGATGGATTATCTATCTGAATATGAGGGTAAAAACAATAAAGCATCTGGCATATCGATAATATAAGGGGATATATTCATAAGCTTGGGTTAGCTAAGATTTCTCTTTTTTTTAAAGATTTTATTTATTTGACAGAGAGAGAGAGATAGCGAGGGAGGGAACACAAGCAGGGGGAGTGGGAGAGGGAGAAGCAGGCCCCCCGCTGAGCAGGGAGCCCGATGCAGGGCTCAATCCCAGGACCCTGGGACCATGACCTGGAGCAAAAGGCAGACACTTAATGACTGAGCCACCCAGGCGTCCCAGGTTAGCCAAGATTTCTTAAGGGGACACAGAAAGCACTAAATAGTGATACATTGGACTACATTAAAATGAAGAATTCTGTTCATTAAAAGATAATATTAGGTGAGTAAGATTATAAGTCACAGAGTAAGAGATGTTATTTGAAATGCATATAACCAGCGGTGCGCTGGAGTGGACACTGAACAGGTCAAGACAGTCTAGGTATGCCTCTGTTTCCAACCCCATGTTCAATGATGTCATGCTGGTATCTTGTACTCAGCTATAGCTAGATATTGGCAAATTAGCAATGCTTTGCAGCAGGGACTCTTTTCCCCCAGAGAGCTGGTTATTAAACGTTTACCAGCACCCCAGTCCATATAAGCTTAAAGTACTTACATCAGACACTTTAGACAAATTCTACATATCAAATAAAATAAATACTGATAATCTTATTTAAAAATGGGTAGAAGACTTCAATAGGCACTTTGGACTTTGGAAAACCGGTAGTATCTACTAAAGGAAAACACACACCTATTCCATGACCTAGCACAGCATTTCTACCTACCGAAATATAGACATATGAGCTCACAAAGATGTGTACGAAAACCTTCACTGCAGCATTATTTGTAATAGCTTTAAATTAGGTATAACACAAAGTTTGTCTACGAGAAATCAATTGTGGCAAATACATTAAAAATTACAGATGAATGAAGAACAAACTGTGGCGACTTACAATGACATGGATGAAGTTCATGAAATAACATTGAATAACAAAAGGACAACAAGACAAAGTATTTATTATATTTCACCTGAACAGAGTTCGGAAACAAGCAAAGATGATGTAGGATGGTGGCTCATCTGATTTTTCTATTTGAGTGGTCCTTGTGTAGATGGGTTAACTTTATGAACGTTGGTACAACTATAAAGTTATGATTTTTAAAAACCTTTTTGTGTAAATGTTACATTTAAATAAAATACAGTTACTTAAGAAATTTAAGTACAATAGGGACTTGGTGTTACCAATGTTGAAGAGTTATAAGAATTGTCCTTGTTCCTTAGGAGAGATCCTGGGGAACAGCTGCTTAAGAGACCCTGATTCTACCCAGAAATTTAAGAATCCCTCTGGCTTAAACAGAACAGAATCGGGGACTAGGGAGGATAATTCTTTCTTTAATTTTAATTTCACTTAATTTAACAATATTGGACTATGGCCCTTTAACTCACAATGACTAGAGAATTTGTGAACTCTAATTCCTTTTGATTTCAGTGTGTTTGGATTTTTTGTTTGTTTTTAAAATATTTTATTTATTTATTTATTTGTGAGAGAGAGAGAGAGCACAAGCAGGGGGAGCAGCAGGCTGAGGGAAAAGCAGGCTCCCCGCTGAGCAAGGAACCTGTTGCGGGGCTCCATCCCAGGGCCCTGGGATCATGACCTGAGCCGAAGGCAGACGCTTAACTGACTGAGCCACCCAGGCGTCCCATGGATTTTAACTTGAGAGAGGATTTCATGTCTTACCAGAAATCTGATAATGGGAAAAATTTTTAGTTAAATCTGGGGGTTTTCTGTGTCACTGGCATTTTAACATTAGAGAACCTTTATGCATTTTATTATTGCAGTGTCTTGATGTTACCACTCCATCTCACTGCAGATCCTCGGAGACACCCTACTAACAATGTACTCAGACACACCTGGAATAGAAGATGGGATAGGGAGTATTTTTACACCCAGAAATAGAGTGGGCTTGGCGTTAACGCAGGGTTTCAATCCACTGTTGAGCCGTGTATGGAGCCGTGATATTATAGGAGGAGCCCAAGGAAAGTGGGAGAAGGGCCATTGTTACAGACTGTAGATCTGCTCTCTCGAGGGACATAGCCACACCGCTGGTTGACCACTGGCATGATATTTAATCCCCGCTGATTAACACAAAAAAAGCTGGGAATCTTGGTTGGGGAGGATGGATATTTCTTACTCATTCTTCATGTAGAGAGAGTTCAATTAATATGAATCCTGGTCCCCCTTTGCCCCTTTACTCATTCTGCTGCAGGGGGAGGCAAAGGCTAATCCGAGAGGCAAACTGATAAAGATACACTGACAAAATCAGCGCTGCTCTTTACTTCTTCCTGCAACAGCTTGCCAACAGAACAGGATTTCTTTCCTCCACACTGTGGGTTTTCAGGGCGGCCCTGTTTTAAGCTTGATCCTTATACCAAAAATATGATAGCATATAACTTGGGATTTTGTTTATGAACTAAACATTACAAGAAAAGATCAAAGTAGATTGAGAAGTCAAGAGGGAGAGATTGCCTGATGTTGATATAATTGGGGAGGAGGGCCAGAGGGTTGATCAAGCTAGCCTCAGGGAGCATTTAAAGGAATGTAACTCGATTATTTTTAAGGGTGGATAACTGCATAACAGGGGGCTATCCTTGATTCATCTGAATTACTGTCTCTGTCTTTAAAAGATCTCTCTTAATAGCAAGATGAGATTGATTTTCATTTCGCGTATCAGTGCATAAGTCAGACCAGAGCCAACGTCCTGGAGTTGGGAGGACACTTTCCATGTGAATCCTTCGTATTCCTTACACTCAGCAAAATGACAGGCAAGATTTCTATTCTTGCTCTTATGTGTGACAGGAGTTCTCAGCGCTCCTTGAAAAGCATTCTCTTCGATAGTTTAAATGTCTGCTCTGCAATTTTGTTTACTATTCATTTGTATTACATGTCAGGACAGTATTTTCTAAACAAGACGAAGCATCTTCGCTGCCACACAAATTTCAAATTTTAGGGTGTTTTACATTAATGAAGATTTACTGTATTTTCCAGAACCGGTGCTATGATACGTTTCCTAAATGTAGTTATTGAGAACATCCTTGCCAGAATATTACAGGATGCTATGAGCCAACATAACCTTTGTACTCATTCACTTTTATTTCCTTAGCCACATTTACTTATCACAAGGCCTAGAATAAAGGGCTGCGTTACCTTCTGAATGATTCGGGAGCATAGGCTACTACAGTCACACAGAGCTTAATGGCCTCACTTATAGAGAATGTCAGGTCTTCATTGCCATAGCAGAAATCTGAGGGGACAGAAGGTCAAGGCACAAAATCAGAGTGGAGTCTGCCCAGGATAAAGGAGACATTATCACTCTTAACACCCCAGTTACATTCGATAGCCCTTTCTTTGTCAGACTTTATTCCTAAACTGTGAACACGATTAATTTCTTCATCTAAAGGGACTGAAAATTCTGTTTCCTACTTTTGAATAATCAGATGAGAAATAAAAGTGCTTTTCGGGGGGTAGTTTGGGAAAAAAATCTGACCTTACTAGAAGATACCCAAGGGCACACAGATGTCTAAGACATGAGACTTTATCTTTGAAGTCCCTCTAGTTCTACACATTCCATGATCATAAAAGACCATTTTAGAGAGTTACTCACTTAGAATTGCCCAGGAAAACCTAATTTTCTGAACACTGGGGTACTAGAGTAGTGTAGAATGAAGCATGTTTAATACAATTTTCATGGGAGGGAATTCCTTACTCTTTAGGATTTTCTTTTTTTAAAAAAAATTTATTTAATTTTTAAAAAGATTTTATTTGTTTATTTGACAGAGAGAGACACAGCGAGAGAGGGAACACAAGCAGGGGGAGTGGGAGAGGGAGAAGCAGGCTTCCCATGGAGCAGGGAGCCCGATGCGGGGCTTGATCCCAGGACACCGAGATCATGACCTGAGTCAAAGTCAGATGCTTAATGACTGAGCCACCCAGGCACCCCTAGGATTTTCAATAAATTAAAAAAAATTTTTTAAAGATCTTATTTATTTGGTGGGGTGGGGGGGAAGAGAGAGAGAGAGAGAGAGAGGGAGCATGCACACATGCAGAAGTAGGGGGTGTAGCAGAGGGGGAGGGAGAGGGACAAGCAGACTGCTCTGAGCACAGGGCCCGCTGCAGGGCTTGATCCCAGGACCCTGAGATCATGACTTGAGCTGAAACCAAGAGTTGGACGCTTAACCAACTAAGCCAACCAGGCACTCCTAGGATTTTCAAGAAATTTAAGAAAAACAGGAGATAGGAAATGTCCTCATTCAATGTATACCACTTTTCCATTTTTTTTTTCTGTTTTGATTTAGGTTAAAATATTTAATATAGAATTATTTTAAAAAAATTACAAAGGGAAAAAGAAGGTCAGGGCAACTTTTGTTTTTACCTAATGACTTAAGAGGCTTCTCAGCTTTGACCAGTTCTAAGATGTCTAATATGTCAGTGGTCTCCCCCTCCAGGGACTGCAGCAGGTCAAACAAGCACTGAGCTGACACACCTTTGCTGGGCCCGTTATTGGCAGCATCCTGTATGAAGAAAGTCTATTTTAGTTTATTGATTCCCACCTCAGCAGTAATGTGGTTTGTTCAAGAATTCAAATCTCACAAACACCACCACTGATAACAATTATATTGATCTGGCATTCAGCTCCCACAATCCTGCATCCAGCAATGCTGCTATATGGTTTTGGAACGGAACACCTGACTTTCAAGGGATCTATTAAATGCTAATCTGGTACAAAGAGATATTTGTGCAAACTCCTAAAAATACAGCAATATGTAGACTGCCAGAAAAATTCATGTAAATGTCTCCTCTGGTCTGCAATGGAAGGACCTAGCATTCCTGAAGGAACTTTCCATAATGTAGAAATAGAATACTTCAAATACATCTGGGGAAACAGATGCTTATTTTAACAACTTTCGGCATTTTTCAGGTCTTGTTTGATAATATAACTCCAAAATGGAGATGCTAGCCATCTCAGATCTATTTAAAATGGCCTTGATTCATTAAAACAACAATTCCCTCTTAAATTCCTACTATGTGCCAAGTAGAATTCTGTACACTGAAGTTATGACAAAACAAAAACAAAACAAAATAGACATACAAACAAAATAAAATAAAAACAAACCAAATGCAAACAGAGAAACAGATGAAGGTCTTGCTTTAATGGAGCTTAAATTCTATTTTGGGGTATGGTAGAGATGCATATTAGTGAATCAAATGTATGACATGTGATATAGTATGGTATAAGTGTTCTGAAGAAAAAGAAAAAGAAAGCAGGGTAAGTGCTAGACTGTGATAGAAAGGAATGAGAATCAGGAACTCTTCCTTTTAATTAATTGAGTATAAAAAACTGGGGAGTGGGTCTATTAATATCCTACAGGCAGAGATGAGGGTTGAAGAAAAATGAAGAGAAGTAATTATGATATTCGTATCCCACTGGTTGAAGAAAGAGAGCTGAGATGCTGATTATACAAATGGACAATATAAATGAGCAGGTCATATATAAAAACAGAACTCTGATCCAAAACCTGTGGTAACCTGCCCAGGAAACCAACCCATTGTCCACAGTCACTAGCCCAGGAATGGGCCTGCTGTAAGTCAGGTTAGTAGGAAGTCAGACTACTAGCTCTAGGGGAAACCAAACAATAACCCCTTTAACCACTGGTTCCCTAATGGCCAGGCCTTGATTAAAACCGACAGCTTCCCTGATCCTTGCCCCTGCTTCCAACTAGACCAATCAGAGAAAGCCAAATATGTACCCCTAAGCAATTACACAGGATGCCCCACTTCTAGTTAGCTGGCTTACAGCTCCCCTGCACCAACGGCCTCCCATCAGGGCACACCTAAAGCCTTCCCTTTTCTCTACCATAAAATTTCCTTTCTCCTCTGTCTGCCTTTGAGTCTCTGCCAAGACACAAGAGATGGTGGCGAACTCCCTTGCTACAGCCAACTCTAAAAGAGCCTTTGCTTTCCTCATCGGGTTGGTCTACTTACAGGAAACTCCAGGAGAGGGGCCACACTAGCAAACAGCTGGAGCACAAATGGCTTCCGGTGTAGAATGTAGAACTGCTGGCAGGCAAATTCGATGGCTTGACGCAACTGGGGATTGCTTTCATAATCAGAGTACACCTGCAGAAAAATGCCACATATTCAGAACATGCCTTAGCAGCCTGTCAAACTTGTGTTTGCTTTTAAAACTCATAGCAATGGAGGGGTGCCTGGGTGGCTTAGTCAGTTAAGTATCTGACTCTTGACTTGGGCTCAGGTCACACTCGCAGGGTCCTAATATCGAGCCCTATGTCAGACTCTGTGCTGAGGGTGGAGACTGCTTAAGATTCTCTCCCTCTCCCTCCTGCCCTGCCCTCCCCCCCCCGCCCCTCACAGTCTCTCTCTCTACAAAAACAAAACCAAAACACCTCATAGCCATGGGAAGCATGGAGAGAAGTGGCTAATTTAATAAACTGGTAGATGGGAGTATAAAACAGTATGATCTCTCTTGTGAGAAATTTGGTAATAAACATGAATATACTTTTTCCCAGGGAGTGTGTCACTAGGAATTTACCTCAAGAAACAAATTGGACAAAGGTACAAAGACAGATATAGAGGAATTCCTACTGCAATTTTGCTTATAATAATGGAAAATTTTGAACAAGTGAAATTATTCATAAATCGGGGTAGGTTAAGTGGATCAGGCTATGTGCATACAGCAGAATATTATGCAGTTATTGGAAAGATGCTCTAGCACTCAACGTAGCTACATGAGAAAAAGCCCGTGATATTCTTAGTGTGATGTGAGAAAAGTAGGTAACAAACTTGAACATGTGGTGTGATCCAACTTTTGTTTAAAAAAAAAGGTAGCACAGAGTGCAAGGATTTTCAAGAAGTATAAATAATGGTTATCTAGGAAGGAGGGTTATAGATGATTTGTTTTCTTCTTTAAGCTTTATCTTCTGAATTTTATGACGAGCATTTATTGTTTTTGGAAATCAGTAAAAAAGTTTATAAAAATAGAGAAAATTCCAACTATTTAAAAATAAGAGAGGCCTGATACTAAAGAAAATTTCTTGCCCCTGTAGGTTGAACAAACTCCACTTTGCACAAGCATGTATTACTTTTATAATTTTTACTAAAACTTCCATAAAAATAGAGGACTTGGATGAGCCCCTAGGCTCTGTCTGAACTTCATCCATTACTCCTAAATGTAGCCAGATACACTTTAGACATGGGTACGTGGAAATTGTTCTTGCTGAATTCACCTCCTCCGATCGCAGCATAGCAAATTTAATAGCAACGGAAATCTCGATTCAGACAGAGATCAGAAAATCTCTCAGGAGAAACATCAGTGGAACACTTGCCATACGTTTGAGTAAAGAGAGCAGTGATTCCCAAACTTCTAGGGCATCAGAACCACCTGGAGGTCCTGTAAGAATCCAGATGAACAGGCCCTGACTCCACAGTTTCTGATTAAGTAGGTCTGGGGTGGGGCCCAAGAATGTGTATTTCTTTCTTTCTTTCTTTCTTTCTTTCTTTTTTTTTTTTTTTTAAAGATTTTATTTATTTGACAGAGAGAAACACAGCGAGAGAGGGAACACAAGCAGGGGGAGTGAGAGAGGGAGAAGCAGGCTTCCCGCGGAGCAGGGAGCCCGATGCGGGGCTTGATCCCAGGACCCTGGGACCATGACCTGAGCTGAAGGCAGACGCTTAACGACTGAGCCACCCAGGCGCCTCAAGAATGTGTATTTCTAACAAATTCCCAGGGGACGCTGATGCTGCTGGTTCAGCGACCCCACTTTGAGAACCACTCAAAGAGTGGTTAGAGGAAAGGGGAAAGTCCATCCCAGGTCTGGGAGATCTCAGGAGAGATAGAACGGGATATTGTGACCTTCCAGAAAATTCTGGGGAGATTTCATTTGGTGCCTTCTGCTGCCACAAAAGCAGGTAACTTCCATCTTAAAAAGTTGTAGTACAAGTCTTATTGACCTGCCATACGGGCAGTTGGTTTTCTGGTGAGGAGGCTAGAGCCACAGCACCTGCAGCATGGTGGGCAGAATCCACTGGTAGCCACTGAGAGAGAAAAGGTGGTTGAAGTGCACAGCACTGTTGATGACGGTGGCAGCATACTGCCTGAGCAGGGCGCTGTCTTCTGGGTGGAGGATCAGAGCCCCGTTAAAGACGTTGAGGAAGAGCATGATTTCATCTCCCCAGGGAAACTCGCTCGGCATGCCCAGGAACATCTCCTCCAGGAGCTGGATCCACAAGCTTTTCTGAAGAGTGTCGAGGCCAAACAGCTCCTTGCCGGCTGTGAGAACACAAAACAGCAGAGACAGAATTAGCCCCATGCCAATCCTGTCAGCGTGGGAGGGCCATTAAACTGGGGGCACTGCTGTTTCCCATTTGTTCCAGCTCTGGGACGTGAAGATGTACTGCAGAAATGCTTCCAGCACACATTGCTGCCGCTGGTATCACACTCCCTGGTTCTCAAAGGACTTCCGTCACCACCTCCTTGATTCAACTCTGGAGGCCAGACAGGGCTGACATTTGCAGCATGTTGCACTGAATAAGCTGTGGCATTGAGGAAAAAAAATCAGTTGTTTCAGAAAGGAAATGGCAGGGCTGGGACTGGTTCTAGATCTTTGAATTCCTGGACAGACGAGAGCTCTTTCTACTATTTTCTCCGGAACTTCTGGGTGAAGAAGACATTGAACATTGGGAGGCTGGCTGTAAATATCTCAAATTAATAATTGAGTCACACAGCAAGGCTTCGAAGTGAGCCTCTTTCTGGTCTCTCGGTCTCTATCTCCCTCTGCATTCAGGAGTAATTCAGATAGAGTAAAACAAACATGCACGGATCTCAAATGGAGAGTTCAGTGAGTTTTGACAAAAACACACTCATGTAACCAACACACCAATCAATACATAGACCATTTTCATTACCTCAGAAAGTTTCCAGGAGATCCATCCCCCCCCCCAACTCAGAGGCATGCCACTGTCCTGATTTCTGTAGATGAGTTTTGTTTCCTGAAGTTCATATGAACACCTGTTCTTCACTTAGTCAAGTAACAATACCTACTACTACCTACCCTAACAATACCATACTACTGCCTTCAACTGCTTATGGAAAGAATATGTGGTGTGTGCGTGTGTGTGTGTGTGTATGGAATACCACTCAGCCATCAAAAAATGAAATCTTTCCATTTGCAATGACGTGGTGGATGGAACTAGAGGGTATTATGCTAAGCGAAATAAGTCAGTCAGAGAAAGACAATTATCATATGATCTCACTGATATGTGGAATTTAAGAAACAAAACTGAGGATTGTAGGAGAAGAGAGGAAAAAATAAAACAAGACGAAACCAGAGAGGGAGACAAACCATAAGAGACTCTTAATCATAGGAAACAACCCGAGGCTTGCTGTGGGGGAGGGGGTGGGAGGGATGGGATGGCTGGGTGATGGACATTAAGGCGGGCACATGACATAATGAGCATAGTATTATATTAAGACTGATGAATCACTGACCTCTACCTCTGAAACCAATAAAACATTAGATGTTAATTAATTGAATTTAAATTAAAAAAAAAATCCTGCTTATGATTAGTTAAGAACAGTGGTCTCAGTTTGATCCCTGGAATAGCAGCATCGACATCACCTGGGAACCTGCTAAAATTCAAGTTCCCGGGCTCTATGCCAGAGCTACTGAGTCAGAACCTGGGGAGGGAGGAGCCCAGCAATCTGTGTTTTATCAAGTCCTCCAGGTGATTCTGATGCACTCAGGGCTGAGAAGCACCGCCTTAGAGAACTGTCTGCTGGTTCAGATGCTCTCCAGCCAAGGACCAAACAAGAGCATAGGAGGCCCAAGAAAAGAAATGCTTTTTTTTTTTTTTTTCTTGATACCTTGTGGATCACTGAAGAGTGAAAATTCAGCGTCAATAGCACTTCGGGGGAATGAGGGTAGTCGGAGGAGGTCTTCCTGGAGCATGGAGACATGGGACTGTTTGTGGGCTGTGGGGATCTTCTGCGTCAGGGAGATGAGAAACAAAACCCGCCCGACTTCCTCCAGCTTCCGAGTGAACACCTAGCCGCAAACAAAAGCAAGAGCAGAGGAAACGTAGAATTAGCAACTCTGAGATTAAAAGGAGTGAAGACATTGAAGTAAAATCTTTCATGGTAAACAGGGCTGATAAAAAATCAAGGGGGTTGGGTGTTGAATTGAAGGAGAAATGGTTTTTTTTCTTTACCACATAGATGGAGCAAACAATGCTTGATTGACTCTCACTTCCTGTATCTGCCTGCTCCCCAGAAGGAAGTGTTTCTTAGGGGTTCCCAGGCTGGAGGAGCACAATGCAAGCATTGTCAGGAATCGTTCCATATGAAACAGAGCCCATTTGTTTGGATATCATAATATGGAAGACCTTTTCCAACAGGAGCCAGTCAGTCAGTTCCAAGTGCCTCTACCATTTCCACAGATGCCTTAAGCTGTTCTGGGCTTTTCTCTTAAAAAAGGACTGAAATGGGATCCAGGAAGAACCTATCTTGGGACAAAAGCTGATGAGACCTAGATGGCGCAGACAGGATTCTCTTGGTGCCATCTCTTTGTTCCTTTCCTGTGATGATGGGTGGGCAGGGAATGTGATGAGGAGGTCCACAAGCAGTCTGAAGCTGCTGAGGAAACTCCAGGGCCAGAACCACAGGCTTGTGGTAGTAGTATTACTATCTCCCTGCAGAACTCAGAAAGAAATCTTAAAATTCCAACTTGGAGTGTACATAGAATGAGAGCTCCATTTTATGCAATTTTTTAAAAAAGATTTTATTTATTTATTTGACAGAGAGAGACACAGTGAGAGAGGGAACACAAGCAGGGGGAGTGGGAGAGAGAGAAGCAGGCTTCCCGCTGAGCAGGGAGCCCGATGCGGGGCTCGATCCCAGGACCCTGGGACCACGACCTGAGCCGAAGGGAGACGCTTAACGACTGAGCCACCCAGGCTCGCATTTTATGCAATTTTTAAAAACATGTTCTTAGACATAAAAAGAACACACTAGTGAAGTGCTATTGTTGATAATGGTTTTAATTCTTTTGCTGCCAAAACCAGGGGCTGGGATAATTCGGGGTAATTATTTTAGAAATTATATATACTTAAGACCTTACAGTTATGTATACTTTAGACCCAACACCACACACTTTGCAATACTTGCACTATTTTCCTTCTTTCAACTGCAATTCAGGTAGTTTATGCGAACTATACTTTTAATTACTTAAGTGGTCTAATTCTATGCCATTCTCATTCATTTCATGAAGTTGTTTTTGAATAGTTTGATGCCAAATTAACCTTCTTGATATGTGCAGAAAAACTGAAATGATAAATTATCCTGAAATTCTTGTTTAGACATTTTATTAAAAATAAATGACTGTGGGGGTGCCTGGGTGGCTCAGTGGGTTGAGGTCCAATTCTTGGTTTTGGCTCACATCATGATCTCAGGGTTGTGGGATCAAGTCCCCTGTCGGGTGCACTTGGCGTGGGGTCTGCTTGAGATTCTCTCCCTCCCACCCCCCACCATCCTTCCCCGTTGGGCGCATGCAAGTGCACTCTCTCTCTTTCTCTCTCTAATAAATAAAATCTTAAAAAATACAAAATAAAAATAAATAAATGAATGTAACACATAGACCATATTAAAATTGTATCACTACTAGAACTGTGGACTATAGGGCGCCTGGGTGGCTCAGTTGGTTAGGCAACTGCCTTCGGCTCAGGTCATGGTCCTAGAGTCCTGGGATCGAGTCCCGCATCGGGCTCCCTGCTCAGCGGGGAGTCTGCTTCTCCCTCTGACCCTCCCCCCTCTCATGCTCTCTATGTCTCATTCTTTCTCTCTCAGATAAATAAATAAAATCTTAAAAAAAAAGAATTATGGACTATAGCTATATTTTGCATACAAAATAGTGAATTTCCTTATTCTTCTCTTCAATCATAAATTTAAGTACAACTGCTTGATTATGTCTCCTGTTTTAAGGGAAGTTAGTAACATGCGTAAGGTCAGGTGACCGATCAGTGGCAGAGCCGGGACTGGGTCCAAGTCTCTGTACCTTAGCTCAGTGCTTTTCCCAGGCATAATACATTGATCCCTTTTATTTTATTTTTCCCAACTAGTGTAAACCTCTGTAGCAACCTTCTAAGAGCTGCATTTGTGTACTTCCAATCCTGTTTTACAAAAATGTGAGAAGAAAACTTGCAAACTAGTAGGTAAATAAATTCGAAGATTTCTAGTGTTTATACCCAACGATTTGTCATAGCATTAATCCAAATGAGTGTTCTTTGATACCTTTACATTATGATCCAATTTATGAAAACTAACACACTATTTGGGGGAACTACTGACCAAGGGCCTACCCATCCACTTTCTCGAGAGAGGATTGTATCAGAATCAGAATCTCAGGGTTGGTAACACATTCACTGATCATCTATCCCAGTGACTTGGCAAAACCGTATAATAAAATAGAGGTGGTCAGACACCTGTTTCTGAATGAGCTCCTGTCCTTTCTCTGGATGCATATGTACAAGGTTCAGCTGTGGAGATACTGATCTCCGGAAAGGATAAATATCCCGAACATACGTCTGTGGCAGGATTACACAAAGAGAGAGAGAGAGAAAAAAAAAAAGAGTTCAGATGATTATCAAATGATTAAACTTTTACTCTCATTTCCTCTTTACCCAAAGGTCAAATGAAAGTTACGTACTTTCTAAGGGTTTTATCATTTTATGCTCTCCAATTCTATAAAATCCTACGGAAAGTAAACACCCACCTCAGGAAAGCATCAAACCACGTAGGCTTAGCACCCTTTCCAAACACTAGGGTGCAACATCAGGAGCAAAGGAGCCAAAGGCAATTTAATAAAGGACATTCTGGAGGAAGAAGGTCACTGTAAAGTGATGTCTTGAGGTGCCCTTTGGTCATTAGGTCAGGTCACCATGGTTATGCTCAAAATAATAAAAAGAGGAATAACAAGGACGTTAAAATTCCAAGTAGACACACATATTTATTATATGGGCAACTTAATTTTTCATCAGGAGGTAATAATAATGAATGCTTTCTTTGCCTTATCTGCTTTAATTATTGCAACCTATGATAGATACTATTATCATCCTCTTCATTTTCCAGACAAGGAAAATGAAGGGCACAAAGGTACAGTTGCTAGTCCAAAGCTACACTGACAGTAAGGTGGTATCACCTAAGTGGCCATCCTTCTAACCACTGAACAACGATGCCTCCCTGAGTGAGAGCAATATTCAGGAAACGCATGACAAGTTTCCGACACAACTCAACAGGAGTGCATCACTGTGCAGTCTCACCTTATTGTAGTGGATAAGATTCCATCGTTTGTCCATGAGAAAATAATGTGTTGACTGAGATTCTGGGATATTAAAAAACTCCAGACACTCCTAGAACAATAAGTATAAATACATGTTTATGGAGAACATATTATGTGCCAGGTAGTAAGCTGAAAGATACAAATATCAAAACAAGGTAACTTATAAGGATTATAGATCTTATATACTTTTTATATGTGTATATATATAGGGATACATATTGGATTTGGATACACAGTTGCCCAAAGAACGATATAATACAGACTTGTAATGTAATATAAACCAACTGCTCTCAAAGTGCTAAAAGATGTGCAATTATAAATTCAGACTGAGGAGTGAACTGTGGAGGTACAGTGGCATCTACTGGTCTCAACGTCAGGAAGAAAGCATGTTTGGTAACGCCATTAAAGATAATTCAAGCTACAACACATTGAGCCATTATTGCATACTGTATTCTGAGTTCAATGCCTTCCCTGTAGGTCACTTGTATATCCTGCACTGGTACCCCAGTACTGGTGAAAAAGAATGTGAGCCTGGAGAGGTCCTGTTCAATTTAGGTCACGCTGGTTATGGTGTAACCGGGGTTGGGACTTACTCTGTTTGCCTTCCTGCCATTCAGCCTGAGTAGGAAAATGGAGTGGTTGTTGAAGTTTGCTTCACGGGGCCTTAGTAATTCTCTGGAGATGTCTGGGTAAGGCCTGAAGGAGGCATTTTGTACCGAAATAAGATATACACGTTTGGTACAACTGAATTTTTCAGAGGCCTTTCCTGCTTCCGTCTTGGCCTGGAGCTGTGTTCCAGGAAATCAGTTTACCAAAAGTTTGGAATCCAGATAGATGGATACAGAGAAAGGACAGGATCTAGGTAAAGCTGTAGTACTTTACCTTAAAAGTCTTACTGGCGTGTGTAACTATGGATTGACTTTCTGCCGAGGGTCACAACGGCCATAACCATTAAAGATACTTTCTTAACTCACCTGATTTAGTCCAAGGTATGTATGTTCTGCTTCTCCACCCATTTCTGTCCGTGGAAGTCAGACTGTATACCATGCAACCAAGTGCCAGAGAAAGGGTCTCTGGCAGGATCAGCAGCTGACAGACGCTGCCTTAGCTCCCTCAGTGTGCAACCCCAGGGCACCTCCAGAACTACCCACACGTGATGCCAGGGAACGCTGAAGCGGGAATCAACAGCACTCCCAAGGGAGCTAGTACACCTGAGAGTGTCAAGATGCTGCTTCAGCTGAAGGAGAAGCTGCATGTATTTACCTACCTCAAAGCAGAGCTATGATATAGGTAGGTGTGGGGAAAATCATGTGAGGAAATGGGGGAAGTACATGATAGCGGAGCAGATTCTACAAGAGGTAAGTCAATGCATGTATTTGTTTGAAGATAGGAAAATGCCATTTAATTCTAAATGGGATGATCAGCGAAGTGGCCACAGACATTGTGCTTTAAAAATCATTTCTGTTTGAAAGCCATTCATACCTTGAGCAAGGCTTCGAACTGAGTGTCTTCATGGACTGGTAACTGGGTTGGGATATCACACTCATTCTGCCCGTGAACTACCAAGGTTTTGGTACCTACAGAAGGCAAATACAATCATAAGCTGAAGTTCACTCTAGGAACATTTATCTTTAAGGCACAAAATATTAAAATATTATCAATGGGCTGATATTTTTCTTTTTATGATTGTTACTCGTAGTGAGTGCTTAAGGTAAACTGTGTGTTGCACTAATATCCCTCTTTTATAGTTAAAATAGATGTTTTAAATTTATTTCCTGACTAAATAACAAAAGCTACCATTTATGGAGTTCCCAGTACTTTGACATGTATTTTATGTGCATAATATTTAAATCTCACAGCAACCCTATGGTATGGGTATTATTATTTTCATTCTACAAATGAGAAAACAATGGAAATAGACTCTTACAAGTAAGAACTTATAAGTAACTTAGTCAAAGACACATTTATTTAGCAGAAAAGTCAGAATTCAAACATGTGTTGCAACAAGTAATATATCCCTGTATTTTGAATGAGACGATCACGCAGTAATGGTTGAGAAAATATAAAAAGAGATGTTAGCAAAACCATGACACGTACCTGGAATGCAGTTTAAATTTACATTTTCTGTATTCTACTTGGCTAGGGAGTTAGTACTTATTCTACTTCATTCATTCATTATAAGTCTTTGTGAAGATCATGATATACTTTGGCTTTTAATGAGCTGTTTTTAAGCCTATGAATGACAACACGAGTTTCTTTGCTATAATAAAAACTGATCATCTTGTCGGATAACCTATCGAACATATAAATACACAACTTCCATTTATGGAATGCTTGCTATGAGTCAGGTATGACAGCAAGGATTTTATCTACGTAAATGCATTGATTACTCATGATTGTGCAGTATGAATCACATCCTTGTTTTACCCATGAGTAAAGAAAGCTTGAAAAATGATGTGCTTTTTTTTTAGCTAATACTAACTGTATTAATAAATGGCAGTAACATGACTTTAATGCAGGCCTCTACATTGCACACCCTGTGTTCTCATCTTTACATAATTGTGCCTTTCTCTTTATTTTAATAAGTGGATCATCTCATATTTTCTTAGTCACTGCACCAGGATAAAGACTCGGAAGAGTTTCTATCCTAAAGAAAAGCAAGCTATCAGGAGTGAAAAGGAACCGTAGCTTGAGTTTACATCACACTTCATGTTCTTTTGTTGTTCTCCTTTCTTCCTGCTTGTCCCTTTTCCAATTTTTCATAAAGCCATCTCTCATAGAGTTTACAAAGATCTGGGGTCCATGCCATGCAAACAGTATCATTCCCCTTGCAGTGCCAAACATTCATTCAGAAAGGCTCCCCGTTCAGCTGGCCCTGTGCTATAGACTTAAATACATCTTCAACCTTGGCCGCTCTTCAAGGACTGATTCATGTGGATTGGTTCTGATGTCTCCCCCTTTCATCTGGCAATCGCTGACTTTTAAAGGGTCTATTGTATTTCTTCAGATTGTATTAAACAAAAATTCTTTGAAGCCCCCAACACCAGGGTCAGGACGCTGAAATTTTTCTCATGAATGAAAGAGGCGGTTGGACTTTAAAAGAGTTATTTATACTCTTAAACAAAGAGAAAAGTTATGTCATCCAACAGCGGTAGTGGGTTACCTGGCATGGAAGCGGTCACCAGCAGCTTTACCTCACACTGCTCCTTCTTCATGGTCTGCTTGAGATCCTTGAAGAACAGTCCCTCTACATAACCCACCACCTCCCACAGGAAAGTCAGGGTGGCCGAAATGGCATCCATCCCCCACTCACAGGGGGTCCGCACGAAGTACATGATTAATCCCACCTAAAAGAACAGGAAGAGGTCACAAAACCATGATAATCCTGAGCAAACATTCTCATTTCCTTGGCTTTTGTTTCCTTAATCAAATATTCTTTTGTGCCTTCATATTCTCTGTTTAACGGTTCCTCTAGTACTTTTCAGTGGCCATAAGCGAGAGAGGGTGGAACTGGAAAACCAACCAGAACAGGTTGCCATACATTTTTGTGTTTCACGGAAATGGTGATTTAAGACAAAAGCAGAAGATTGTTTTTCCAGGCTTCAAGTCGCTTGGTAGCTCAGGTGCTGAGGCCACCCCAGATTAATCTCTATGAGATGTTTGCCGAAACAGTATTTGCTGATTGGATTATGTCTAGTGGTCTGAACCAATGAACACTGTACTTGGCTAAATTGGTGACCTTAACAGATTTTTCTTTGTGTCCCCTAAAATCTTGAAAAGCTCTGGGTCCTTTTGCACATATTTAGGTTGACATTTAAAATGTCTCATCAGGGTGCCTAGGTGGCTCAGTCAGCTAAGCATCTGCCTTCAGCTCAGGTCATGATCCCAGGGTCCTGGGATGGAGCCCCACATCAGGCTTCCTGCTCAGTGGGGAGCCTGCTTCTCCCTCTCCCACTCCCCCTGCTCTCTGTCAAATAAATAAAGTCTTTAAAAAAATAAAATAAAATGTCTCATCATAAGGTAATTTTTTTTTGGTTAATAGAATATATTAAACATTCTCTACATTGAAATAAAAGGCTGATTGTAATTGGAATGTGTATTTCAACAAATTTTGATGAAAGAAGTTTTAACTACCTTATTCAACAGTGCACAACAAAATCATAAAGAAATAACATCAAAGTTTTCCCCACCCATGGCTTTATTGATTGTTTCTTGAAAAATTTCTTAATCCTAGAAAACTTTCTAGTTGTGTTGAATCAGCCTACAGGGTCACTAACCTAATCTGCTTTGGTGGCTCTGAAGGCTAACCACCCTAATGAGTGCCAAACCTTACCCCTAGGAGAAATCTATCAAAGATAGGAAAAAGTGGTAAGTCCTATGGGTTTGTGTGTGTGTGTATGTGTCTGTTGGCAGGGGGTGGTGGTGCAAAAAGGTGATTTTACTAAAGCACAGGGACAGAACCCTGTTCTGAAAGTCCTATAGGTTTAAAGTGCCTTGATCCATCAGAAATGAGGCTTCCTTAAAACTCATGCAGTATATCAGATTCTTTCTCTGTCTTACACATCTGTCAATTCATCTGGTGATGTCTGGGCTGCTCAGGGTGGGCCTTTCTTGTGGACAGTAGGGGAATGATGTTTGAGATGGCAGGCATGCTCATGAAGTGTTACTGCCTATTTGAAGTTGAGGATTTGGAGATTTATTCCTCAAAACTATCTGAGCACCAAATCCCTTTAAAAGTTTTCACATACCCCCAGATGGGCTCAAACCCCAAGGTGAAGACCACTGGGTCAAAGTTAAACAGTCCCTAATAAAATCAGAAGAGATGGGTCAGTGGTCCCAACATGCCCACTATACATATCCTTAACACTCCTTAGAAAAAAGAGGTATATAATATGGGTAATGGTTTAAAAAGGACTCTACCCTTCACTGTTTTGCCATTCTGACTAGAAGACCCCTTTTCTAGTCCCTTCAAGGCATTCATGTACTTGGGATTTGGGGAAAGATAAGAATTTAGAGAGAAATGCAAAAATAGGAATTTATATTCATGCAAAACAGGGTTATACAGCAAAGCCAAAGTGTTGCCAGCTCTTTTCTCTATTAGCTTGTCAATTACCTAGCTGAGAAGACCTATGTCTGCCATTAAGGCTTATTTGGAGTTGACAGGGAAGAGTATGGCAGACAGGAAATGAAATGTCCATTGTCTTATCCCAGGGCTGAAGGACAATGGAGAGCAATTGTCCAGATAAGTATCTCTCCTACCCAGGGACCCGAGGGAATGGGCAGACACACTGAAGGGGCTTTTGCCTCTAGTCTCTGCTAGGGTCTCTGACAGAAGTTCACCTTGGGGCCTTTCGATACCAACCGCAATGCCACACAAACATGGTAGGGCACATACTTAACCTGAGTAAGGCCCTGACATTTGGCTTTGATATCCTACCTTTGGCTTTTGTGTAGTGTACACAGGACCAAGAAGTAGCAGAAAGTTTGGCTGGAGAGCTTTCTGGATAGAATTGCCATAGACTGGTGTCACTGAGCATAATGCTCTAGCCAGAGGTCTTCCTAAGCTGGAGCCATATGGGACATGCAACCAGAACCTAGAGGGGTGTTTAGCACCAGCAGGAGCTGAGGTGAGGTTGTCTCCCACCAAGCACCACTGGGAGCCCGAAGACCCCAAGTCATAGCAGCCATGGGTTTTGGTTTCCACCAGCCAGGCATCTAGCAACCGGCCAGATAAAGAAAATTGTCTCACAAAGGGAGGAGCCAGAGCAAACGTTGGACAAGAGAGAGAATGCTGAATAAATGTAGGAGTGCTGACAATACTGACTCCGATCTTGGCCCTCCATCTTGTTCATGTCCATTCAGTGACTTCCCTTGGCACTATGTGTCCCAGGCCCCTTGGAGGGGGATGTAGGTCCTGACCAGAATGCTGGAAGGCTTGTTCTGAGCTTCCTTCTGGCACACAGATGGTGCCACTTTAGATAACTACCCTTACACCTCACCACCATGCTTGCTCTATAAAAGCTGTGGATTAAGGTCTGGACTTAGAAAATAGCTGCCTAGCCCTTGGATTGGTGTCTGCCCCATCTTCCCTGTCAGTAAGTTACTCTGAGTACAGTTCCGTATGAATGGTATGGAGTGGCTTGCTTCGTTGTTCCTTCTCAAAGTGACTTTTCCATCTGGAGGATATTTTGCTCTCCCTCCTCCACCTTCCAACAACAAAGATCTTTTTTCTCTCCAACCCCACGTAGTGTTTGGAGATGAAAGAAGTTGGAAGGGAGGAGAATTCCTAGAGACTAAATATTTTTAGCCAAGAGAGACTGAACACTATCCAAAGTTACTATTTATATTTTTTTATCAGTCTGAACTTAAAACTGGATTGGACACTTATTTATATTCTTTTCCTTGTCAACCAGCTGGTGGGCACTCAGGAGAAAAACCAAATCAGTCATAGATAAGAGAAAGGATTTCTCTGCACACAGGAGCTGTACTGTTAAATTTTTCATTCTGCTACAGAGCCATGTGGATACCTCTTCTCTTTCTCTACCTGCTAGGAGACTGACAACAGTAAGGGAGAAAGAAGAAGTCCTCCCAACACAGACATTCACGCAGCCATCTATCCGGATTAAGGTGCAGTTTCAAAGAAGAGGCATTGAGCTGAGAGCCCCCAAACTGCGTAACCATTTAGGGTGTAAGGTGGAGATCCTAAAGAAACTGGTCAATTCTGGAGGGTTCAGGAAGGAGCCGTCTGGGTGGTTTAAAGCAAAGATAGTTGCTATGGAAAAATACACTCACAAATACTTTCCATCTAGGGCAATATTTGCCTCTGTGTGTGTGTGTGTGTGTGTGTGTATTTGAAAAGAGAGATAGGAAAAGGGGAAAACGACTAAAATGTCATATAAGTTTTCTCAACAGAAAACCAAAATTAAGAACTAACATAAGCAAGTTGTATAATGCCAAAGGAAGACAGAGATGACACTGACATTGAGTGCCCACCACATGCCAAGTAGTGTGTCAGGAGGGGCTTCCCCATACAAACAATGGTGAATATAGCTGACCACGATCTACCTTCAGTCACATCATTAATGGAAATTTATTGAAAAAAATTCCCTAGGACCTTTTCCTCATCTTGCTGTTTCCTAATTGGAAATGAACACTTCTAACTTACTGGAGGTGAAAACTCACCAAGTAGTTGAAGAGGATGTGAGACGTCTGAGCAGGAAAGTCTCCAATATTTAAGAGAAGTTTGCGCAGCATGTACATTAACTCATCCTGAAAGAAGAAGAGAATTTCTACATCTCATTCAGTGGCCACGCTGTAGGAAATAAAATTAACTTCTTAAAAAGTGGGGGAGGCTCTTACTCTTCCCTCTTGTTAATTTCCATTATGTTTGGCATTTTAATATAGTATATGTGATACTTATTAAACAGTATTTAAACCAACTATTATACCTTCTCTTAGGAGCTAAACTATGGAATTAGACAAGTTTTTTTTTTAATAAAAATTTAGACTGTGTCTATTGGTCATAGGCAAATCTTAGGAAAGCAATACATTTAGTCAACTCTATTTGCTATCACTTCCACGTGTGATGAAAATGTCAGGCAGACCTATCTTGAGAAGCCAGTTAACAAATGCACTTTAATGAACTTCACAGGTCTGCTTCCTAGGTTTTGAGTCAAAGAGATAAAGCTAGGTCGAGAGAGGATAAATAGAGATGTCTGTAATTAACCTTAGCTTTCAGAAACGAGACTTAATTCTTCCAACAAATAGGACCATAACACAGAAATGAACAAATACTTTTTAATCATCAGTGTATTTTGCCATTGCTCAGAAAACTACTTTTATCTCGCATAATCTTCTTACAGGTGGCCTGCTAAATTAGATTTGAGTAATGGACAGTTTCAACATATTCTAATAATCCTACCTGCATCACAGACTACTAAGCAATCAGAATTCAGGAAATGTACCCATTACTAAGAACACTATACTGAATTTAATCTTTGTCTAAAAGACTGAAAATCTTCCAGTATCTTAGGGTCATCACTACTCTTGTACCAAACACATATGGAGACATCAGTCAATGGACCAATTTGAAAGAAAACAGCAAAGTTTAGTACTGCTCATCATTAACATTACCTAAAGCACTTATTTGCTCTGTGTCAGACATTGATGTTCTATGCATAGCGCTGTGAAGCCCACTGTTTGCTTTTAAGTGTTCACACATATAGCTAAACGGCTGTACTCTAAAGAAAGGAATTTACTTGTCTATTGCTGATGGTCAGTTTTTCCAGAAAATGTCGAAGAACTGTTGATGGATCTTCAATCAAACAATTCCATAAGACTTGCTGGGCCACAGCACTCACTTTAGAAGAGAGGATATTGATCATTTGTCTTAAATAGAGATAAAGTGTTAGGTACACTATTCAAACAATTTACTAAGCTTTAATTAGTTTCTCTTTTTTGCCTTAACAAGGTTCTGTGAACTCTTTCTGTTGAAAGGTAGATATTTGTTCTCTTTGCCTCTTATTTCTGAACATTTTCACCTATAAAAAAAAAGTAACAAAAAAGTATAGGACAGTCTTGAGATTTTAGAATTGCTTTTGTAAAGAACACATTTGTGATTTACAACAGTATATCATTCAGCCTTAAAAGAAGGAAATCCTGCCATTTGTGATAATGAAGATGGATTTTGAGGGCATTATGTTAAAGGAAATAAATCAGACAGAAAAAGACAAATATTGTATGATCTCACAAGTGGAATCTAAAATAAACCAAACTCATAGACAGAGAGGCCAGACTGGTGGTTGCCAGAGGTGGGGGTGGGGTAAATGAGTGAAGGTGGTCCAAAGGTAAAAACTTCCAATTATAAGATAAATAAATATATCCTGGGGCAATAACGTACAGCCTGGGGACTACCCTTAACAATACTGCCTTGCATATTTGAAGGTCGCTAAGACAGGAGATTTTAAAAGTTCTTATTATAAGAAAACAATTGTTACTACAGGTGACAATGGGTGTTAACTAAACTTGTTGTGGTAACATTTCATAATATAAACATATATCAAATTATTATACTGTATGTCTAAAATTAATACAATGTTATATATCAACTATATTTCCATTTAAAAAGAAAGAATATATTTGTGAATCTTTGTTTTGGAAATTACCCTAATATTAGGAGTGATGAGTATTTATCAAATTAAAGTCATATTCCAATGTTGGTTGTATGGAGAAATTTCTAAAGTAATCATTTGGTTTTAGGAAATATGTTTTGGTTTAGAATGCATATGAATTAGAGATGATCTTTTATTGTTCACGAGAATGCTTTAAATAGTATCTCCCTCAGTGAGATAAAGTAGTTAAGCCAATCCTAATTAGGCTCCCCCTTCTAATGAGAATGTTTTAGGAATAAATAATTATTCCTAATGTGAAGAAAGTGCTTCTTCTTTGGGGAGAATGATTGGACCAAGACTGCCTAGAAGTGCCCAAGCTAGGAAAGCAGGTGGGTAGAAGTGGGCAGTGGATAAGCATTGGAGGATCTTCAGTCTAAAGGGTTTAATTAGTTTAGTTTTCTAAACTAGAAATATAGGATTTAGCATGAATTTCTCATTCAGCCTATATTTTAAACAAAGGATACCAATATTTTGCTTCCGAAAACCAACCATCCAATTAAAAATATGAACTATATAAATAAATAATATTAACAAGAGATAGATAAATATAAGCCTTAGCTTTCATGTGTCTTTATAAATAATTAAAACAGGTGTGGGTTTTTCTTAGGTTGAAATTGATTGCAAAACTATCTTTGTATATTATTTTTATTCTAATTGCTGAAGTAGGGCAATTTAACACTTAAAACATGAAAAATACAGAAAGACAGAAAAGTAAGACTGGTTAGTCCACCAATCACAGAAACAACTAGAAACATTTTGCAGTGTGTCCCTTTTATACATGTAAAATATATATTTACATGTATTTTTAAATAATATGCAGAAAATATTCTTTGGTACTCAGTTTTTTACTTAGCAATATATTAAAAACTTTTAACATTAATATTCTTCTAGAATGTTATTTCTAACATACACAGAATGCTGTCATATAGAGGTGCCATGATTAACTAATTGCTTGTTGGACATTTAAACTCTTCTCTAATATTTGTTATTTTAAATAACGTACAATGTGCAGCATCCTATAAAGACCATATATAGTTCTCATTATTGCCCTAGGAAATGGCTAGAAGTCAAAATCTGTATCAAAGGGCTTTCACACTTATTAAGGTATTTGACGCATACTGTGAAACTTTGTTCCAGAGTACTTGTATTGAATTCCATACTTCCATCAGCAAGGCGTGAGAATTCTTTCTTGCCTGAATCTTTATCAACTATGGATATTTCCATTTAGAATAATCTTTGCATGGTAGCTGCACTTGTACTGAGCAGAGCATAACATACGGAGAAGTTGAGTCACTGTGTTGTACACCCGAAACTAAGGTAACCCTGTATGTCAACCATCTCAAATAAAAAAATAAAGTAAAAAAATGAAAATAGCTTTGCACGTTTTCAGATGAAATGTAAAATTTCATTGTTTTCTTAAACAACAATGTTGTTTACAGGTCTTATTGACCATTGGTCTGTGTATTTATATCCTTTGCCCATTTTTCTAGTGGGGTTTAAAAACATCATTATTGAGCTCTAAGGCTTTTTAAAATAACAACATTAAAAATACTAACCTGTTGTCTATCACAAACATCATTCATCTTTACTCCCAGTTTATCGTTTCATTTTGCAACTACTCTATTTATTTTTTAGAATTTGAAATTAAATTTATTTATCTTTTTAAATTTTATTTTATTATGTTATGTTAGTCACCATACATTACATCATTAGTTTTTGATGTAGTGTTCCATGATTCATTGTTTGCGTACAACACCCAGTGCTCCA